GTCCGCGCGAAAATGCGGAGTTAGGTCGATGGGTTCCAAAAAGTGAGCTAATACACCCAAAGGCCCGCTCAACTTTGCACAACCGAGGATTAAGTTATGGCACGACCTGGCGAAGACCCAGTTAATGCGACATGCGCAACCTTCCACGTTTACTCTAGGTTCAAGCACTCGGGCATTAGCCGAAAAGTCGGTTGTATGCCATGTGTTGCTTCAAGGATTCTCATTTTACTATGGAGACTAACTGTCCACGTGTAGTAGATAAGCTAACTGGGGTGCATGGCGCAGCATTAGAGGTATACGCTGTATCCCAGATATGTGGATAGTGATGTGGATAGTGGAGTCCTGTCAAGCTCACATTAAAAAGCCTTGGCTTCATATGAAAACTAATTGTGTCAAAGTTACCACTTGCTATCTAACCATTCGACTATCTATGGCTAGAAACAAAGAATACTCTTTTCGCTCGCTATACTGTCGCGTATGCCATCCCTAGTTTTGAAAGACCATTGCCAGCTGCGTTGAGAAGGTAGCCAGGGAAGACACCAAAATACGCATATCTTGCCACGTAACTCTGCGCATCCATCCAAGGCAGAACCTGTTGCAAAAATGCAATCTGTTGATCTTCCGAGCCATAACATTCAAATTCTGTCACCCATACCGGTAAATGGAGTGTCTTGTACGCATCGGTGACGTTGCCCATAAACCACTCTGCTCCGCTCTGGCCATTGGCAGGAAAGCAATCTTGGTAGTAGTGAATGGCTGCGAAGTCAAAGTGACAGCCAGTGCAGTTCCCTAAGAAGTACTGCGTCCACTGCGCCGAGTTATAGTTTCCGCCTGATGATGAACCTACGTTGTTCCACAGCACGTTCGGCATACCAATCCCGCGTGAGCCTGCAAATGGCTCGATGTAAGTTTTGTACCCAGCAGCAGCGTTAGCGGGCAAGATATTTGAAGATGCCGAATAAGTCAGGTCCGGCTCATTGAAACCGAGAATATTCTTGGTATTAGCGGTCTGAACTGCAGCAGTCCATTTGGGGTCAGGGCCACTCGGGAGGCCCCAGAGCATAGGCACCTAATTAGTTCGTTAACTGTGCCCAAATTGTTTTATTCATGGACCAAAAAGAGCTGCATATATGATATGAGTTGGAAAACATACAAATTCGAAAGACGCATCAAGATTCCAAGAAGGATATCCCCAGTCATAACCCCAGGAGACTTTACTGTAGCCTTTGAAGAGGTTTGCGTATCCTGCATTGGCAGAGGGGTTGTTGTTGTTATATGCGAGACCGCGCTTCCCAGTTGTACCCGGTGTGCTTGTTGGTGTGTTTGATGATGTAGTCGATGGCGACGATGTAGAGGAATACACATCCAATCTGTTAGGGCCTCCACAGGTTTCGGCGCTATTGCCATTGCATTTCATGTTACACAAAGCATTCCCATCAGGAGCAGGCCCGCCCCCATTTATCACGGAATTGCCGCACCCTGAACTTGTTAGCAATGTGGCCTCGAAGGAGTGGCGAGGTTATGTACTCACAGCACTCGCCCGAGTACTCGGTTCCAGCAATACTAAATCCAGCTGCCATGCAAGCTGTTTGACATGCTTCGTTTTGCATGGCCGCAGAGCCACCAGGAACCGATACAGCATTAGGTAAGGCTCTCCCCGATACGTTGTCTGTGTAGCAGCCTAAGAACTTCCATGTTGCCCTTGTTTCAACTGTAGAGGCTCTCTCTGCTGAAAGAGTCATACAATTGGCTCCTAGTAGAAGCACGGAGAAAGCTGCTGCCTGTAGAATGGACATATTGCGCAATATGTTTTGAATATAATGTGAGAAAAGTTGGAACTTGATGAGATGCAGTTGCGCGGGCAATGTTCACTTTTAAATCCAAAGCAAATATAGCTTCATAAGATTAGTACGTCATCACGGGGAGAGAAATCTACAACCCTGAGGTTGCAGACCCAGAGGTTGCAGGGATATTTGCAGGGTCGCAACACTTATGATCTGCTAGTCATCATGCAATTTTTAAATGAACCACTAGCATTGTGGTCCTAAAAAACCAGACGAGAGTGCAACGTTATTTCCAGGGTGACAGTAAGAAAGCCAGGGATGCAGCAAAGGCCATAACCCCGCGATCGTTTTCAAGTCGAAAACAACTAGTTGTCATTGTAGAGTGATAATAGAGTGAGCTAGTCGTTCGGACCGAATATCTACTCAAAAATTAGCTAGCCACATTTGGGGAGTGGGCTCGCACGCGGCTTGGTTTGTAGAGGGCATGGTTCGGGCGGCCCTTCCCCCACAGTTGAACAGCACCGAGAACAGTAAAAACGATCACTCACTTGCACTAGCACAAGGTGTGTAGCCTCTTGGTTTTTCAAAACTCTGTCAGTGTTCGGAATTGAGGAAGCTAAAAGGACAGCGGACTACCGGAATTAAGATGTTACTTTAATATAATGCCGGACTGAATCCGCATGACATACTTCGCTTCCCCGCACTATCCCTCGCAAGATGGATAGTGCGGGGAAGCGAAGTAAGTACTACTCTCGGGACCATCCGGATTAGCCCTGAGCACTTTCGTTTCATAGCCGCCATAGCTCCGTGCGGTGGTCAGACGAACGGCACGGGAAGTGGACGTACGGCACGGGAAGTGGACATCCGTGGTATTAAATTAAGGTCCCTCTCAATTTTCAAATCGTTTACCTTGAAACAAGTGGCGTTCTGGGATCCGCTCCTCCGCTAACGACTAGCTGCCTGCTACCCCAACCCGTCATACACCTTATAATGGCATCGTATATGAACTATGCACGCGAAGGTATCTTTCAAGGATCCGTAACGAATTTTCTCATCCCGTGCATGGGTTTCCCATTAGAACATTGGAATCAGACCATGCTACTTCTGAGGTGCCACAAGTCAAAGGAACAGCTAGCTATACGCATAGTTTACAATTGAGTTTAACAATCGTCTCTCTCCGGCATGACTTCCGCATGCATTATGCCGGTATTCCGCGTCGCTGCCGTGCTATATATTCTTTAGACTAACATGCGGTCTTTTGTATCGGGCATAGACTACTAATTATTTACGTCCGGTTGCTTGGCAAGCAGGAAGCTTCCCCGGGCCTGTGGCCATCCCCGAGCCCGCATGTCATGACTTTGGTTGCTTCTCTCCTCCACATATAAGACTCCATACCCCGAGATTACATTCTATTTAACCACCTTTAAGAGTATCTGACGCCTCATTGATCTTCTCTTTTGCATAGTAGCATTGTGTTTCCGCCACCTGACTCCCTTGCAACAAAAATTGATCTTCGTTTTACTACGGCTACTTTTGCAAAATGGCACCAGTATGGTCTATGGTAGTAGCTTCCACCGTGGTTCTCCACTTGGTGGAGCCCGTTCTTGGTTTTTGGCGCAGTGAGAACCGACATCTGCCAAACTAAACTCCGTTCTGGACGTGCTGACAACCAACTACAGTGAGCTGTAGTGTCGCTCAGATGGGCCGGGTTGTAAGCTTTGATCTCATCTAAACGGAGCATTCTGCCGGGATACTGATGATTAATTAGGATCCTGTCATTAGTTTTGGACAAGTTAGCCAGCATGTCCACAAGATTTCAGGAGCTAGCAATATCAACATCAATTCGACTTACGACAGTTTGGTAGCTGCACCGTGCACAAGCTGTCAAATCCAAGGTAGGTTACTATCCACCTCTTGTTATGATATTTTGTGCTGATAAAACTAGCCGATAAGTAAGCTATACGACTGTTAAGTTTTTAAAGATTAGTTTATAACAGCTTTCAGGAGCGCATATTGGAACCCGCAACTATACTATCTACATGCTAACGGAAAGTATGAGGAGGTGTAAGCTAGCCTATTTCACCGAAAACCAGGCAGAGGCTAACCGGGTGCTAGTTATAACGGAGGCATGGCCGTATACTACCTTGGAAGAGTAAGCCCTAATGAAATATTAATTCGGTTCCTTACTTATTGCCATCAATAGGGTATGGATGCAGCGGGTGGCACCAAGGCCTCTCCGTTTCCAAAGGGGCTCAAGTTTCTCTCTGGCAACAACAACGCTAGGTCCTACGATGCCAACACAAAGACTTATGGCAACGCAACGTACCCAAATGTCCCTGTCGCAGACAGAGTTACGTTTGCGTGCATCGACTACAAGAATCCGAAGCCGCAGGCTCATTACATGTCGGACACCAACTGGTAGGTCAATGGTTCCTGAGGTTTAAAATCCTTGCTAATTTCTATGCAGCCCAGACGGCATGCGAGCACAGATTGATTTCCAATCCTGCTGGGACGGTGTTAATTTGTAAGTTAACTGGAACTAATCGAACGAGCAATACTAACATCGCGTTAGATACAAGGTAGGCTTCCCTCAACTTTGTCCTGAACGACCCAGAGCTCTCCCAGAAATACAAGATCCGCGCAATCACCCGCATGTCAACTCAGAAAAATCCACCAAGCTCAAGGAGAAAGTCGAAGTCGTCTAGGGCGATGCGAATGACCCGGCCTCTCTCAAGGCAGCCTTAACCGGCGTTCATACCGTCTTCTCATTAAAATCTCTCTATATTATAATAAGAGAGTTATACTGATACTCCTTTGTAGGCCGATCAATCCCATATGGCCTATCTATCCCAGATAGATAATGGAATCTGTCCACCTACCCACCCAATTCTCTTACCTCACATATTCATTGAGGTTCTCTACTCTATAGGCGATATAAAGCAAGATGGTGGCAAGTTTGTCTTCGCAAATGGAGATGAGACGGGTTACAGCTTCCATGGTAAGTCAATATTGCATCTATGATGTCAAACGGTATTAACAATTAGAATAGGTGATTTTATTAACGGTTTGTGACATCAGAATGAATGATTCTCATATTAGCCGTTACCTGACCTCTATTTCTAGGCTGGGATATCCCTGTTCTCACGGCTGCTATTAAGGATTGCTTGATTGGGGTTGAATCTGGGTGAGTAGAATTTCCAGGTCATCACTTCTCAGCTAATACCGCCATTGCAGAGTTGTTGAAGAATGCCCCGCCTTTTTACCTAGCGACGACACGAATTTCGCCAAAAATTGTCCAGAAACGAGCCCAGTCTATCCATGCGAGCCAGTTCATGGCATAATCGACAAGCTACCAGGGTGCATCACGCCAACTGGCTTTAATCACGTTGTGGTTCCTTCCGACAATACGTGGTAAGTTCTCAAATATACGTTCTGAGTAGTTAAGAGACTTTGATTTAATATTTTCTCGCAGCCCTGGAGGAAATGTGGCTTCCTGTAGCCCAAACTTCTTAAACGCACCGCCACTGCCCTTCCCTGGAAATGCTCAATACAAATCCCTTGGATGCTACACTGAGGCAACAGGTGGTCGGGCCTTGACTGGTAATCATTATGCTAGCACAACAGCCATGACTGCTGAAGCTTGTATTGCTTTCTGTGCTGGGTCGAAGTATGTTGGGGTCGAATACGCCTCAGAGTGTTACTGCGGATCAAGTATGACTCCCATCTTTCCAACATATTATAGAACAGAACTAATGCCTGTCCCATCATCTAGGCCTAAGCTCCGGATCGGCCCCTGCTCCAGCGGGTAACTGTGCCTTGACTTGCTCTGGGAATCGTTGGGAAGTGTGCGGTGGCGGTAATCGACTTAACTGTATGTGTTCCCTAAATTTCACGTATACTCGAGCTAACCCTTTCACAAAGTGTACCAACTTAAGTGAAGAATCAAGTTGATGGTCGATTTTGCTGGTTACTTCACTTTAAGCGTAACAACTTGAAGCGTTATCTAGTGCAACACATGTGTGAGTTTTTATCGAATCGTTCTAGGACGTGTAGATAGCTTTACATTTAAATTTGGAATCTCAAGCTATTTGAAATTCTACAGACTAAATCTTCAACTTTTTGAATAGTGAGGGATTATCAGTGTTCGGCACGGGTAGGTATATACCTAGCGTATCCGGGTATATACCCGGGTATATACCTACCCTTTTATATGAGAAAACTACCTGGGTATTTCGAGTAGGTAGGTATATACCCTGGGTATTTGCCAAGCTTTGCCAAGTAATTAGAATGTATGAATATAACCATATTGTGCTCGTAATATGCTTGTGATGTAGATGCCATAACATATAATGAGCGACTCCTCATTATCAGATGTGCCTATTGGCCTCGACGACATTGGCCTCGATGAGGTTAATGAGCCAACCTTACCTACTCTTCTTCCATCGCTCTATCTCTAGCCACCTCGTACAATGCTTCCTCTAAGCTCTTTACCGCTGTTTGCTAAGAATCTATATATGCGTACGCTGTTGGACACTACACCACCAACTATTCGGGTTACCTGTAGCCAGCCAGACTGCGGTTATTCACCGTAGCCATTAGTATTCTTAGATAAATCAACTGGTAACTTATGGAAGCACTACACCTAAAAGCACCCGCAAATCTCATTTAGTATGAGAAAGAACGACTAGGCACAAGTAGCATCAAGTCCGTTAAGTAGCTCATCGTTCTTTGAGCTAAAGAAGACAACGGCTAAGCAGCCAGTCAATGCATCAAAGTATAGAGATTTACTGCTATAATTTGTAGTATTAAACAATCTGTCATTACGCCTTGTTGATAGTCTATCTTTTCGTCAAATTATTTAATTCTTAAGCCCTATTACTTTGTTAGTATCTGCTAGAACACTACATCGCGACCTTCAAAGGCGGTTCTCACTATGCCGTGCTTAGTTATAAGCAGAACTCCATTCTCATATTGTAAATGGAGGCTGGATATGCTTGACTACCGACTTATGGTCTGCACGCAACTACACCGAATACTCTGCAGTAACAGCACATTGGATAAATAGCAAGTGGCAGCAGAAGTCAAATCTGTTAGATGTGATTCATCTGAAAGAGCCAATTCACAGCGGTGAATATCTTGCAAGCTAATTATATGCCGTTACAGATGATATGGGGATTACTAATGCTATCTTTACATGTACACGAGATAATGCATTAGCTAACACTGTTATGCTTGCTGAGTACGAGCTCTTAGCTCGCAATCATTCAACTTCTATATAACAGCCCTGGACTTTTACTGTTAAAGAAGGCGATGTACGTTGTATTGCACATATTATTAATATTGCTGTTCAACACGCTTTAAAGACAATCAAAGCGGACCCTTCAGTAGAGGCGGAGACATATAGGTGTGAGCTAGGTGCTGCACGAATCCCACGCACTGTTGATTCTCATACAGAAGTTATGAATACACTTGCTAAACTTCGGAGACATATCTATGTGTTTCGGAATCGCCGGTTATGGAAGGACGCTCTACAGAAGCAAACAATGGTAGCTGGCCTTAAAGTACAGCAATTATCACTTGATATGCTAGTCCGCTGGAATTCAACACATAAGATGCTTGAATCCGCAATAAAGCTTCAAGTGCCAATTACAGCTATCTGTGCGTCGCAGCAGTGGGATATTAGCATGAGAGATATTGCTCTTAATGCTAATGACTGGTCAACGATTAAAGAGCTTGAGCTATTTTTCGTTATCTTCTTACGCCCTTCGTAGAAGCTACAAGCTAGCACATACCCTACTCTTAACTACGCCATTCCACAGTATTTAAAAATGATTAATAAGCTTAATCATATGCTAAAGGAAGTAGGTGAGCAGTCTACAATTGGAATTGCATGCAACGTAGCGCTTTACAAGCTAAATGAGTATTATACTCTTATAGCAAACCAGCAGTATAGCCACTTAAGTGTAGCTACAATTTGTGATCCAAGAATGAATCTTGAAGTCTTTATAAGCTTATGGCTAAGTAGTAGAGAGGCAAGTAAAAGGAATCGAGTAAGAGCTCACTTTCAAGATGTCTTTACATAGTATAAGACCCGTCAATATCATCTTGACACTGAGAGAATCGAGCAGCAGACAGAATTAGCTAATGCAGCAGTCCATGAGACTGATTCCGACGATGATCTATACGCTACAGAAGGAATCTCATTTCAAGAACCTGAGTGGAAGCGGTGGATACTTGAGCTACGGCCTGGCCAACAGACAGATATTCTAAAGTACTGGTTATCAAAGCAGTATATGTATCCAATTGTTGCGCAAATTGCAAGAGACTATCTTGCAATTCCAGCTACATCTGCTGCATCAGAGCGGGTATTTAGTAATGGCAGCGATATAATTACTAAGAAGCGGAACCGGTTGTCGCCTTCAACTGTAAGATATTTACTCTGCCTACGGGATTGGGGTGTACTTCCAGAAGGTGACGACAGCGAAGGCGATGGAGACGATGAGTGGGAGGAATAGGGGTTGCAACAGTATATTACATTATTATATCACGACCTAACGTTATTATCATAGTTATTATTAACCTCAATTCTACTTTTCTGCATAGCAATTTTATAGCAGAGCCTCATATACCCGGGTATATACCCATACCTACCCGTGATATCCTACCTACCTACCTACTCTACCCGCGAAGCTCCGGGTATATACCCCAAGTGGTACCCGCCGAACACTGGGGATTATTTGCGAAATCGGACTCTAAAGCAATAAAATCTTAAGGGTTATAACCGCGTTTAGTCATAACTATAAAACTCTTCAGGGAGACCGCAGAGGTTTGTAATCGGATTTCTAGGGAGCCGCAAGCGCTTATATATTCCTCAGTTCTCCTGCGCATCGTTTTAACGCAAGACCCCCCTACAAACCAACGGCGGCCGGGGTAGCGCGTTCGGACCGTGCATATTGCTACATTCCCACTTAATCACGTGCCCGACCCTCCAGCCACACCACCACTTCCCCTAAAATCACCACCAACTCCAGCAATCAATCAAAAGTTGACCCCCCCAAGTCCCCAAGTATCCCCCAGTATCCACATTCCAGGCAACAACAAATGCAACCGCTCGGCCCCCCCGATCGGGCTACTGTACTGCGCGCAGCGTGTGGCGCGTATGGGTGTGTGTGTTGCGTTGGAGCTGTGTGAGTCATAGTGTGCGTGTGTGGGAATGTATCGGTACCTCGCGTACTTGGCCGTTTGATTTGGTGACCGTGTCCTTTTGCACTTTTTTTTTTTGCGCCGCACGGGGGACGCGGACGAGGCTGGGCTATGCTGGGATAGGAGAGGTGGGCAAGGCTGGGCGTTTGAGGGTGACGTAGTACTGTACAGGAGGCAAGGCTGGGCGTTTGAGCGGGTGATGGTAGTGTGACGGTACTTGTGGACGGGATGGAGCGGGATGGATGGGATACTGTAGAAGTGGCTTGATTGTCACGATACGGTGCGATCGGGTGGTGATGAGGCTCTTATGGGGGGGAAGCGGGAGGAGGGCGACGGTAAGGTGGTGAGAAGCGGGAATGATGGTGGTGATGCGCGCGAATGATGCGGTGGTACGTGACTTGGTGGTGGCAGGTGGTGAGGGTTTGTAGGGGACTTGGGGTTTGTTTGTTTGTTTTGTTTGTATGGGAGATGTGGTATGTGAGGGGATGTTGGGGATATACGGTATACGGTGATCTATATATGGTGAGATGCGATACGGCGATACGGCGATACGGCGATATATATATGGCGACCGAGATAGGTTGGAGATGGCGATGGCGTGATGTTGGAGAGCGAGAAAATGTGTGTGTGTTGGTGTGGTGTTGGTTGGAGTTGATGGTTGGAATGTACACTTCACTGTGAATCTGCTGTGAGATACTTGCGGCAGCTGTGAACGGCGTTGTGAGATTCCTCACAGGGTGGGTGTTGGAGGGTTGTTGGGTATTGCATGGTGTTTGGATGTACTCTTCATACTAAATTTTGCTGTGAGGATACTTGCCCATACTGTGAACGGTGCTGTGAGATTCTTTCACATGGGGGTGCTAGATGTACACTTCATACAAAACTCTGCTGTGAGATACATCTAGCCCCTGTTTCAACAAGACTTGTCTGGACTGAGATTGTGGTGGTGGTGGACTGGGATTTGACAAGGATTGTTGACTGATGTACCCTCTACTTGCCAATATCCAAAGTACCCAGTACACTCCTTCCCAGACTATCCCAGACTATCCCATGTCTCTGTCCACGTACGCGTCCTTCTGATTGGCTCCTTCCTCAACTCCTGTTGCCCCCAAAACCCGTCTCATCCACATGCTAGTCCCAATCTCACCCACTCTTACCCACTAGTCCACGCTAATCAGCCACTCATAACACGCTCCCACCACCAAAAATCACCCAAGATCACACCAACACCACCCTAACATCCACACTAAATCAAATCTAGTAATCTCGCGCCACCACCTGGAACTTAGGTATCTCTGTCTTGCCCCCGCCAGGCAACAAGGCAGCAACTTCCGCGAGTTAAATAGGCAGCCCATCTCCCGGTTGTTTTTCTCGATCCTTTTGCGAGCCTGAACACACATTTCGGCCAACGTAGTCGTCAACAACCATTTCACTTCCCCTCCTCTCCCCCACCAACCCCCCACTACCCAAGACACTACGTAACTCATCAAAAAGTTGCCAGATCAACAACAAGAAGCAGAAGAAGAAGATCGAAAACACACGCTCTCTCTCTCACTCTTCATTCACTCCCTCAGGAATTTGTCGCGATCACGGTCACTCCGAGTCGATCACCGAGTCGACCACATCGTCATCGTCGCTTTTCCACAAAACAACCAAGACTTCACGAAAAGAAAGAACCATCATCCTTCACGTCGAGCAGCGACTGTAGGGGAGACATTGACTTGTTTATCTCCCGCAAACGGTACGGCGCCAGACTAGTTACTTCTCTCGACGTCTACCTCTTTACCTCTTTCACACAAATTCACTCTCTCTCTCCCTCCGCGACCTACCCTCCCTTCTCTTCCGACTTCGAACTAGCGATCTTACCGCGAACTTCGAACGTCAACACCTCCACTCAAGTCTGACATCGATCTGACAAAGCTTCTCTCGATAGCCTCACACACAACACACACAACGATACTTCACCTTGCGCGCACGTTTCGTAGATCGTAAATCACAAATACCGCCAAGATGAACTCTATCCAGACTCATCCTGAGAACGCGATGCAGGCGAAGACCTTCATCGCGCCCGGCTCTCTTTCCTTCCCAGGTGGCGCTGGCGATCTCACTCCACCCTCTTCTGAGGCCGAGAAGATGAATGGTCAGCAGAAGCAGGGTGCGAATGGAGGTCAGGCAGTCCAGGCCAACGGCCACGGGGTGACTCCCGCGACACCGGCTGCCACTCCCGGCGCGACTCAGGGAGTCAGCGGAATTGTTCCTACCTTGCAGTATGTATGACCCTGTTCTGGCTCCTTGGTAGAATCTAGAGGCTTATCTCGCATGTTCCTAAAGAAATATCGTTGCCACCGTCAACCTTGATTGTCGGCTGGATCTCAAGACGATCGCGCTGCATGCGAGGAACGCGGAATACAACCCAAAGGTACTGCTGACCACCCAGATCCTGGCATCGGCGCCGCAAGTTTTTTCATGCTTCGTCCTTGCTAACTGACCTTGTCTCCAGCGTTTCGCCGCCGTGATCATGCGTATCCGCGAGCCAAAGACAACGGCGCTCATCTTCGCCTCGGGCAAGATGGTCGTGACGGGTGCGAAGTCGGAGGATGACTCCAAGCTGGCGTCGCGCAAGTACGCGCGCATCATCCAGAAGCTCGGTTTCAACGCCAAGTTCACCGACTTCAAGATCCAGAACATTGTCGGCTCGTGCGACATCAAGTTCCCCATCCGCCTCGAGGGTCTGGCTTCCAAGCATCACAACTTCAGCTCTTACGAGCCGGAGTTGTTCCCTGGTCTGATCTACCGTATGATCAAGCCCAAGATCGTGCTGCTCATCTTCGTGTCGGGCAAGATCGTCCTGACGGGCGCGAAGGTCAGAGAGGAGATCTACCAGGCCTTCGAGATGATCTACCCCGTGCTCCAAGGTAATTTCCATCCCTTCTGTTGTCGCAAAAGGCACAGTACTAACAGCATCAAGATTTCAAAAAGGTCTAAACCACCTTCGAAACCACGGACGCAAACGGGTCTCGATCAACTCTTTACCTTGCTGCTCATCCAGCTCGGTGTACTACCACATTATCCGCAACTGTAGATTATTGTTTTCACGATACCACGATTCACACCCAAAAGCTTCGTACTCTCATTTTCCTTTTCACACACAAACAACGACAAGGACCCTCCTGATGCATGTTCGCGGCGCCACTCACGACCTCGGAGTCTGGCAAAAAAACAAACACATACCCTCCCGAACAACCGGGGAGCCGCACATAAACACAGATCAACCTTTCGTCGTTATCATCGCGACCGTTAACCTTTTTTGTTACTTCATTCTTGCATTGCACACGGCGTTTATTTGGGGAAGGCGGGCGAAAGATGGGAATCCAGGGGGGCGCGCGGGGCAGGACTTTTTTTACTTTACATCCCGTAGTCACTGAATCCTCAAAGTTATTTTGAGAAGGGGATAGTGGCAAACAAATAGACAAACGCGGTTTGTTTGTTTTCCCTCGCCCTCTGACCCTGTGGGTTATGGTTGGGGGGGAACAGCAGCGCGAAGAGAGAAATCGGGGGCTTTTATGGGGTGTTCTTTTTACTTAATTTGAGCGAAACTGGCGAAGAGAGACAAGAGACAGAGTCGGGCGTATTTATTGCCTGGCTTTGAGTGGATGAGGGGATGATAAACTATTGGGGAATATTGAGAGAGCAGCCTCCAGGGGGGAGAGCGAGCAGTCGGAGCTTTGAGATGGCTGGCTTGGAGCTCTGAGGTGAGGGGATTATTTGCGTAGTGGTGAGCTCTTGCGGAGGAGTTGCATGCATGCGCTGCAGTTTAGTGGTGGGCTACTAGCTGTGAGATGGGGCTGAGGGATAGTGAATACCAGCTCTTGATAACATGATCTTTGTGTGTGCGTTTTGATGTGATGTGATGTGATGTATGTTCTGTGAATCATAAGAAATTGCTGGGGTGAATGTCTAACAGGCTGGGGGGCGCGGGTGTTGATGTGTTGATATATGTTCCACTCGATCTCATGTCAAGTATTCCAAAGGGAGATTGAGGTCTGAACAGTTCAGGCAACATCTCTGCTTTGTTATAAAACTTTTGCCATTATCAATAATAGCGTTGGCGCATCAAAGTGGCCCGCTCGGTGTATATATACATTAAGTATTCTGTAAATAACCCCCATCTTAGTAAAATTCTGTATATGCGCGGCACCAAATAAACAAGTGCCACCCCCTTTACAAACCATACAAAGAACAACAAACCTCTATCTCCCTCTCTCCCTCCCTCTCTCTCTCTCCCCCCTCTAACACCCCCCCGACGTCCCCACCGGCCCAACCCACGCATCCTCAATCGTCACAGCCTGTCCCCCACAAGGCGGAACCGTCAACGTCCTATTCCCACTCTCATACACCCAAGGCTGTCCACAATCCTGCTGTCTCGCAAACTTATAACTAATCTCCTGTCCCGCCGGCAAATACGCGCTCAACGTCCACAACGGCCTCTCCGCCGTATAACCCCCCGGATTAAGGGGGTACGAATTATCGATATCCCACGCCCCGAAGTCATCCGACGAGCCGACGGCGTAGATGTTCTCCCCGTAATAGGTGGATGCGTTGAGGTTGATACCGACTTGGATTTGGCATCCGACTGTTACGTTGGGGGCGCCGGCGGCGAGGGCGGGAATGTAGACGCCTTGTGTGGAGGAGGTGGCGGGGGAGCAGGTCTTGGGAGGGGAGGCGGCGCGGGAGGAGCCCCAGGTGGGGGGGAAGGAGCCGGCGCGGCGGCGGGACATAGTTACGAAGGCGGCGTAGGACCAGGTTAGGTGTGTTGCGGATAATGGGGCGCCGGAGGTGCGGTTGAATTGCTCGGAGAGTGCGCCATCGGCTGGTGTGTATTTTTGGGCGATGGCGACGAAGGAGTCGGCGTAGGTTGTGATCGCGGCGAGGATGGCGGTGAATTCCTTGGTGTTGGATTTGTAGATTTTGGTTTTGATGGAGGGGTAGAGGTCTTTGAAGAAGGACAGCGAGGTGGAGTCGACGGAGATGAAGCGCTGGGTTTTCCACTGCGCGATGGCGTCGTAGAGGAGCTCGGCTGAGGCGGTGGTGAGGAGGTACCAGGGGTGTCCGCCGTAGTAGACGTCTTCTGTGTATCGCCCCACGGCGACGCCGGAGTTGGCGGGGATGTTCTTGTTGATGCTGTAGGCGGATCGGAAGGAGTCGATTAGGGCTTTGAAGTTTGCGAGGGTCTTGCTATGGCAGGGTTGCAGGGTTGGGCTGGAGCAGCTGGCGTTGATGTCGAAGACGGTTATGGGGCCGACGAGGGTGTTTCCGTCTAGGCCGCTGCGGGCGGTGTTGGTGTTGATGTTGGCGACGAGGTGATTCCCGTTCCAGAAGTCCTCGAGGAAGCAGAGAACCTGCGGCGCCTGGTCGCAACCGGTACATTTGACGCCGAGGTCGCGGGCAAGCTGTTGACCCTCAGCGAGAGCGCGGTGGGACGTCTGGACTGTGAAGAAACTGGAGCCGTTGACTTCCTCCCACAGATCGAAGCCGGTCTGGTTCCAGTACTGGCCGACGTAGGACAGGTCGTTCGAGATGATTGGCCAGATTACATTCTTCGCCTTCTTGGCTTGGCCGTGCTTCATCAACCACTTGCTGTAGGTCATTAGGGTGATGGCGCGGAGGGCTGGCCCGTCGCGCTGGGGTCGGCCCCAGGCGCCGTTGAATCTCTTGCCGTCGACCATGTACTTGGGCTCTCCTAGGCCGAGACCTTGGGGGAGGAAGGTTCCGGATGGGTTGGAGACGGTCTGGAGAACGGCTTGGGATGTAATGTACTGCTCAATCTTGGCTTGGAGCTTTTTGTCGCCGCTGAAGGCAAACTCGTCGACGATCATCAGCATGGTCAGGGCGGCATCGCGACTCCATGAAAAGAAGTCTAAGATGAAGTCAGTCCAAGTTCCGAGTAGTTCTTCCATCACGGGATATACTCACAATCTGGGTCAACCTTAGAAGGGCTCGCGACAACGAAACCGGCACCTGCTCCTGGAACTCTCGATCCATCAGGACCAATATTGTTCAGGACACCCTGCAGCGCGATCTTCTTCTCAGCCGCGACGAATTTGTCAAGGCGAGACGATGGGCTAGATCCGTGCGATCCGTGACCATTATCACCGTTCCCACCCGGCGCAGCAATTGCGTGGGATGCCAGCAAGGAGACGAGTCCCGCGACCGAAGGAGAGATAAACTTCATGGTGAGAAGAGCTTGAAAAGGGCTTGAAGCGACTGAAACGAATGGTGGTTCGAATGAAGTGCTGATCAACAGACTTTGCTCACAACCTTATATACTTGTTTCCTCGCCATCCCATCCCATCCCGTCCTTTGCCTAGAAGCTATGCAGTCAGTCAGTCCATATTGCTTTCTGCAGTCTGGTGATGAATGACGGGAAGAATACGCATTCAACGGGCCGATTAAGTTAGCAGACACCAAACAGACAAGCCTGCACGCTTCCGTCCCTCCCATCCTCGGTCGTGAAAATCCCGTCATTTGGGGACGTGGGGTCTGGGGTAGAGATGGTGGATTTAGAGTAGCTCAGTGGTAGCTTGCTTTGCGCACAGAGACGCGATGCTTAAAGCGGCTGTGAGGCGTTTTGATAAATCACCGGTCTTGGCCAGACATTTCGCCGAAGATATAGTAAATGGCTGGTGCTACCCCGCTGAGATCTTCCCCTCTTCCCCTCTTCCCCTACAAAGTCCGCGCCAAGGCAGTGAAGACGGTGAGATCAGCCGTGTCCACCAAGCTAGTTCTTGGGTTCTAGAATGGGAGTAGAATAGCGTCCTGAGTTTCGCCGTGCCGCGGGTGCTCTGCCACATGTCGTGGGAGCCTCAGCTTAGCCAGCTTAGCCAGGACTACTTCGGGGCCTTATAGTTAGTTAATGGTCCCGAAGACATTCCGCGCCGTCGTCCGATTGGTTTGGCTTGGTTCGGTTGGTTGACGACTCATTCCAAGGAACGGCAGCGGCAGTATCCTGTTTAATTATCTTCTTCTTAAAGGCTTTAGTTTGAGCTGTTGTGAACACTTTGTTTATCCCTCGTCGTCGGTCGTGGTGACTGCGGTGGTGACTTCGGGGCCTTGGTAAATCTGGCTTGCAACTGCTGTAGACTCAATTGAAACCCCTTAAGCCACTCACAGGCTTTAGATAAAGAGTATTCCACTACAAAAATGATTTGCATGAGTTCATACTTAATTTATTGTGTATAGGTATGATAAAGGTTATATTAAGGAAATGACGGTGAACGACTCACTATCCCTTCCGCGACCGATTATCCGTATAACAGCTCCCTCAGTCGAAGCCTCTCCATATGCCGCCTAACCCTCTAGAATATCACAAACCTCCTTTAAAAATAAAGATATATAACCTCCTTATTGCTTCCAAGATCTCTCTACGTCAAATATCTAACTTCAAAACATACCATCTGATATCTAGGCCCAACAATGTCAAGCTTTAGCTGTCAAACGGCAATGGTCCGTGCGTCGCGCGGTCCAACTTTCGTACCTCTTATCAACCTCATCTATCTTCCACCATCCGAACGAGGCTCCGAACAAACCCACGGCGCGCACACGCAACACATTGGCATCTACCAGGCAGGATAGAGATGTGCAATCCGATCGCCATCAACACATAAACCGCTTCTCAGCACTACTCACTCTACAGTGCCTATTCACGCACCACAATCCATAACCCCAGGGCGCGGCCCCATCCACCAAGCTGAGACTGCGAAAATGGACAACTCCGCCCCCAGCGGCAACAACAAACACATCAAGGAATTTCCAGCCATAGACAACAAACTCCACGCCCTAACCAAGAAATCCCTCTTCGAAAAACAGCGCGCAGAGGCAGAGGCGAAGCGCGTAAGGGAGGAGGCAGAGACGAAGGCTGTGTATGAGAGTTTTGTGAAGAGCTTTGATGATGATGAGGGCGGTGGCAACCCGAATGCTTACCCTGTAGATGGCGGGGGGTATGGAAGAGGCGGAGGAGGAGGAGGAGGAGGGTATGGAAGGGGTGGAGGAGGAGGGGGGTATACAAGAGGACAACAAAGCGGCGGTTACAATGATCGCGGTGGAAGGAGGTTCGGCGGACCACCACCGCCACCAATGCGCGGCTCAATGAGCGGCTCAATGAGCCGGCCAGGGAGTCTAGGACCCATCCCCGGACCGCCGCCGAGGAAGAGGGGTTTCGAGGCGTCTTTCAACACCAGCAGCAGTACCGGCTCTCGTCGCAGCGTCGGTGGCGAGAAGGGCGACAGGGGCGCCCTCCTAGGCTTCGACGACTCGCCTCCCCGCGCCACACCACGCGGTTTCGGTGCCTCGGATGATGAGGAGGAAGATGATACTGCGGCAGGGAGGACGGCTGGTGGGAGGGCATCAGGCGGGAGAGCAGAGCCGGCGCTGGCGAAGCCGACGTTGAGACTTGCGCAGTTGCCGCCGGGGACGTCGACGGCAGCGATTAAGGCGTTGATTCCGGGGTTGACTGTTGATGCTGTGAAAATCCTGCCTCCGCCACCTGGAGGGGTAGCAGGAGGGGAAAGAAGGAGTATGACGGCCATTGTGACGCTATCCCAGGAGACGGCGGCGAATGATATTGATGCCGCTGTGCATGCATTGCAGAATAAGTATTTGGGGTTTGGATTCTGTCTCGAGCTGCATCGACATTTATCGTCTGCCGCGCTGGAGTCATCCACCGTCGGCGCCGGCAGCGGGCGCGGAGCTGGTTCCGCCGCAGGAGCAGCTGCGCATCCATTCGGCGCGAAACCAGTAGTCGTCGAAGGGGCCCCAAACACGCAACAATTCGCACCGAACCAGTACCGCGGCATCGCTCCCCCGACTTCCTACGCCTCCACCCCACGCGGGCCTTTAGGACCCATCCTCCACGTCCCAGTGCGGCAACCATCTGACATCAAAGAGCTGCGCGTCATCCACAAAACCATCGAGTCGCTTCTCACGCACGGCCCGGCCTTCGAGGCGCTGCTGATGAGCAGACCAGAAGTTCAGCGCGAACCCCGCTGGGCGTGGCTGTGGGACGCCAGGAGTGGGGGGGGTGTATACTACCGCTACCGGCTGTGGGAGATGATGACATCCTCCTCTCCCAGCTCTGGTCGCTACGTCCCCCTCTTCGAAGACAGCGCGGCGTGGAAGGCGCCTGAGTCCGGGCTACCCTTCGAGTTCGTCACGCGGCTCGATGAGTTCGTCGAAGATGCCGCTTATAACTCTGACGACGACGAGGAAGATTCCGGCGACGAAGCAGCAGCGGGGCGCGGGAAAGAAGACGAGGGTGGACCGGGTTACCTCAACCCCCTCGCCAGGGCAAAACTAACGCACCTCCTCGCCCGCCTCCCTACTACGACGGGGAAATTGAGAAAGGGGGATGTAGCACGCGTAACCGCCTTTGCCATAACTCACGCCGGGCGTGGCGCTGACGAGGTGGTCGAAGCACTTGTGGCGAACGTCGCGCATCCCTACTCTTTCACCTCCGCCAACCCCTCATACCGGCCCCCTCCCCCAGCAAATGGAGTAGAGGGGAAGGAAGCAGGGGAGAAAGAAGACACCACCCCTGCAACCCTCAACGCCCTCCACCTCATCTCCTCTCTCCTCTCCTCCTGCTCCACATCCCGCATCCGCCACGCCTGGCGCTACCGCTCTCTAATTGAATCCGCGCTCCGTCGGTCAAAGACATTCGAATACCTCGCTAGTCTGGAGCGACGTATGGGCTGGGGTCGCATGCGCGGAGAAAAATGGCGGAGGAGTGTGGGACAGGTACTTTCGCTGTGGGAGGGGTGGTGCGTGTTCCCTGCCAAGGCGCAAGAAGGGTTCGTAGAGGCTTTCAAGATACCGGTGAGGGAGGAGAAGGAGGTTGAGGAGAAGAAGGGAGGGGGGAGGTGGAAAGCTGTTGAACGGGCTGTTGGTGCGGATGCTATTGCGGGTAGTGGTGGCGGGGAGGAGGAGGATGTGGATGGTGAGCCGATGGTGGAGGATGAAGATGAGGATTTAGATGGTGTGCCTATGGAGCCGTCTGACGAGGAGGAGGGTGACGTGGATGGTGAGGCTATGGTTGTTGATGCGGATGAGGAAACGTATGAGCCTCCGCCTGCGGAACCGGTTGTTGTGGAGCAACCGCAGCAGCAGGAGAGTGAGGTTGAGAAGCCAGTTAGGAAAAGGCCGAAGGCGGAGGATATGTTTGCTGATTCGGGGAGTGAGGGGGAGTAGATAGGATAGGGGTTCTTGGATACGTGGGGGTGGTGGATATCAGACATCCACGATTGGTGTATGTAGGAAATATGTATACTAGAAGGAATCAAGCCATATTGGCGCAATAACCTACACGGGGAAGTTCCAGGCCCTTGTCCAAAGCTCAAAAGTACTACTATAGACCAGTCCACCAAACGACATTCCCAAGAAATATATGTATGTGAGGTCGCATACTCAAAGAGGCCAGCAAATAAAAAAAAAGAGCTTATTAACCTTCATACCTATCGGTCAGCTGTATCATGACGTTACTGAGACTGATATTCCGCCATGCTTTTCCAACCTGTCGATATGACATCGGATGGCCACAGTTTTAACCGACAGCAACTTCGATAGGTGACAGCGGCATCGAGAGACAACAGCTTCCGACGACAACAGTATAATAGACAACAGCACCAATCGACAACGGCACCACCCAACGACATATCTGCCTCGTACGCATCACATCGCCTCAAATAATACAGAGCTAACTTACCGAAAGTCTACTGCTGAGACGTAGGGGGGATCTGATGCGATTGTTGATGGTTGGCTGATGGGGCCTCGTCGCCACGTCCCAGTAGCTTTTGTCCAAGGCGGCAAAAGATCACGCTGACAAGATCACAAAGACAAATCCACTTCAAGAGAATATATATACCCATTGCAGCATCTCCAATCTACAACTCCCATCCCCATCTATAATAGAACCCTGTCTATCCTAACGCCCTGGTATAGGGCGAGTAGATACACCCAACCAATACCGCCCCAACGCCTTCCATCCAATTCATTATCCCATCCCAAAACTCCTTCCAGCCCATCCCATCCCATCCAAAAAACACAGCAATTATTACAACAACACCCCCCTTCCCCAAATTTTAAGCCCCAGGCCCCATCGCATCCCCACCCCCCTTATCAACCCTCACCTCCTCCACCGGCAACTCCACCCCCTTAATCGGATGCAACAGCACAGGCGGGACACACATCCTCCCCTCCGACCCCTCCCCAACCTCCATCTTCTCCCCCCCCAACTCATCAACCTTAAGCCCCATCCACCTCCTCCACAAGTTCCCCGCAAACCCAGAATTATAATACCACGTCATCCCCAACAAATTATGTTCTCTCTCCCCAAAGATCCCCATCTTACTCGCCCCCGTCGCCCCGTTGCGCCCACTATTCATCGTCGCACCCAGGTACGGCAGCGGCCACACGCGATCCACGAACATCGGGTGCGGCGCGTATACCGCCTTGTAGCCGTGATTTAGCGCCGCCTGCGCGGGCCACATCTCGGGAAAGGCATGGTGCTTCTTGATCGCCGTCTCGCGGTGCATGGTGTTGAGTAGGCGGCGGGAAAGGCGGCTAGCGGTGACGATGGAAGCACGGCGCGGGGGGAGGCCGTTGGTGCGGTTGTATCCCGTGACATCCTCAGCGAGGAGCCAGGTCGTGTAGTCAGGGTCGAAGAGCGGGTTGAGAGTGATGAGATCGGCGTCTTCGCCGACGCCCCATTCGTACTTGTCGTCTTTGAAGAGGCGGGGGGGGACGGGGTCGTTTTCGGTCTCGAACCAGTCCTCGGCATGCTGGGGGCGCTCGGGGCCCCAGATGGGTTTGTCGCCTTTGGGACCGTTGTTGACGGATTGGCCGTCTTCGTTTAGGCCCGACCAGATGTTGCCGGGGGAGTCGGTGCCAGACTCGGTCTGAACGCGCACCATGTGGCTGAAGTCTTCCCAGCTGCCGTGAACGGCCGGGATGTAAAAGCGGCTGTTGCGCTCCCAAAGGAACTTGCGGGGTTGTGCTTTCGTCCAGGTATCCATCTTTTGGAAGAGGTTGTACCAGTGGCCGGTGTATCGCACGTCCATCTCCCACTGCCAGAAGAAGTCGTATTCAGGGTGTTTCTGGGCAAACCACTGCAGTGCTTGGATTAGGCCGCGGTATACGCCGTGGATTGGCAGGTTGCGGAAGTTCGTCTCTTCCATGCCGTTGTACAGCATCACCATCTGGGTCTCAGACCACAGCGTTGCGATGCCTTGGAATTCTGCAGGGACGCGCTCTTTGAGGTGCTTCGTGTAAGTTTCTTCGTCGGCAAAGACTGGGATCGATTCATCCTTGACTTGCACTAGAAGGTGAATGTCATACTCACCACCAGAGCCCAATGATAGCTCGGTAATGAGACCGCGGAGCCACAGAATGTCCTCCTCGCGGTAGACAAATTCGTCCCACGTGCGGATAACAACTGCAGTTCTGTGGACGAGCTTTGCTCCAATTCCATGGGGCTGCGTGGCGGTAGCAGAAGTAGAATCCGCAGAAGCTGTAGTGGTAACAGGGGCAATAACGTTAGCAGCAGGTTCTGCCCTCTTGTTATTCCTGGTGACACCGCCAGCGCCTGATCTGAAGCGTTTGGCGTTGGAGATAGAACACCGTAGCTGTGCCTCGGCCCAGTCGACATTTGTGAAATCGTACTGTGGAACTTCACTCCAGACTTGATCTGCTCCATCCATATCGCCATGCATACCGCTTGCCAGCCCGCCCTTTCGCAACGAGTAGCCGTGACCGTAAGGGCCAAGTCTTCCATACCTGTCAAAACAGATATCATCAGGCAAGCCCATCATATCGTATGAGCCCATGATATGGTCAGCGAACCCAGCCGGCCTACCCTCGTAGTAGCGTAGAGGCGGGATCCTGGCATTGGTCTTGGCGTCAAGGAAGCACTCCTTTACTGGAACGTATTCCTGCAGGTACGCGCTCGAGTTGTAGTCCGGATACGGGTTGTACGGTTTGCTGGAAGGAATGCCCAGTTTGGACGACATAACTTCTGTGATGTTCAACAATTCCGTCTCATCTTCAGGGTCCCTGGGGTATTCGGGCTTGTTCTTCGCCAGCGACACCAATGCCTTGATCCCGCCATAATATCGGACCGAGAATGGAAACGACTCCCATTGTTTAGCTCCTTCCGGTCGATGGTTCCCCATGTCCTCCAACTTCTTTGAGTCTATGATGCTCATAGCGATTAAGAAGCCTATGAATGCAAGCACTCCCAGCATAATCAAGAAGCACAGGTATCGTATGATTCTCTGAGGCACTCGATATGCAAAACATCGTTGTCGCGTCCGCAAGATTGTCCTCCTCTTTATCATCGGTTGGGCCGAGTCATATGACCCAGAAGTGTCTCTGGAAGAGCTTGTAACGGGAGAGATGGGCAATGAAGAATCATAGTCGTCGCTGGAAACTTCGTAGTCATGATCAATAATGTTTTGTTTCTCCGAGTCAATCGAGTCAATCGAGTCTCTCGCGCGTGATGATTCATGAAAGGGCAGCGCAGAGTAATTATTTGACGACCGGCGCTTGGCCACCTTCAAAGGGTTCAGGGCATCGAGGGCCCCCATGTTTGTTGACTGTGATCCTGACTATGTATTTTGACACCCGCTTGTCACCAGGACTCAAGCTTTCGAGGGCAGCTCCCAGACTATATAGGTCTTTGGTTAGCTATGAAGCGACAGAACCGCCTAAGGCAAGTGGAGAAGATGCCAAAACTTACGCCAGACGTCATGCAGTAGTAGTGAAATGACGGAAAGCGCAGAAGAAACGCTGAACCAAACCGTGGGTCGCTATGCTGTTGGGTATCTTGCTGAGGAATCTAGTATATACACTCTCGCGGAAATAGCGCTCAATAGACGTGAATCTCAAATATGTCCGTTAATCGTTAATCGTAGCCGTGGTTGTCTCAATAGAGTCGAATCGGGAGAATGGTCTGATCTGATGCCTTCTAGACCGTAAATTGAGGTTGGTCGTCGGGGCAACCACGACCGCGAACCCCTACAGAAGATGACAAGGACGATCAATAAAACGCGTGATTTGCGACACACGAACGTACGTGAAGTGACAGCACAAATAAAGTAGAATAGAAAGACGATGGATATTTAATTAACTCATAAATTATCCAGATATCCTACATATTGCTGTTTAAATGGGTGCTTATAAAGTAATCTTAGTTTCGAAAATTTAAAATCTGGAGTAGAATTCGGGGTTCACACGTTTATAGTATGAATACCCCTACTTTTTGAAGCTTTTTATGGCCTCATTCTGTTGCCTCTACTCGTATACCGTATCACCACCAAACGCCGAAGATTATACAGCGCTCCGAACCGTCAGTCATCCATTTTCCAGATTCCTTGCAACGCCAACGACAAAATATCGAGTATCAGGATCTACCAATCATCATCCTCATCCGAGCCATAATCCACCAAGCCGAGCGCCGGTTTGGGCTCAACTGCTTTCTCAGGTGTAGGCTTTACCGGGAGTTTCTCTGTAGCTGTCGCAATGGTCGGTTTGGCCTCGGCTCCTTTATGCGGACTTGCTAGGTCGTTCTTTCCCTTCTGAGTTTCGACTTTGACACTCGCGCCTTCCGTTCCGGGATCCTCTGTCGCTCCTGCCTGTTTGCCAGTAGCCGAGTCACTCGATGATGCCTTCCTTAGCTTAAGCCCCTTGAGCGCTCCTTCCTTCCCTCGTTTCCTCTTCTTAGCCGCCGTAGCCCACTCATCATCCGCAACTGCTGTAGTAGTTTCCGCACCAGTCTCGCCCTTTGCCGCTTTATCCAGCTCTTCTTGTCTCCTCCTGAACACCTCTAGCCCCTCATTCGTCTCCTTCCTCACACGCGCTTCCTCCGCCCGCGTCGACTCGAGGACCGAGTCTAAGAAGTCAATCTCATCATTGTCGAGCGCACGGAACTGGTTCTTGAGTCTGCTCGCTTCTTCAAAGGCGTCTTGTTTCGCAGCTTAGGGACAGGCTACGTGATCAGCATTGGGAGCTCTCGGTACAAAACGTGAGGGCTGGGCAATGAGGGCAAAAAAACCTTTGTTAGCTTCGAGAGTCTCGAAAAGTGAGCGCCCAGAGTTCTGCGCCGCTGCCTCGTCGGCCTTGCGCCGGCGGTTGGCTTCGAGCTCAACCTGCGCCGCAAGCCATTCGTCAGAGCGCTCGATGGGCGCGTCTGTCGTGCCACCGGAGACAAAGCCAGAGGACATTGTGAGTGATAGGCGGGGCCTAGAAGGAGCTATATGAAATTCGCACCTGGCCGGAGTTTGTGGGGTGCTGGCGTATCTTCGGGTTAACACAGGCAGGGTGTTAGTCGTCCGGGACACTCGGTGCCGGTCGTACGCGTGGGCTGACACACAAATTTTAGCCTAAAGAACTCTCGACGTCACCCCAACTCCCCCCAACTCCCACATTCCATCCAAACCCCCACTAACACACCCCACCGCCATAATCCACCGTCTACCCCACCGGTACCCCTCCATCCATGGTAAACCAACTTTGATAGGATGAGACGGGGACGACGCCAGCCAAGATCTACAGGTGGGATTGCGACGGAACAATTGGCAGCGAGGGGTTAAGGAGTACTTGAGTCCGAAGAGAAGGCCGGAGAATTTACTTAGTAACCGGTATAAGAAGGCAGGAGGCCCTTGGACTTTTTTTTCCCCAAGTTAATCTGCTCAATCCTTTGTTTATTTGATACCCTTGAGTCTCTTTACAATACCTTTTATCTATCCCAATAACACGTCAAACTGGCTTTTAGAAGAATCACAATGGCTGCCGTCAACCACACCTCGTAAGTGTTCCCATCCCCCCCCTCACTTTGAAAAGCGCTCACCCTGTCTGCAGCAAGACGTTCACTTTGAACACTGGTGCCAAGATCCCCGCCATCGGTCTGGGGACGTGGCAATCCCAGCCTGGGGAAGTTGAGAAGGCCGTTGAGAGCGCTCTCCGCAGTGGTTACCGTAAGCCTCTCCCCCCCTCCATATTACCCCGCAATTTTCACATTTCACACATCCCTAACACACCCCCCAGGCCACATCGACACAGCCTTCGCCTACCAAAACGAGACTGAGGTCGGTGTCGGAATCAAGGCCTCCGGCGTTCCCCGCGAGCAGATCTGGCTCACCACCAAGCTCGACAACCCATGGCACAAGCGCGCTGCCGAGGCCATTGATGCCTCGCTCAAGAACCTGGGTACCGACTACGTCGACCTATACCTCATTCACTGGCCATGCAGCACCAACCCAAACATGAAGGAGGTCTACTCCGACTGGGATTACGTTGACACGTGGCGCGAGATGCAGAAGCTAGTCGAGACCGGCAAGGTGAAGAACATCGGTGTTAGCAACTTCGGCCAGAAGCACTTGGAGAGGCTCTTGGCCGATTCTTCTTGCAAGGTAAGCCATTTCCCCGCGTTCAAGTCATTGGAAAGGCGCGCAAGCGATGGTGAGGGGTAGAAACTGACAATACCAGATTGTGCCAGCCGTTAACCAGATCGAACTCCACCCCAACAACCCCTCCCCCAAGCTCGTCGCCTACAACACCTCCAAGGGCATCCACTCCACCGCCTACTCCTGCCTCGGTTCCACCGCCTCGCCGCTGCACAAGGACGCCACTCTCCTCCAGCTCGCTGAGAAGAAGGGCCGCTCGCCGCAGCAGGTTATGTTGGTGTGGAACATCACCAAGGGCCGCAGCGTCATCCCCAAGTCGGTGTCCGCGGACCGCATCCAGGCCAACTACGAGATTGATGGGCTTGAGTTGACTGAGGAGGATATCAAGGTTATTGATTCGATGCAGGGCCGCTTCAAGGTGTGTGATGGTAGTTTCTTGCCGCAGAACTACATGGAGAAGGTGTTCTACCACGATGATGAGTAAATGCACGTCGTGATGGTATGATATAATGAAATAACAGCTAGTTTAAGGCACGATTTAGAGAATAAAAAATATGTATAGCTGCAAACTTGCCACTGGTGCCTGGCTCTTCAAAATGTAGTCAATTGTCAAAATGCTTGGTCGCACGATGCGTGATGTGTATTCCCATTTGCACCAGGTTTGATAATCAGAAACTGAAGCGAGAGTCATCTTCAAAAAGTGAGCATCATAAAGTGGCAAACAAAAAAAAGTCTTTGTATGTTTAGACGCGAAAAGAGAGAGCGGAACAGTCACGTCTGTAGACGTGGTGGTGATGCACCCTGACAGGAAAATACAAAAAAATTACAAAAAATATAGCAATTGCATGTTTCGATCATGCGACCTCCGGGTTATGAGCCCGGCGCGCTTCCGCTGCGCCAAATTGCTGTTTGAATGAAAAGATGTGACATGTTGTGGTATATGAATCACACAAGAGTGTGATCCGCTAACCGAGTTCGATAGTCGATTTTTCTTTGGTGGGGGCAGTGTTTACCCCCACCATCAGCTCCAGTTACTGTAAAGGACATACTAGCACATGGAGTACCAATCCTACTAATGCGCAGTTAGAGTACCACAATACAGGATGCGCGCTCCTCTGGGCGACCCGCATCACCAGCATCGTCCACTCACAACTACAGCTGTTGGATCGCCGAGCCTCCACGACTCCAGAGCACCATAACACAACCAATTGCAGCGGCAGTTAGGCCTTGTGCTCCAGCCTTGGTTTGTGACGCCCTATCTACTTTCGTCATAGCAAATAGCCAGCTCAGCTGTGAGGAACCAGCAGGACAAGGCGCGAACGAGGGGTAAAGTCGTGGGCCGCGCGGGCTGTGTGAGGGTTGTTTATAATGGGCTGGGCTTCACCTTTGCTGTGGTTCACCGACACTCCTGTACAACCGCGCAAAATGGCTTCTCCTCTCATTATCAGGAACTTGACTTCCACGCCGATTGAGCTGAAGCTCATCGAGCGCTTCCAGGCCCCTGGCCAGGCACCGGCTAAGACTGAGGAGAAGAGCAACAACAACGAGTCAAGCCTGGGAAGCTTGGCCAAGAACTTCACGACTCTGATGAACAATGTTACGAACACTATCCAGAGCCCAACTAACCTCGAGTTGGCAGCCAATGCACAGAGCTTCAGCCACAAGGATGTCAACATCAGGATCGAGCCGTTTGAGGTTTGCAAGACCGATATCCCGCTCAAGGAGCGCGACGACCACGAGATTATGCGATTGACCTTCGAGAACGCAGGGCAGCGTTACAGGCTCGACGTCCCATCTCCAACCAGCAAATCTACCTCTTTGACTCCTCTTCAGCAGAACTCGCAGTTTGAGTATACTGGAGTCTATCTGCCGCAGAGCTCTTACCTCTCTCTCTACTCATCTGCGCGCCTCAACTCCTGGATGGGCAAGCTCAAGCCCCAAACTCCTCTGTCGGCGCTCTCAATCCCAGGAACTCACAATTCCGCAACCCACTACCTTGCGCTCCCATCCGTACGCTGCCAGGCTGTTTCGGTGACCGACCAGCTCAACAACGGCGTGCGCTTCCTCGATGTCCGCGTCCAGCCCGAGAACCTCGAGGATCCCAACGCCGACGGCCTGATCCTCGTCCACGCCGTCTTCCCAATCTCGCTCACGGGCAACAAGTACTTCCGCGACTTCCTCAATGAAGTAACCGCCTTTCTCGACCAGAACCCCTCCGAGACCGTCCTCATGAGTCTCAAGCGCGAGGGTGTCGGAAAGTCCACCGACCAGCAGTTCTCCAAGATCCTGCACGACCACTACATCTCCAAGGACAAGGGGCGCTGGTTCACCGACAACCGCATCCCGCGCCTAGAAGAGGCCAGGAAGAAGATCGTGCTCGTCCGTCGCTTCGGCGTCGATGACGCTGTCAAGGGGTACAACAACAACGCCGGCTTCGGTCTCGACGCTTCCAGCTGGCCTGACAACTGTGAGGACGGCCTCTGCGTCGGCGGCACCATCCGCGTCCAGGACTTCTACGAGGTCGAAGAGAGCGTCAACATTGATAAGAAGATTAAGTTCTGCCACACCCATCTTGAGAAGGCGGGTTCGCTTGTGTGCCCGCTGCCTGGTGCGGCGAACGCAGCCCAGGCGCCAAACCCCTTCTTCATCAACTTCTTGACTGCGAGCAACTTCTTCCGTCCGGGATGCTGGCCCGACCGTGTCGCTGCGAAGGTTAACCCCGCGACGGTGGATTTCTTGTGCCGCAGGCATAACGAGAAGGAGTACTATAGCACGCTGGCGGAGAGGCGCGCGATTGGGGATGGTAGCACGGGGATTGTGGTGTGCGATTGGGTGGGAGAGAAGGGTGATTGGGATCTAGTTAGGTGTATTGTTGGACACAATGCCAAGTTGGAGTTGAGGGAGAACAAATAGATGGTTTATAGACCGATGTGGCTATGATTTGAATAGGGAGGAAGAAGGTAGACGAATAACAAAATATATTTCATGAGGCGTTGCCAAGTGTCTTCTTACATTCTATGCCAAACCAACACTATGAAAACAATATAATACAGTCCTCACTATCATACCCATCTACTCCGCCTTCACCTCATCCTTCACCTCCGGCCCCTTCGCCTCATCCTCCAACATCATCCTCCTCCCCTCTACCGTAAAAAACAAGCTCTTCCCCGCGCTCTCCAACGCATTCGTAACCCCAGCCCCAGCACTCTGCAACAAATGCACAACCTGCGCCCTCAACCCATCCAATCCACCCGGAATCATACCCACCCACCTCGCGCCCTCCATATCGAACACCTTCCCCTCCACCCTCGCGCCTAGCAGCTGCAGCTTCTGCAGACCCGTCTGCACCGCATTATCATGCCACCCCGGGTGCGCCTTCCGCGTCGGCGCAGGGTACTCTGGTGCCAACGGCGCCAACACCGTCAGCGCCGCCTTCAGGTGCGCTGGGCTCACAGTTGGGAAACTCAGCACCGCGACAGGGCCAGCGAGCAACGGCGCGAATCCGTGCGAAGTCCTCTTTCCCACGACAGCCTCGTGCGCAGCTTTACTGAGCGTGTGGCTCGCCTCCCCCGATCCCACAGCAGACGGATCAAAGTACTCCACCACGCGTAGCGCCGCAGCAAAAATCCCCGTCTGCACAATCTGCAGCTTCACAGCCGACCCCGACGGGACCGGCTCCCCAGCCAAAGCAAGCCCAGCATCCACCTTCGCGAGCGCGGCAGCAAGCTCACGACGCAGCGACGTCCATTCCGCGGTATTGAGGTTGTTGTGCTGGAAGAGGATGAGGAGGGGTGTCGAGCGGAGCAGCGAGGCGTATTGGCGCAGGAGTTGGGTTTTTCGGAACTGGGCGGGCTTGAGGGAGATGGGTTGGGTGGTTGGGAGGCGGGATTTTAGCGGTGGAAGGGAGGGGTGCGAGGAGGTGTTCGCGGTTATGGTTGCGGTGGCGTATTGGCGTGGGAGGAGGGTGGTGGTTGCGGTGGTGTTGGGAGTGCGGAGGAGGGAGGTGAGGGCGGCTCGCGAGGGGCGGTGTAGCCGTGGTGGCATGGTGGGCAACTTGTTCTGGGGAGGGGTGTTAGGTCAATTGAGGGTTTTGGGAGGGATTGGGATCGTGACGTACGGTGGAAGTTGCGTGGAGTTGGTGAACTGGTGAAAGCTCCTGGTCTCTCCTCGAATTTAGGAATCGTCTCGGTCCAGTAATTTTGGCATCGAACAAATATTTGTTGCCTCAGGCATCAATACATTGTCAGCGTTCATGATTGGGCGCGACACAACGTGCCCGCCGATATTCTTCCGAATATGGTACTTTATTCAATACCACCCTATGACTCTCTCTTGTGATATCTGTACAATACATTCGGGGTAATAAAGCAAACAGGCAAACAGTTATTGGCTTACTGTTCTTTATTAAAGCAGCCCTTTGGGCAACAACCTCGCTCCATTTTCATTCCTCTTTATTTCCCAATTTCACATTTTCCAACATCATGTCGCTCCCACAAATCTCCATCACGCCCTTGCTCAAGAGGCTTTGGCCCGCCGGGGTCGAGCCACACGTGAGCGCCGACGAGATCGCAGCTGCGATTTCGCACATTTTTACCAATCAGCTGTCGCCGGTCCAGATCGGTGCGCTGCTAACTTGTCTGCATTTTACCGGGAGGGACCGCACAGCGGATGTTATTGCGAAGTGCGCGAAGGCTATGCGGGATGCCGCTGCACCGCTGGATAGGAGCATATTGGCAGAGGTTGTGAAACGGAAGGATATGGGAGAGGGGAATTATAAGGGCGGGCTGGTGAGTGGGATTTTTATCACTTGGGTTGACTTTACTAACTCGTAACAGGTTGATATTGTTGGCACGGGAGGTGATTCTCACCATACTTTCAATATCTCGACGACTTCGTCTATCCTGGCGTCCTCACTTCTCCTTGTAAGCAAGCACGGCAACAGAGCATCCACCTCAAAGTCCGGCTCGGCGGATCTCCTTGCTTCCACTCTACCAGTCCCCCCGGTGCTCTTAAACGTCAGACCAGACACCATCGCCCAGGTGTATGAGAAGACCAACTACGCCTTCCTCTACGCCCCCGTCTTCCACCTGGCCATGAAGTACGTCGCGCCAATCCGCAAAGAGCTCGGCTGGAGAACCATCTTCAACCTCCTCGGCCCCCTCAGCAACCCCCTAGAAGGCGTCATCGAAGCCCGCCTCATCGGTGTCGCGCGCCGCGATCTCGGCCCCGTTTTCGCCGAGGCGCTCAAGATGACTGGCGCCACCAAGGCTATCATTGCGTGTGGTGCGGAGGATCTTGATGAGATTAGTTGTGCGGGGGACACTTACTGCTGGATGCTCAATGAGACGGTGGTTAATGGAGAGAAGGCGATTGATGTTGACCACTTCATCGTCTCCGCTGCTGACTTTGGTCTCCCCGCTCACCCGCTGTCCGAAGTTTCACCGGGTAAGGAGCCGGTCGAGAATGCAGCGATCCTTATGAACTTGTTGAATAACAAGCTCTCGAGAGATGACCCGATCCTCCATTTTGTGTTGATGAACACGGCGGCACTATTCGTGGCGTCGGGGATTTGCGAGGCGGATACGAGTAACATGGGTCCCGGTGATGACGGACAGGTCATCACGGAGAGAGGTCCGGGAGGTCAGAGATGGAAGGAGGGTGTTCGTAGGGCAAGATGGGCGGTTGAGAGTGGCGCTGCTTTGAAGCAATGGGGACACTTTGTGGAAGTCACCAACAGTGTGGGAGAAAAGACTCCGGAACCCTGGGTTTGAAGACCTCTCACCAGTGGCCACGTTTTGGTGACACGCTGTTGAGGGCTAGGATTATGGATATTTATCTTGGGATAGCTGGTTGGCATGTAGTATGTATTTAGAATGGTTTTCGACCGGCATTAGGTCTTGATTTAACGTTTAGAACTATTGACTTCGGGGTCTGAAAAAAAAACGGCGACGATGTATATAGCCGTTAAATGAAGTGGATACGAAGACATGCAATATCTTGACCATAATACTCTATGTTTTTTGGTATTTGTCATTAGTAGTACGAATATTTTCTGTATGACTTTATATTTATGTCCAACAAAAATAATATCATTATTTTATAAATCGGTAGAAAATAACCAAACACCACCAATACCACCAAATAACTATCTAATGAAGCCAAAAATATATACCACCAGTATAGCAACAACTATACAACCAGTAATAAACAAAAGAAACCAAATATTCCAACAAAAAACCGACCAAACTCTCATACAAAAAAAAAAGGTCGTCGCACGTGACCAGTCCTTTAACCCCCCCATAAATTCTGCCACCGCCTTCCACCCGCGCCTCCAAATATTTCGTTCGCGCCTCGCAATTGCATTTCTCAGCCTCCTCCCTCACATCCCACTACTCTAACTCCAAACACCACCACCATCTACTACTCCGCCACGAAAACCACACACACACACACCATGTCCTCGCGCGAAGCCTACGTCCCCCCCACCGCCGGCGGCGGCGTCCCCATCGCAGCTCGCGATCAGGGATACACTGCTGCGAGCGAGGGACCAGCGATCAACTACCTCTGTGGCGATTGTAACAGCCGTGTGCCGCTGAAGCGTGGGGATCCGATTAGATGCAAGGAGTGTGGACACAGAGTGCTTTATAAGGAGAGGACGAAGAGGTGAGTTTGCTGGGGTGGCGCGGAGTGAAGTTAGTGGGGTGGATGGAAGCTGACAGGAGACAGGATGGTGCAGTTTGAGGCGAGATGATGGGGAGGAGGAAGATGGGACGGACAAATACTTGGGAACGGGCCGCGGGGAGGGGGGGGGTGTGTGAATGGAGGGGAAGGGAAAATTGGGGGGTGGGGGGGTATTATGAAGGCGTGCATGGGACGGAGTACGGATGCGGGCGTTTTGAGATGTGGTGGTTCTGAGCAGTTTCTACACAGTGAAGCTCTACCAAATGCAACAAGATCGAGATTTTTCTCTGGTTCATGGCTATTATACCTTACACGGGCAAGTCTGTTATGGGTGTCGGTGGATGTGAGTTGATTTAGGGGTCCGTGAACTGTTGATCCTGCATCAGTTTGCCTCTGGTCTGGACACTCGAAAGGTTGAAAACGGCTGACAGCTGCCATATAACCGCCGCACAGTAACTACGGATGATGCGCTGGTAAGGTATTCATAATATTTCCATTTTGTGGTATTCAGATGCGCCTTGCAATGCCTCCATGAACGCCAGCTCCTAACAAATCCCCCATCCCTCTACATACCCATCTGACTCGACCTCACGTATCTCGAGAAGCTGTTGTCCTCGTCGGTCACCGCCCCCGACTTTTGCATGGCCTCCTTATACCTCGACTTCAGCCCCTCTTCCCTCTCTCCCTCATCACCCTCCGCAGCATCAGAGTCCGAGCTGTCCTCTAAATCGCTGATAACGTCCATGTCGACCTTCTCCTCTGGCGCATTTGACCTCTCCCCAGAGACAGCCATATCCTTCATCAGTTTCCCCAACTCCTTCTCTCTGCCCGCAGTCTTCTCATCAGCGCGCTGCTTCCGCCGCCTCTCAAGCTCGGGCTTGTAATCGCGGTTGAACTCGTCAGCCTTCTCCTGCACCGCCTCGAAGAACTCATCAATCCCATCGCCGGTCATGGAACTGACCCCAACGACACTCAGATGGCTATAAAACTCCTCCAACATCAAACTCATACTGTTCAAAAGCGACCCCATATACCCACTCCCCCCCCCAACACCCACCCCGCCCTCAACCCCACCAAAGCTGCCCTCCTCCTCCTCCGCCCTCAACGCCTCCTGAAACGCCTCAAAATCCGTCATCCACTCCTTTGCAAACTCCGCATCCTTAACATCCGTCTTATTGAACACCAAAATCATCGGTAACTTCGTCTTATACAAGATACTGCACGCATACAACATATTGCTCATAAACGTGCTCGTCGATGCCGTGCGCGGCGTATCGATAATATACGCCACCACCGTCGGGAAACTCGACGCCAGCGAATCGAGCAAAATACTCCCCGACGCACTCCACACGAACACCTCGATCTGCCCCGGCGTGTCGACGAGGATATGCTCGATGGGCTTCTTGTCCGGGTTCGCAGGGTCTGGTAAGGTGCGCTTCTCGAGCAGCGTGACGATCTGGTCTATTTTCGTGGCGAACAGGTTGAGCGAGGTGAGGATCCCGCCGTTGGGACCGAGGTTGTAACTCTTCATCACCTCTTGGTAGTTAACCGAGTCGCGGATGTCGATGTTGGACTCGAAGGGGACGGTGCGCACGGCGGGGTCGAGGTTGATGACGTAGGGGGGGGTCTTCTTTTCGTGGAGGTGAGCGTTGATGCGTTGCATGAAGGTGGTTTTGCCGGAACCTGTGGGGTGTGTAAGTTTGGGGTTTGAGATTGGGGTAGTGGAGGGGATGTACCGGCCATGCCTACGCAGACGATCGAGACGGGAGTTTGGGAAGCCATGGTTGTGTTGTGAGTATTATGGCGTGGAGTTGAGGCTGGAGATAAATTTGTAGATGCAAGGTGGGGGTGGACAAGGCTCAACTGATAAGCAAGCTAGGCCCAAGGCTGATTGATCAATGCATGGTCCGTGCGTTTTATGGACGTTGAAGCTTGGTTTGTGACGCGAGGTGATGAAGTTTAATCAAGATGCTGGATCAATGAATTATTTGGTGTCTTTATAATATATACCCAAAGAGCTGGAGATATACGCAAAAACCTCCATCCATTGACGAAACCATGAGATCAACATAAACGCACAACCATCAAAGCCGCATCTCATCCGCAACCCCAGCCAAGAGCTCTCTACAAACCACACTTAAGCCTTGTCACCAGCACCACACCCAACCATGGACGACGGCCTCGACGAATTCGAGAAGACCCTCGCAGCCGAGAAAAAAGCCCGCGAAGACGAAGAATCCAAATCCAAATCCCGCAGCGACCGCCACCGTCACCACCACCGCAGCCACCACCACAAGTCCCGCGACGACGACGACTCCGAGCGACGCCACCACCGGCGCTCGCGCGACGACAATGATGATGGACACAGGCATAAGCGCCGGCACCGCGACTCCTCTCGCGACGATGAGAGGAAACGGCGACATCGGGACGACTCCTCGCATGATGAAGAGCGCAAGAGGCGGCACCGTTATGAGAAGACTACCGATCCTAAGGAAGACCTGCCACTTCCTGACGAGGAGATACCGCAGACCGATGCGCCACTAGGTGTGGCCCCGCCGGCGGTGAAGCGCGATGCGTGGATGACGGCGCCGGGCGCGCTGGAGGTGGATTACACGCAGAGGGGGGCGAAGAAGGAGGAGAAGGGTACGGTGGAGGAGAAGATGGAGATTAAGATCCATCGGAACGAGTTGAATCACCAGTTGAAGGATGTGCGGTTGGAGGAAAGCGAAGCTGTGGATCCGGAGGATGAGGAGAGGGAGGTGGAGTATACATTTGGGGATAGTGGTGCACAGTGGAGGATGACGAAGTTGAAGGCTGTGTATAGGGAGGCGGAGGAAGGGAAGAGGACGCTGGAGGATGTGGCTGTTGAGCGGCTGGGGGGATTACGCGAGTTTGACGATGCGAGGGAGGAGGAGGTGGAGTTGGAGAGGAGGAAGTTGTATGGGAAGGGGTATGTGGGGAAGGAGAAGCCGAGCGGGGAGTTGTTTGAGGAGAGGAGGGCAGCGATGGCAGTGAAGAAGCAGAGAGAGGAGAAAGAGGCGGAGGAGGCTGCGAGGGATTTACCGCAGGGGAGGGTTATAGAGGAGCAGCAACCCCAGGCTCCTGTGGTGCGGGTCGACCAGACTCAGCTTAATAGGATGAAGGCCCAGCTGATGAAGGCGAAGCTTAAGGGTTCCCCTGACGTTGCAAAGCTCGAGGCTGAGTACAACGAAGCAGCCGCCGGCCTCCTCGCCAGAGGACCCGAAGTCATCGTCCTCGGCGAAATGGAGAACAGACTCCTAGCCGGAACACGCGGCGAAGTGGTCTCCATCGACAACAAACGCGGCCGCGAGCGCGGCCTCGTCAAGTCCAACGAAGACATGAGCATCGAAGACATGGTCCGCGAAGAGCGCCGCACCAAATACCAAGCCGGCGGCGAAGGACGTAAATTCGCCGAGCGCATTGCCAAAGACACGAAATTCGAGAACAACCTCGAATACATCGATGACAACACCGCGAAGCTCGCCAAGACTGCCCCGAAGTCCGAGATAAACCTCAAGAACATGGCCATCGGGGAGTTCCAGAAGATGAACCGCATCCTTGACGCCTGTCCGCTGTGCCATCATGAGGATCGCAATCAGGCGCCCGCTGCGCCTATTGTCTCGCTGGGGACGCGCACGTTTTTGACACTCCCTACTACCCCTGAGATCGCGGATGGCGGCGCCGTCATCGTCCCTATCGCGCACCGCACCAACTTGCTCGAGTGCGATGACGACGAGTGGGACGAGTTGCGCAACTACATGAAAAGCCTGACGCGCATGTACCACGACCAAGGGCGCGCCGTCATCTTCTACGAGAACGCCGCCGCCCCCCACCGCCGCCCCCACGCCGCCCTCCAAGCCATCCCCCTCCCCTACGAGCTGGGCGACACCGCGCCCGCCTTTTTCCGCGAAGCGATCCTGGCCTCCGACGAGGAGTGGACGCAGCATCGGAAATTGATTGATACGGGGAAGGCGGCGAAGGGGGGGATGGGGAAACTGGCGTTTAGGAGGACGTTGGCGAAGGAGATGCCGTATTTTCATGTTTGGTTTGATTTGGATGGGGGACTGGGACATGTGGTTGAGGATGCGAATCGTTGGCCGAGGGGGGATTTGTTTGCGAGGGAGGTGATTGGGGGGATGTTGGATGTGGAGCCGGATGTGGTGAAGAGGCAGGGGAGGTGGGTGAGGGGGGGGGATGTGGAGAGGATGGAGGGGTTTAAGAAGAGGTTTAGGAAGTTTGATTGGGCGAGGGTGTTGACTGATGGGGCGTAGGGAGGGGGCGGGAGGGTGTAGGATGGGTGTATGTACGGAATTGTATATTACGAGGGGGTTGGATCACATGTATAGAGAGACGGGAGATTGAATACACAGACTTGACAATTGGTATAACTGTACATCACGTGCATATCCATATCCATATCCATATCACGTGGATTACAATATGAACTTGCACGTGATATATCAAGAAATTGTTCTGTCCTGTCTCTCTGTCAACCGTAGAATCCTCTCCTCTCTTTCACTACGGTAGCCCTTTCAAACCCCCCAATGCCCAATCAACACTCAATCTCCAGGCCCCCACGTTCGAATCTTTCCCCTTCCTCTTTCTCTCCTTCTTTTCGCCTTCCCTCGCTCGTCTCGTCTCGCCTCATCTCGCGTCGTCTCGCCTCAGCTCGCGTCGTCTCGCCTCAGCTCGCTTCCAACCCATCCCGTTCGTCTATCTCCAGGTCCCGCATCGTCTATCATCGTCTATCGACTAGAGTCGTCTATCGTCGTCTAGGGGGAGAGCCTACTAGGACGTCGTCTTATAACAAGTAATAAGAAAGTTGTAGAAGTTGGGACTGCGGCTGGACTGTAACGGAACTACAGTGGACTCTAGTGGACTACGGTGGTTTATACTGGACTTGTCTGGTATTACAGTATCTGTACTGTTTTTTCTACTGATATATACCACTACGAAAGTATCTCTCAGTGCAAGTTACAGTGTACTACAAGTACTACAGTTTCGACGGAGTACCTTGCAGTTCTCTTCTGTCCCTTGCTGCCTCGGCGCTGCATAGTGGAGAGATCTGAAGAGATCTGACTTACTTACTGGAAAGAAGCTATACTGATTGACCGTGCTGTCCCTGTACGGTACTCAACGGTACTCACAATCACAGTAGAGTTAGTAAGAGTTTCTCTACTTTCTGTACAGAACAGAGAGTACTCGACCCTTATTCTCTGCCTTACAGACAGTACCTCATACCCCCTCGAACATATTCTGGACCTACAACCCAGATTATCTCAATTCAACCTTACTCACCTTAACCGTTGATACTCAATTACTGCAACTACTGCAATCCCCTTGTGGTGGTACACAGTTGCATAATTTCGAAATTTTTGTTGTGCACCTTTCTTTCTCCTTCCCCTAAGAAGAGAGAGGAATTGCGGCGGCCCCAGTCAGAAAAGTTCGGACCCCCCCTCACCCACCCCCAAAGGTTCAAGCCACCCAGCTGCCAGCCAGCCTTGGTAGATCGAAGAAACACCCGCGACCGTTTTCCCAACCTGCGAATCGAATACCCCCCAACATCCACGCCGTATGGATCCTACTCTCAGCAACCACCTCGACGTCGAGCTGCAGAACGACCCCGACGACCAGATCTCTCAGATCGCCCAGATCGCCCACGCGAACCAGAACGCGACCGCGATCGACTCTTCTGCACCCTCCCCGTCGATGTCGCAGCCGCAACAATCTGGAGCTCAGTCGTCACGTCAGCCGCCTGCCAGTTATCCAAGTCCGACTTCCTACCCTTCGCCAGGTCTTTCAGCCGCCCAGTACTCCTACCCTGCTCCAACCCAACAACTCGTCCCCGAACCATACCGCGCAAGCCCGACAGGGAGCAACAGTTCCATCTCACTGCCCAGCATGCGCACTCTCGACCCCCATCAACAAGCTCAACAACAGCAGCAGCAACAGCAGCAGCAGATGCAAGCTCAACAACAGCAACAAGTTCAGCAGCAGCAGCAGCAGCAGCAGCAACACGCGCAGCACATGGGTTCCCAGCTGCCTCCGCCCGTCGCGCAGATGGGTGGCCCATACTACCATAACAATCAGACTCTTCCTCACCCATCTCACCAGTATTCCAATGTCACCTCAGACCCAACGGGACAGAACATGCGATACGCGCTGCCAGGTCCAGACAACCGCGTCATGAGTGGCGGCCGACACAAGAAGGTAAATAAAATAAATAGAAATCAATCCCCAATTCCCATCCCCGATAACATTAACCCGCGACTGAAGGGTTAAGGGCAATTTGATGATCGTCATCGCTGACGCTCCATCCTTTCCATCTAGGAGATCAAACGTCGAACCAAAACAGGCTGTTTGACGTGCAGGAAGAGAAGAATAAAGGTCAGTTCGCCAAAATTTCCCGCTTTCCACAATTTTCTCGCGTCTGTCGTTCGCTCCCTTCGGTTGATTTGACGCGAGGCTTCGCTTCGTGCCTCTCGCATATTCCCTTAGATCGGTCCCGATCCATACCTTCCCTTCGCGTGTTCTCGTCTCGCGTCTCTCGCGAACCAGCGTCTCCCGTCCCCTCACCCATATCAAAACATCCAAGCTAGCACCGCCATACTGACAAACAATTCCCCGAAACACAGTGCGACGAAGCTCACCCCGCGTGCCGCAACTGCCAGAAGTCCAAGCGCGAGTGCCTGGGCTACGACCCCATCTTCAAGCAGCAGCCCGGCCCCTCGCCCATCCAGCCCGCGCCCTCGTTGGCGCCGCTCCAGGCCGCTACCCTCGCGACCGCCAACCCGTACGGCAACCAGCCGTCCATGCTGCAGGGCTACGGCGCACAGGTCCCAGCTATGGCTTTCGATGCGTCGCTGTCGGCTGGCGTGAGCTCTCCGGGCTCGGCGCAGCAGTTCGATTACTCGTCCGCGATTGACCCTGCGCTTGAGGCTGTCGCGGCTCCACAGGGTGCACCACAGTTTACCCAAGGTACGGAGTATTTCTATGGAGATGAGCTAGCTCGCTCGTCGCCATTTTTTTCGTCCAGCCCTCCCTCATCGTCCCCTCCAACGCCGTGCCCACCAAAGACATCGGGCTATACCAATCCTCTCCAAGTGGGAGGCCGTAGCCGCTTTGCTAGTCCACCCACGTCAGACTCTCAGGTGGCCCACTCTCAGACGGCCGCTCTTCAAGCTGGAGATACCGGAGTAAGCAAGTTGCGTCCTCTAAACCAACCGCAGCTGTCGAAGAGTAATTCTCAATCCACCAGCTGCGTAAATGATGCTCCTCAAGTGAAAGATAGCAATCAGAAGGCTTCCATTTCCAAGGAACAATCCAAGGAACAATCCAGTGGACGAAACAAGCGCCAGGCCCCTCGCACACCCCCTAAGAAGCCTGGTAAACTTCGAGTGGACAACTTTTCTCCCAACCGTCTCCTTGCACTCCTTTCCAACGACGGAAGCGCTGACCTCATTACCACAGCCAAGCCCTGCAAGGTCGATGACCTCCTCCTAAAGCTGCCCTCCAAGGCTGAGGACTTCAAACCCGAACAGGCCACCATCGACGAGATCAAGCACCTCTGGCTCTCCATCTACGTCAACGGCCTCGAAAGCTTCCTAGAATCCCGCTTCTACTACACCGACGGCCTCGAGTACCTCCTCAAAGACAAGATCGTCATGGAGCAGTTCGCCATCCTCCTCAACCAGTTCGCCAAGGCCACCCCGGACAACCCCGCCGAAATGCTCTACACCGCCTCCATCGAAGGCCGCGTCGTCTGGTCCCTCGCCTGCCTAGTTCGCTCCGCCGCCGAAGTTGCATCCGCAACCCCCGCCCCTCCCCGCCTAGACGGCATCCCCCCCGCCGAAGACCCCATCGAGGCCGCTGCCCGCCTCGCTGTCTTCGAGAACCTCGTCACTTCCCAGATCGCGGAGGGGAACTCCCTCACTAAACCCCCCGCGACGGGTGACTACCATAAGCTCCGTGAGATGGAGTTCTGGTTCCATCTCGGCCACTTCGTCACCCTGCGCTTGCACGACAATGACCCCGGCTCGGCGAAGGAAGTTGATGAGACCCTTGCTGCGCTGAGGAGTCTGCTCGATGGCCGCGAGAACCGCGATGTGCTCTACTCGATTGCGATTGTGCGTGCCATTGGCCAGCGCGTATCGGAGTACGTTGAGAGTGAGGCGCCGCTGCACCTTGATGAGCAGGATACGAGGAGTAAACTTATGGTTGCTAAGCGATTTGTTCGTGACGAGGGCAATGGTGCTGGGACGACGAATGTCATTCGCCGCTTCTGCGAGTTGGCGAGTAGGCCTTGGAATCCGTGATTTGATTCCGTGATGGTCGGCGTCTAGAGGAAAGACGTCGTGGTGGAGGGGTGGTGTGGTAGATGTATTTGTCTGAGTTTGATGATGTTTGTTGAGCAAATAAACCATACGTGAAGAGGAGGACAGGCGCCTTTCAAGCTTGCTTGCTTCGTTCGGAAGTTCAGATCGAGATCGAGGTCTAGATCGAGGTCGAGATCGTTGCATGCCTCTTTTGTGTCAGCAAACGTTCTTGAAGAACGAACACTTACGTTGTCGTCATTGCCGTTGCTGTCTTTCAACTCTCAGTAACAAACGACTCAAAGAAAGAACTCGATGACGGTTCGGCTTGGAGTTGGCGTTCCTACAGATCGATCTGATGCGTCCGCTTTGTATAAGGAAGGAAAGAGAGTAGGAAATCGGAAATCGGAAAGAAGAGAGAGGAAAGAAAAACAAGTCCGGCGTTTACCTGGGTCATTTTTATAGCTTCTTCACAGGAGTGACCGGGGGGATAAAGAGAAGCTAGGCGAAGACACTGCGTACGGTTAGGCGGGGCGAGGACATCATTGTGTCGCCTCGCCTCGGCAACCCAGTATGTATTCGTTCGTCTAGCTTCCTTTTTTAAAAATCCAAGGGGATGGAGTTTTCGGCTTATTAGGGGGGCAAAAGGGATTGCTATGTTAGAGGATTGGGGAGGGGATGCTTTTGTTGTTTTTGCTAGATTTGGCTTTCTAGTGGGGGGGGAGAAGCATGGCAAGGGGGGAGTGTGTATGAATAGTATGGAGGTTGGTTTCTTAGATGGGTTACTTCAATTAAGATGGCTCTCTATTATAATCGGGTTTTATATGTGATTTTTTGGAGTGATGCTTGTCTTTGTTAATGACTAAGAGAGGCGGGAAGATTTTAATATTTGACAAGTTATCCCTACGGACTTAATAAATACGGCACCATCTGTTTATTTTTAGCTTGTCACTGCTTTTATATTTACCCACAGAGGGTTTCTAGGACAGCTATTAAGAGGAAGGAATCAACTCCTACCCTCTTGTCTATACGCATATACGCATCTAAGGTCATAAACACATCAACCACATCACATCACATCACTCACCCACACCCGCACCCGCAAACCCACCCTTCTCTCCCCCCTTCGCCGCAAACCCCTCAAAATACCTCTTCCTAAACGGATTCAACTCATCCGCACTCACCCCCCCCTCCACCTCCCCCCCCCCAACCTTCGTCCCATCAATCCCCACCAACGCCCCCCTCACCTCCCCCTCCCCCCTCCTCCGATACGTCAACAGCCGTCTCGACCACTTATTAAAACTCTGCGTACACACACTCAACAGCTCCAGATCCGGATGTCCCGGCACCTCAAGCCTCACCTCCTCCTCATTCGCAGTCGGCATCCAGAATGCTAGTCGCCCATCCTCTACTAACGACCCTGCTGCGAAGGCAAGGAGGTCCCCTACCATCGCGGAGAAGGAATACGGCCGCTTCGGTGGCACGTACCCGGGTTGCAAGTGATGCGCGTCGGGACCATCATACACAGGCCCAACCCTCTTCTCTCTATGCCCCAACACCTTCAACCCCTCCCTCACGCCATAGGGGGGGTCACACACGATCCCATCCAGATACCGTCCCGGCCGTAACGGGCTATTCGTCAAATCCGCCACGAAACTATCACCAAACCCCGGCGCGAGGTCATACTGCGCGAAATTGGCCCTCAGATTTCTCCCCCCCTTCCCGCGGATCGCACGCCCGTCGATGTCGGATCCGAATGCCAAGGCACCGAAATGCGCGCATGCGACTGGGAAGGAGCCCGTGCCGACAAAGGGGTCGTAGAAGATTGCGCCGGGGCGAGCGAGTGCGATGTTAGCGGTGATTAGGGCGAGTTCCGCGTCCATGGATGTGGTGCTGATATATCTCCTCTTCTTAAGATCGTACTTCCCCACTATCTCGCGCTGGGACGTCCCCACCAGACGCCCTAGGTAGAGGTGCTGCGGTGTACTCGATCCGTGAGCCTGCGCGTCGAACGCCCAGTCCTCGAGGACGCAGAAGCGCATATCTGGATTCTTGAGGGCCACGGGGCCGGTGAAGGACATGTATGCGAAGGAGTTGATGAGCTCGCAGATATCGGCGTGGGTGCGCGACCCCTGGAAGCTATCGATGGTGAATTTGAAGCTCTGCCCTTGGAATTGCGGCCACCAGGGCGTGGATGTGGCGAGGACGGACTCGTGGAGCGTGGGGTAGGTGGGACCAGAGCCCCAGAGGGCGTAGATTGCTTTTGCGGTGATGCTGCGGCTTAGGAGGCGGCGGGCGGAATCGTCATCAGGGAGTTTGAGGGTGCAGAAGGGGGACTGGGAGACGGGGGTTAGTGAGGGAGTGGTGGTGGTGGGGGGGGACGGGCACGTACGTCGAGGCTGTAGGAGATGACTTCCATGGGGATGCCTTCCAGGTCGGCGAGGGCTTGGATTTCGGGCAACCGAAACGTCTCGTGCGTCTGGATGAAGCGGAGGAGGTACTCCATCTTGGCCTCTGTAACCCGGTGGGTTTGTGAGGGCGAGCACGAGGGGGGGAAGTATGGAGGTGAGAAAGAGGTTGTTGTCACGTGCTGCCCCGCGATTTTTTTGTTTTGTGAAGGGTAGGGTGGTGGTAGCCTTGTCTTGGCGGGGGAAGGCTGACAAAGTAGATGGGCCCTGTTAGAACATCGACGGCTATACGATTCTCCCCCCTCCGTATGATTGTAACGATCCACTGTTTTTTACAGCCTCACCGCATCCAAGTTAGGCGGAATGGCGTTCAGTTTTGGTGAGCGACCATGCCAAGATCTGGCAATACTATAACTGGGGATAGTATCTTTGGGAAGGCAGCCACATAAGCGGGTTATATACGACATAGTTATTCATATGATGCATATATAACATAAATATACTTCATTTACAACAGATCTGGGGAGCGACGCACACACTTTCCCGCCAGCACGAGACATCGCATCAGATGTCCGCCTCAACGCGCCTCATCAGCCATGGATACAAAGTCGAGCCGCACACGCAAGATCGCCCAGAAGCCCGCCCAAAAGGCCACCAACAAAGGCGATGCGAAGCCCGCACATAAGGCCGCCAACAAAGACGATGCGAAGTCCGCTCATAAGGCCGCCAACACAGAGGAGCCTAAGCCCGCGCCCTCTCCAGAGCCTCCCCAGACTCTACTCGTCGACAAGGAGGAAGTCAACCTCATCGATATCCGCGCCACAGGCGATATCCTCCTCGACATAACCTTCACCAACAGCCACTCAACCCGTACAATCCTCGCGCTCAACTCCGCCCTCCCTCCGCGACTGTCGCCCTTCTCCAAACCCGGCCTGCCATCTGACCGCACGCTCTTCCGCGTTCGTCTCGATACCCTCACCAAGACCTCTGCGTACTTCTCGCGCCTCCTCACCGACGCACGATTTCAAGAAGCTACGAAGATAGCGAGTAGCTTTGCCGCTCTCAAAGCTCGCGGCGTTGTACCCACTGAGGCACAGCCCGCCGACCTGCCCCGCGTCGCTATCACAGATGATGATGACGCGACACATGTTGGCGGGCGCGCTCCTATACTCGCAGACCTCCTGCATATCCTCCACAGCGGCGACGCGACGTCCAAGCTCTCTATACCATACCTAGCGATCCTTGCAGTGATGGCAGATCGCTTCGACTGCGCAGCTACGGTGGGAAGGTATGTTCGAGGCGCGAAGAGGGTACCGTGGCCTCAGACATACGGGACGGTGAGTTTTGCAAGCGAGGAGCTGTTGAGGCAGAAGATGTTGGTGGCGTGGTTGTTGGAGGATAGGGTGAAGTTTGCGGCGGCGACGAAGGAGTGTGTGTTTAGGGGCAGTGCGAGGTGGGGAGGGGGAGGAGGGATGCAGAGTGGGCAGGTGGGGGTGTGGTGGGATTTGCCTGATGGGATTGAAGGTAATGTGGGATTTCTTATGTGTTTGAGTCATTGTGCTTTTTGGCTATGTTGGTTTCTTGTGTATTTCGTCGTTTACGACGTAATACCCGCGAGGCTATGATTGTATGGCTTGGTGCCTTTTAGGAGCCTTGTCATGAATATGCCTTATAGTTGGAGACGCCTTAAAGTTAGAGGAGTAGGAAGTCCTACTCATACTCTACCTTATGATGTTGCCTTGGCGACGAGCTAAAAACCGTTATGAGGCTCTCGAATCCTTAGGGCTGGCATTCCAGGCACACGGTCCTAATTATAGAGCTGACGGTATGTAGCCGAGCTCCATTATCGTCGAACTTGCATCCTTCATACCATCGCGTCTCTTCAGTCCCACTTTATACGTCTCTATTCGTCTCGCGACCGGCAATGCAAGATGTTCTATGACTCTTCTGCCGCCTGCGACTCCTTCCAGCTCGGTGAGATGGTCAAGTTCTTCGTTAACAAGGGTATCTTTGCCTTTACCTCCCCCCTGCTAGTCAACGAGGAGGATTACCCCGAGCCCTACGATGGAGACATTGAGAACCTCATCACAGCCCTACGACAGTGCCCCTCCTACCAGTACGACAAAAATCACGCGCACTGCGGGTTACGTACAAGGCTCATTCCCGCACTGGATTTCATCCAGGCGATGCTAGCATCGGGAGTCGGCATCGACCGCGGAAACTGGAAAGCAGAGCGGCCGAGTACGTCGTGGGAGAGCGTGGAAGGGGTAGAACCCTTCCGGTTGACAAAGAGCGTGGCGACGGATTCGAGACTCAAACTCGAGGGCTTTCTAACGTCGAGCGCTTTGTCGAAGAGGTTCTTTGGGGCGGGCAGCTGGGACTGGACCCCGGAGGAATGAGGGGTAGCGCCGCTTTGAGAGTCATTTACGGGTAAGCGCGGCGTTGTTTTGAATACATAGATGGAAACAATGATGAAATATGTTCCATAGGATCTAATGAGCCACGATTAGCCCTGGTGATCTTTAAAGCTTAAATCCCGTAACCATGGCGACTTCTCGCCGAGGCCGAACCGAGGCAGATTACCGATTACCTTACAGATCGCCTACTTCCTCGTGTCTCCCCTGAATCCCTCACATGGGACCGAGAATCCGGAGACGCTTTGAGAGAAGATGGGAACAGTATGTTGATGGGCACGCCGATGCAATGCACCGCCCTCAGCCTTGGCGAAACTGCGCCGTTTCGGTAGTCGGCAGCAGCTGAAACCGCCACTGTGATTGGCCCACGTGCCCACCCACACAGATATCACAGCCACACATAGTTTCGGGACACAGCCTTGCTCGACCCCAACTTCAGACCCCACATACAATCCACAGCGGCGGGCGGCGTCACGCAAACTTTCCAATTGTATGGTATCTCTATGCGCTGGCCCAGGCCAACACAAGCGCCCATCAAGGGGCACGATGGCAATTTCTGTGACCAATATGTTTAGTGGCAGTGAAAGAGGCATACTAGAAGGCACAATGTAGGTCAGACCTGCCGTTTTGCCGCCCATGACCAGCGTTCATGTTGGGTTGTTGGATGTTGGAAGTCTTGGAAATGTGATATATATAATAAATGCATGACTTCACTGAGATGGACTTACTCATTAAGCACTTACACATCTACACATTCAGAGTACTCTGTATTACCAGACACCTGAATCATCCTAACTAGATCCGCATACTTCACAAAGACCTTTGGGTTTCTTTGTTACCTCGGACTCAAAACAAACACTTCACCCCAAATTCACCTGGTAGCAAACAGCTACCCTCCCAACGACACCATGTCCTCTCCTCCATATAACAACACACCTTTATGGCAACTACCAGTCGACGACAGCATCCCACGCAACATCTACTCATACAGTCACGGCCAGGGCCCCTTGGGCTTGGTAGACAACTCCCACTTCAGCACCGGCCGAACATCCAGACATCCAAACGCCATCCAACCCGACCCCCCCATCTCCCTCCCCGGCATCACCCTCCTCTCCACCCCCAAATCCACCAACATGTTCTCCTCCCTGAAAGCCTCTCTCCGCCGCAAGAAGAGCAATCTCTCCACCTCCTCCCGCAACTCCTGGAACTCCGCCGACGAGGGCGAAGCCTCCCGCGCACCCCCCTCCCCAGTCTCCCCAATCTCCCCCGTCGAGCTCCCAGCAACACAATCTACCCTCCAACCCCCAGAGCGCTCTGAACTCCTCAACCCCAGCCCTCCAACCCGCCGTCCCGTTCGCGCAGGATTCAACGCCTTCACCGTCCCCTCCAACGAGCCACCACCAGCTTACACACCCTCTCCCACCGCGGAATCCGGCCCCGTCCTCGGCCCATCTCCCGCCTACACACCTCCCGCCTCTATCACCACCACCAGCGCCGGGCCAGAAGATCCCTACTCCTTCCTCACGACCTTCGACACCGTCCTCCTCATCGACGACTCCGGCTCCATGGCCGGGCGCTCCTGGCGCGAAACCTCCCAAGCCCTCGCTGCTCTCCTCCCCACCATCGTCGCACACGACACAAACGGGATAGACCTCTACTTCCTGAACCACAAGTCCTCTGACCCCGGCGTGCCGACTGAGGGCATCGCGGGCGGGGGATACAGGAACATCACCACAGCCGAGCGCATCACCTCCATCTTCGCCGCCGTCCGACCCGGTGGCGGAACACCAACCGGCACGCGTCTAAGCGCGATTCTCAAGCCCTACCTCGGGCATCTCATCGCCCAGCACGGCGTCAGCGCTCTAAACACCGACGCCATGGACGCGGTGAAGCCGCTCAACATCCTGACCATCACCGATGGCGTGCCCAGTGATGACGTCGAGAGCGTCTTGTTGGTGGCGGCCAAGAAGCTGGATCAGCTCGAAGCGGCACCCCATCAGATAGGCGTGCAGTTCTTCCAGGTTGGGAATGAGGAGGGTGCGAAGGAGGCACTGAGTGAGCTCGATGATGGGATTCAGGGGTTGGTGAGAGGGGGGGTGAGGGATATGGTGGATACGTGTACGTGGATGGGGGGGCCGGCGGAGGAGGGGGAGGCGCCGAGGTTGACGGGGGAGGGGATGTTGAAGGTTTGCTTGGGGAGTGTGGTGAAGAGGTTGGATCGGAGGAGGTGTAGTCAGGAGCAGAGGAGATAGATGGGGTTTCATTTGTTTTTTTTGGGAGGCGTTTGGGGGGTACGGGGGGGTGGCGTTTTACGGCGGGGATTTGATGGGAGAGATACCATTATTATAGACTTTTTAACTTATAATCTTTATTTTGCTTCGGCACCAAAGAATAGAGAAAACACCGCATTGTTTCCAACCATACAAATACTCAAACCCGCGCATCCTTCCATTACCGCGCTAAAACATACACCCATCAAACCCCTTAACTTTAACAACTCCCCTTCCTCGCCCTACACCTCACAATCTCCTCCCCAACACACGAAAATACCTCATCCCACCCCTCCCAAACCTGACACCCCTTCAGGTCCGCAAACCGCCTCAACACCACACTCTGCAGACTCCTCATCCCCGCCCCGCTCCCACCATTCTCGTACTCCCTCAGCCCCTCCACACCTTCATCCAGGGTCTCCTTCACCCATTTCCTCTCCGCTTCGGATCCACGCACACTGCACCACAGAAAGTACGGCCCGTGAGCCAGAGCCAGCTCGCGGTATATACATTGTCGCTCCACGAGGCTGCTATCACTGCTCTCTGGCGCGCCTGACGTCGCGGAGGCGGCGTGACCGTTGTGCTCACACCCGCCCGCGCCCCAGGTGGAGCGCTCGCCGTACTCGAAAACCGTGCTTGCAACCCAGACGAGGGCCAAGGCGCTCGCAAGAGCAAGCGCATCTTGTTGCGCCAACCAAGCCTCTTGACCGCGTCTGCCGAGGTCATCGCCATTCACGCTCTTCTCGTCGCTGGAAATAGGAGTATGTGCAGTAACCCTCGCATCCGAGAGTTTGAGGAGGGTATTCAGACCATGGCTTTTAAACGCTGTGATCCCCCCATGGTGACAGTTGGCGCATAGCCGAGTGGACGTCTCGAAGAGAGAGAGGAGGCGCGGCGGGGTGATGGAGAGGAGGGGGGAGGTGGAGAGGATGCAGAAGATTGCGTTGCGTTTGTGGATTTCGGCAGTCCAGGGGTAGGTGTAGGGGAAGCGGAGCGGGGGGGTGAATTTCTGCGGGCGCCTGCGCTTGGGTTGTGAGGCGGCGGTGGAGGGGGGGTCAAGGATGGGCTGGGGAGGGATGGTGGAGGCGAGGATGGGGTCGAGTGAGGAGGGCGTGTAGAGGTGGGATGTGAATTGCTGGGAGAGATGCTCTTCGTGGCTCTTGAGGATGAATCTGGTTGTCTATAGAAGGAGCGAATACGTTAGTGAACTGAAAATAAAAGCTGAGTTGTGCAGCGATGAGACGTGAAGTCTGCCTACCTTGGAACTGCATAGCAAACTCCCAATATCGCTCGGCTGCCATTCCAGCTGCTTGACTATGCCAAGGATAATCTCGACGGGGAGCTGCAGCAGCGCATCCGGACTTGGAGAAGTCATATTCAAAATATCAATGCCGTGTCGCACAGAAAGAGAACGAATACTAATCAAAATGCCAATAAAAAAGTATGCTTTGAGTGGTTTGTGATGCAGAAGACAGATGCTGATGGAAGAAGATGAAGAATAAAGAAGGAAGAAAGAGAAAGAGGAAGGAAGGAGGGGTGAGGGGTGAGGAAGGGGAGCGACGTTGAAATATGGCGGGGAGGGGGAGGGAGGGGAAGGACGGATGGACAATAACCACAAAGGTTACGTGCTCGAATGGTGTTTGTGCTCACTAGCAGGCGTGGCCCCGCGCATTTGGCCAAAACCAAGAGACAAATACCTCTCAAGGTTGCTGTTCGATGGAGGTATTTTCGAGTTTGTGCACAAAGAAAAAGGCCGTTTTAGGGCTCGTTTGGATGAGATATATAGAAGTATGTAAACGTATAAAAAAATAAAAGCATATTATTCTAGCTATCAAATAGTCGTCATGGACATTGATGAAGGGTTGGTGGTGAATGCGACGCCGGTTGGTACTGGGAAGAACAGGAAGTCATCCCAGTAACCTTGGTGGATAAATGATAGTAATGATGCCGATGAGTAACACTTCTTTCAATATATGCGGTGCACAGAAAGCGAAATACGAGTTTATAGAGGAAGATAGTAGTAGCTAACAAACTTCTTATATAAAATAAATAATAAAATAATAGAAATGGGAAAAAGGAGGTGTACATCCATGAATAGTGGTGGTGGTACTGAGGATTGAGTGGGTGAGTGGGCAATTTGAACGTATTCGCACGCAATTCGTCTAATCCACCGATCTTTCAAATACCACATCACGTGATACAACCCTCTTTCCCTGGCTGACTCAGCAAAATCAAAAATCAACTTGGCAGGGCCAGATTGTACGCTAGCGTCTATTCCAGACTAGCTCAACATATCCGAACGCACACGCAAAATAATAATAATTGCGACGAAATCCCACGAACTTTCTTCCAACAACCGCCAATCGCCAACCAACAACCACTCTACCTTCAACCCTTCTAATCCTCGAAATGGCTCCCTCCCGTAAGGATAAGAAGTCCGGCGACACCATCAACTCGCGCCTCGCGCTTGTGATGAAGTCCGGCAAGGGTACGTTTCCCAATCCCTTCTGAGATATATCCACAGCATCAAAAAACTAACACGCGCGCAGTCGTCCTCGGCTACAAGTCCTCCCTCAAGCAGCTCCGCATGGGCAAGGCCAAGCTGGTTCTCATCTCCGGCAACACCCCTCCCCTCCGCAAGTCCGAGCTCGAGTACTACGCCATGCTCTCCAAGAGCCCCGTCCACCACTTCAACGGCAACAACGTACGTCCTCCCCATATCCCCCTGCGTTCCTGAGAAGGACTTTCCGCAAAGTCTGGAGGAGTACTAATTCCCCGTCTAGCTGGAGCTCGGTACCGCTTGCGGTAAGATGTTCCGCGTTGGCACCATGGTCGTCCTCGACGGCGGTGACTCCGATATCCTGAGCCAGGTCGCTTAAGCGATCGGAGTCTCTGTTGGTGGTTTTGGGTGGTCACTAGGCGTCATTTTGATGAACGGTCAACTGGAGAAATTAACTTGAGCGACAGAAGTGTGGAGGGTACATTTAGTCCCTTTATATATACCCATCAATGCCAATAGCGTCCCACCCAAGTTATGTGTGCTCTTGAATATCAAATGTGACTATTTCCCCGCCCATCCTAATATGTCTGCTCTTCAATATCAAACGTAATCATTTCCCCGCGCTTCCATGATACCACATGAGACGGGATGGTTAATATCACCATCCAATCCGCTGTATCAACTGGTTGGCCTACGAAGAACCCAGAGTGAGACCAGTTATGGGCAGGAGTGACGATCGAACGAAAGCTGACGACTGCCATTTTCAAGACGCACTCGAAACGGTGTGGTGAGCCCAGTGAAGAATTCTAGGGCGAGGATTCGACGGTGGGATAGAATGGTGGTGAGAATAACAAGTGAGACGACAACAACACACCAATGACAGTAAGAACGAAGCTGTAACAAGTGATTCCGTGGCTTGCTATAGGGTACACCAAGGATAGTACAACAGCTTTTCATAATGGTTCGTAGTTTTGCGTCCCATAACTTGTGACTATCATATCAGAACATTCTCAAAAACGAAATGGAGGTTCTTTAGCGGGGGGTTTGGAGATGAGATCCCAACCCCTCACGCCACCGGGGACTGCCTCTCTGGCCATCACGACAATCATAGTATAAATGCTCTAATAACTTCACTTGTGCTGCTCTGCCGTATAACCAGTCCATAGGATATGATCCGAAATTTCTTAATATTTTGCTCCAAGTGCTGCTCACTACCAATGGCGCGTGACGCCCCCATTGCTCACGCTATAAGTGTTGATACAAAGTGCAATACGCAGTGCGTCTCTCCAATACTTCAAGCTCCCATAGTACATCTGCCCCAAAGGATCCCGAGGATTTGAGCCTTGAACCCATGCACATCGAACCGCCCGCAACATTAACGCCTGAACGCTCCCATACCCAGCCTTCCCCAAGCCCCGAAATTCCCTGTTCTCTATAACACACACAGCAATGCCCGTGGGGACGGAGTTCTTTCCATCAACCCATCCAACTCTACCGGTAATCGGTCGCGCGCAGATCGCTTTTGTGCAAGTCCTTTGTCCAGGCTGGTAGATTCCGGTCACGCTCGTACAGGTAACCGCAGTTGTTGCACAGTGTCTAAGTCTCGTTAGTAAAGCACATGAATAGATACGACTGTCTCCGCGAGTGAACACGTAGGGAGGTAAGAAGAAAACGTACCCTTGTGCCAGCAGGCCCATCCCTCACACCCCACACAGCCGTTCCCCAGACCCGGCAGTGCGCGCACCGCCACGTAGTCCTCTCATAATCATTCAAGCCTCCACCACCACCATACCCAGCAACACCGGAGCCCGTGTCCGGCGTCCCCCTCCCACCTGGAGTCCCCGATCGACCAAGCGGACTCAAGCTACGGAAGCGCCTCTTCTTCTTACTGCGCTCACCGCGACCCATCCGCTCCTCCGTCGGCTCTCCAGGGTCGAAAAACCCAAGGCCGCCTGATTGCGGCATCCCGCCCAGCATGCCCGTGTTACTCGAGAATCGCGCAGTCTCACGGCGCATGCGGCGGATCTGGCGCTCGCGGTCGCCTTCTCGCTTCTCGATCTCTTCTTTGCTGAGGACTTCGACCTTGGGCTCCCATTCGTCGGCTAGGTGCTCGTTGTCGTATCTCCAGCCGGCCTCGGAACCGTGGACTGCTTCGTTGGGGATTTCGCCGCCGTATCCACCTACGAGCCCTCCTGATTCGCATGCCTCTTTCTTCAGGCGCAGTACAGCTTCGTAGATAGCATGGGTCATCGCTGGGACCCATTCTCCGGAGAGTCCCATATCCGCGCATGTTTGTTTCGCAAAGACTTCAGCAGTTCCAGGTGGGTGCAATAGCGACCATTCAAACTTGTCTGTGTAGAGATTGTTGGAGAGATTAATGTTCAAGGTGATGATACAACGATACGTGTCGTCCGGGTTGTGGTCGTCAGCCTCCTGTGATATAGGAACCGCTGAGGCTGTAACTTCTTGTGTAACTACCTTCACTGGCGTGGAGAACCCATTTGTTGACAGGTGAGGCGCATGTAAAGGAGTTCCTCGTCCGCTGACGGCAGGGGTTGCGGAATGGTCACGCGACGCGGTACTTGCTTGAATCGTTTTGATAGCAGTCCCATTGGCAGCGGGAGTTTGCTGTGAGTGAAAGAGAGGGTGGAGCGCAACGCCAGCATACTCTTCAAGCTGAGTGCGGATCTGCTTGCTGATCTCCATGGCCAGCGCTTGGCGGTTCGGGAGGTCTAGATCCTGCACCATGCATTGCGCAAACTGGTCTGTGGTGGTAAGAGTCTCGTGGAGGTTCCAGAGAAAGATATCCTTTAGCCGGTAGGGTACTGTGACATCTGGTGTGCGATATACTGGTAATGAGGGGTCGATATTATTGTAAGCTGCGCCTGATGGCAGAGGAAGAGGGGCTTGTGGAATGAAGGCTGGAATGTCGACATCGATGCGAATTGGGACGAGAGTGAGAGGCAGTGATGCCTGCGAGTGAGCTTGGAGATCTGGCTTCCCTGAACGAGCCTTGCCCATCCATTCTCTCCATACTCCTTGAACCTCGACTGGTTCTGTTGCTTCCTTTCCAAATTTGTCCGCGACATCTTGTTTTGCCTGTAGGGTCTCCTCCCTCCTCAAGCTCCTTAAACCGGTGGGCCTGCGCCGTCCTTCATCATCATCTTCATCATAATCTTCAAACCCATCTTCTGCGTAGTTAATGGCTGTTGTGCCTCGTTTCGTTGTTCTTGACGATGGAGTCGCAACGGCTGCAGCAGGTTGTATTATTGGTGTGAGGAGTGAGTTGGCGTATGTCCGTAGTCGTGGAGCATAGCTAGAAATAAAAGCCTGGGGCGGTGCTTTGGCGGTCATTTTGTCTTGTTACGCATGTAAAGCGCGCGGCCGACGTTAATGGGACCTGGCTAAGCTGTGCGTCGATGGGACGCCCTTGTGAAGTTTTGGGTGCGATTTGGCGCCAATTGGGGAAATAAAATCGTGGTCGGCTGGCGTTGTGAAGCCACAGCTTGCATACACTGCGCTTAGACAGTATATAATGTTGAGTGTCGAGTTTGCGACGGCCTGTAGGCTTGCTGGTGTTGGATCTCTCTCTACCTGAGCTCAGTTCGTCGCGTTCTCGACTCAAAATCGCGATGCGATGGGAGGAACGTCTACGCTAGATGTTTTCAGACTAGCGTCAATATATACATCACGTGCGTTTCCTCCAATTGACAGGCCCCACCAACACAACTTCACCAAAAAGCACACACTTATCTCGGACTTGTTGTGATAAATTTTGAGAATCATAAATACTATAAATACTATACTAGACAAGGGGAAATGGTATATATTTGTGGTGGGTTGTTGTCAATCGCCAGCGGTACCCAATGTGTATGTTTTTGTCTATCATCTCATTCATGCACGCTTGAATCATTTATATCGCCAGTTGCCAGGAAAAAGCACTGGACAGGGAATGCCGAGACATTAGGCACGTAAAGCAACTATGACGAAACCCGGACCCGGGGCTGGCCGCGATCACACATAATTTTGTTGTTCCTCAAAGGAGTTCAGACCTCCAAGCTGGCGTGGAAAGATCTCACTCTCCTTTGTCCTCTCCATGCCTTTATCTCAGCCAAGCTTTCTCCCAGGCGTTGGTGGAAGGATGAAACGTAATATATCACGGTGGGCATAAACGGTATAAACTGGGAGTCCAGGGGGAACTTTCTTCTCATCTTGTCAGCTGCTGGAAGGTGGCTTAACAGGGCCGCAACGGTGGGGATAACTTGGGAGTTGTAAAAGCTGGTTATCACAAGCATTCCAAATATCGTTGGCTTGAAAGGAATGCCGGGCTTGGGCGGGGGTATGGAAACTGCACAAGGGAAGTTTTAAACCATTAAAAGCTGGATGGAAATCTATGTGATCCCGTGTCTCAATTCTGCTCTAACCTCATGTCAATACCTGATCTCATCACTCCTTTCAAACCCATAAATTCACTATCCATGATCACACTCATCACTCTTCGAGGCAACATAGTTTTGGAATGCTTTGTAATGTCTTTGATGCGTTGAAGTTGTCTGAATACAAAGCGCCCAGCAATTGTTGACCGATGCCACATCAAGGCCCAACTGCGAGCACCTAATAGAGCGATTCCCTCACACCACTGCTACGCCTAGAACATTCTTCCCCAATTTACCAAGCCATCTCATGTGGTCTGTCACCCTTGCGGAGGGAGAAAGAGGATGCGAGGTAGCTGACGAGGAAGGGCTCCTTCTTGATGGCGGAAAGGATAGACTTGTCGACGGACTTTTGGTCAGCCGCGCGGTTGGAAGAAGGCTTCTTCTTCTGTCATATTATTAGTTTTCCGCTTTCAATCGTCGCAATTGGCTCTGTAATCTTACCTCTGGCTTCTCGCCCTGCTTGAAGAACTCGGCCTCGCCGGTCTTCTTGTCGGACGCCTCACGGGCGAAGTACTTCTCGTCGGAGATCTCCTCGATCTTCTTGGAGTCGACACCAGAGATATCAACCTTGTGGGATGTGGCGATAACGTAGCGGGCGTTGACGCGGCGGACTGGGACACCGTTGACCTTGAATGGGCCGGTGACGAGGAGAACACCCTGGTCGAGGGTGTTCAGGAGGATGACACGCTTGCCACGGAAGCGGCCAGCGAGGAGAATGAGGACGGTACCGGGGACGAGCGAAGAGCGAGGGGTGGAAGCACGGATGGTCTTGCGGACCTATAATTGATCTGTTAGCGATTGTTCTCTCTGCGAATCTAAAGCTGCTTGTCTCTGATATCCAATTGTGGCGCTGTCTGATATCGATGCCTTTGGGTCCATATTTTGGGTGCAACCCTGATAGCCTGATCGCACAATATCTCCAGACACCACAACCTTCGATTTTCCAGATGACAATCGTGCAGTACGCCTAGTCGCAATCTCTTGCTCTGGCTCGGGTTGGGTTTTATAACGCACCTTCTTGTGCTGGGCCTCATCCTCGGCCGGGTACCATTTGCTGGCCTTCTGGCTGTGGTGAGGAATCTCTCTCGTCGACTTTCCGAAGGTCTTCTTCTGACTCTCTTGAGTTGCCGACATCTTGGACGAAGAACCGATTCGGTTTGGTCGTTGGGTATCGGTTCGTTGAGTGTTGTCGTCTTGGATTTGTCGGGCCTGCACTGTTCTGGTTGTCGCGACTCTCGTAGAGTTTTAGCATGCCCTAATGTTTTCGCTTAATTTTGTAGGGTTATCATGTTTGAGTGCTGAAGGGGAAAATCCAAGGGCTAATGTCATGTGATATGTGGCTAATGATAATGATTGTGGGGCTCAGCCACACCTTGGGCTAGGCTGTGGCTTTACAGCGGTTGACCGGGTTCCGCTTGCTCCGCAAGGTAGATAGCTACATGACGAACGCGCTGCCCTCATAAAGCTGTGGTGCTTCTCCAAATCAACCTCCACAGATTTCCAACTACCCCAATACCTTCACAATGTCTATTCAACCTATAATCACGTTCAAGGCGGGCCAGTGTGAAGTTGATGTAAGCTTCTTTTGTGCCGCATAGCTGAGATGGGCTCCTAACAACAGCTTCAGACATCAAGCAAGCCTTACAAGGTCACACCTTTGGCAACGAAGGGTTACATATATCTCTACTCTGAGGATGGTATGGTAGCTTTCCAACTATTTCAAGCATGTGTCTAATGTTCCAGAACTCATCCACTTCTGCTGGCGGCCACGCACAGCTCAACTCGACGAGCCAGAGCTTGATCTTATGATGATCCCAACCGATGGCCACTTTGTCCCATACGAATACAAAACCTCCGATCAGCCGACTTCCAAAACGAACGGACGCATCTTTGTCCTCAAGTTCTCGTCCTCCTCCCAGCGCCACCTATTCTGGCTCCAATCACAGCCCCAACGCGCCGATGACCCAAGCTCATTCTCGACCCGCGATCAGAAGATCGGGCAAATTGTGGACTCCCTGCTACAGGGCGAGGACGTCAATGTTAGCAGCGAGCTGGAGAATGTACAAAACCCGAGGGGCGGTGACGATGAGGACGAGACCATGGAGGATGTAGAAGGCCATGGCGACCCATCAGAACACCACCGAGGAAGTGGTGGAGGCGCCGGCCCAGATGCTACAGGTGGAGATGTCCGTGAGGAGGGCGAGCCGTCGAGGGAAGGAGGTGCCGAGGGCGGAAGAGCGTAGGTTATATCCACTGTGTTGCATTGCGTTGCGTACCAGGCGAAGTTAGCATAGGTTGAGAAAAGCTTTTACGGAAAGCAAGAGGCGTTTGGTGACTTTGAAAACGGAGATGGGTGCTGTATATGTGGCGTTTTTGCGCATTTACTGCTAGAAACACTATACCATTGAACCTGCTTGCACCAAACGCTTCTTGCTGCATCCTGGCCTGCACTTTTGCCAATACCTGTTACTTCTTGTTGCCTGCACTTCTGCCAATGTTTGCTGCCCAGTCTTGATATTCTCCCCCTCAACCATCGCTCTACTTCTAACGCAGAGCTAACTTCAAATAGTAATGCCTCTCTTTCCTCTGCCGCAGCACCAACAGATGCCCAAACCGCAGTCAACAACTTCCTTGCCTCGCTCCGTGGCAACAACAATCTCGCCCAAGGAGAAGAAGGAGGAGAAGCCCAAGGCCAAGGCCCATACACAACTCTCTCTGACCTCCTCACAACCTCCACCACCATCCCCGTAATCAACAATGCCACAGAAGCGCAACTCGACAACTTCCTCTCCTACCTGCCTCCGACTGTGCTGCTCTTAGCGCAAGAGTCCTCCGCACAAATCGACGGCATGGTCGAGCCAACCAGCGGCACAGCACAAGCGGCTTTGGAAGCACTTAGCGTGTCCCAAAAGCGAGCGATCCTGAAGAGAGTGCTGCATAGCCCACAGTTCAGCCAAGGCCTTGGCAGCTTGACGATAGCTCTGCAGCAGGGTGGCCTGCCGAGTGTGGCCGAAGCATTGAAGATCAAGGTTGATAATAAGGCAATGTACGCACAGGGAGGAGAGGCAGTCAGGCAGTTTGTGGAGGGGATTAAGAAGTCGGTTGTGGAGGAGGGTCAATAGAGATTGGGCACCAGGAGTACTATTATGGGCTACAGATAATGGGACTGCGGATTCGAAACAATGTGATAACCGGACAAAGAAGAATAGCCATAGAACCAAGAGTTTAATCGATGATTATTATACTCATTTTATGGATGTCGATGCCGACCGTGGATACGGATGAGAAGTCCCCTTGCATGCGGCTACCCCACACTGGACCCTGCCGCTTACTCCACATCGCGCCGGGAGGGAACGACCCCGCCAGTATCACCGAGTACAGGTATCACCTTCCTCAACATCCAAAAACTTTATACAGAGGCTTTGCAGCGGGCTTGATATTCTCTAATGAAATTTAATAAAACGTTCGCATTCCGTCCAATTCCCAAACAAATTTTATCCACCTCCAACTTGATTCACACCTTATTAATGATCTTCTCCAAGTGCTCCGCTACAGCCTTCTTCGACGCATTGCTGTCTTTCCGATATTTCTTGTCCACTGGCTGGTATGCCATGCGCTCCTGTACAGAGGAAGTTGTATCATAGAGGTACCTGTCGAGAGTCGCGGACGATTTGCCAGCCTTTTTACTACAACGATGTGTCAGTACTGGGATATTTGGAAAACAACTGGTGGAAATCGCGAACTATAAGAGGGTCACATACTCTTTAGGCTTTGAGGCGTGCTCTTTGGCATTAGAAGGCTGAACCTTCTCGTTCTTTTGGCTGGCCATCCTTGCTGCCTAGTGTCAGTTTGGCTGCGTGAGAGGCCTAGCCTTGTTGCGAACTTACCAGTGAAGGATCAGGTACTGGAAAGGCGAACTTTTTGATAGACAGGGCTGGATATTGATATAGATGTCGAAAACGGTCGAGATATTGATGATATTTAATGGATTCTACTGATGAAAAGATTGAAAAATCAATCCCATCAATCCCTTCTTATACACAGAGCAAAACGCTGCGTCTTTTCGCCCTTTGCAAGTCCTGTCTGGCCCAGTCTTCCCCACAACCCCCGTCTGTTCCCCGCAAATTGTCGCGCGGTGGTAAACGCAGTTACCATGTTCAGTCCCACGGCACTCTTACACTGGTCTCTGAGGCCGCGAGGAGCGTGCCCTGCGCCAGTAACTGTTGCGCCCTGGGCAAAATCATTTTACAACCGCGAGGTACGCGTGGGGAGCGGTGATACATGGGTGGCGTTGAATTGGGAGGTGGCTCCCAGCCTTGCATGAATGTACCTTGCAGTCGTCTGCCCATTTATTTCATATATTATTGGATATAATACCTTTCTCTTTGCACTGTATGCCTGAATTATTGCTACACTTCATTGCCCTGTCCTGTCGAGTGGCATTCAATGATACAACCTGTCCAGACACCCTTTCCGAGCTCCAGCTCCAGCTTGAGCTTCGATGTGGTACATAATGTCTATGAATACACTCATCCAACAATCACATTGTATACCCTATTTCAAAGAGACGCAATCTCCGAAGCACGAACAATATACACAAGCTGGTCTGCGTGCCGTCCGCATCATGGCTGCGCGTCCACAGCAGCTACGTTCGTTGGAGCAGTAGGAGGCCTGTCCACTAACCAACAGAATGCAGTTGAACCATGGAACAGTGCCCGTGGGTATGGCTTTAACGTGCTGCATTGCTCTCGTCCCCTTTTAAATGCGGGTGCAGTCAATCCAATAAGATGGATATATGGCGATAGCATAAAACTAGATGAAGACGAAGAAATCAATATTAAGACACGCTCTAAGAGCAAACAAAAAGGACGGGGACCCCAAGCTGTGGTTCTACTACATGAGATATCATGGCTGTGGCGTTACGGCGAAAGTACCACGCGGCGACAAGAGCTTGGTGACGAGAATTAATAACAAGAACCTAGCGACAAGAACCCATCGACAGGAATCTAGCGACAAGAATGTACTCGCCTACCCGACATACGTCGTGTATGAAATGGCTTCGTAAAGAACTACAACATCAAGTGGTCAGGGTGGCAGCTGGTAAGTTATGTGAGTCGCCCATTTGGTTATCCACGCACTCGCAATATCATTGTAACGGATCTTCTCAGTTGGAAACGTGCCACCCCTTCTTATATATATCCCTCCAATACTTAAATCAAATTAAATGGCAATAGTTGGGCTTGTCTAATAATAACCTCTAATTATTCGTCCGGTCATTTTTGGTTGTCCTGTTCACATTTGGTGCTGTTAAAAATTCTGTTAAGAAATACTCTCTCTACCCCTGAAATACGTAGCGGGGAAGGTCAAATGCCAATAGAGGACTCCCCTATCTCATATTATCTATCTCGCCCCAGAAAATGTACAGACACCCCACAAAGCGCTCGCTACCACTACCCCCACAGCTCGACCACTCTACTCACTCACACACCCCTTTCAAACATACTACCCCTCTCAGCTAGGGAGTCCGTATCCCTCACATTTCACTATATTCATCGCACATTCTGCTCCTTCACTTCGCAGCCGTCATTACGACTCCTTCGTACTCTCTCGAAGCGATATACTCCAGGGTGCGTTCGAAGTGTCTCCTCGGGCCCTCAATCGTAGCCGCGTCCTGGTTGGTCTGGAGATTGGAGTGGATAAGCTCGATGAGGCCGTTGATGTACTTGATAGTCACCTAGCTATTGTTAACGACGCGAACAATGGTAGAGATGGAAAGGGGAAACTCACGGCCTCGTTCTGCTGGTCAAAGTAGTAGACGTAGCGGTTCAGGATCTCAACGAAGAGCTCCACCGACACCGCGGTGTCCATGCATGCATCTGCGACGCGAAGAGCGCGCTGGAGACATTCCAACACGCGCTTGCCATCACGGTAAAGCTAAATAACGTCAGTACAAAAGTACACTCTACCGGGTTATAAAGAAACTTACCCCTTTCTCGTCCTCCTCGCCCTTCGCCGCGATCGGCACAGCCCACCACAAGTGACTCGCCAAGTACACCGCGCGGCACTGATCCGGCTTCTTGAGCAACTTGCTGCCATGAAGCGCGCATTTGGTGATGAGGGTATCGTAGTTCTCCTTGCTGAAGTTGCGCGTCTCGTGCAGCGCACCCGCGATAATGCAGACAGCCTGGAACTGGGCGCGGGAGTCGCTGACAGCCTCCTCATAGATGGTGAAAGCCTGCGCGAAGAACTCGTAGCTCACCTCCTCAAAGCCGTTCTGGTCCGCAATCTGACCGCAGGCGACGAACTGGCGCAGGCATAGGTCGGCGGCGCCGTTGACGCGGGTGTAAAGAGTCGAAAGCGAGGAGTGCATGTACTTGTACAGCGAGGAGGATTGCGTGGACCAGTTGTCATCGTAGTGCTCGCGTGCCTTATAGCGGTTGGCGAGCTTGATAGCGCTGGTGATAAGGGCTGGGGTTGTGAACTTGATGCGCTCGTTGCCCTCTGAGTAGGCTTTCTTGGTGGCTTGAAGAAGCTTGAATTGCGTATCATTGTCATCGCTGTGGATCAAATGAACAATTCTAGCCAGCCAGCCTTGCTCCTCGATAGTCTCGTCCGTCTCAACGACCCTTCTTTGCTGGACACCCGGGTAACCTGCCGGCGGCTGCGACCCTTCCTTGATCAATACCTTCAAGATCTCTAGTACGCTTTCTAATCCTGCCACTGTGGACGTCTTCGTGTAAGTTTTCAAGAGGGTCTTGGCCACCTCACCAGCAATAGCCCGCCGTGTAGGGTAGGTCTGCGAGTTGATAAGGGGTATATATTGGGGCAAAGAGAGCGCTGTAAATATCGATGCGTAACTTTGTAGGGGGGCCTGGAGAAGGCTGAGAATATTTGTTTGGGTGGCCTGCGAGTGCAGCTCGGGACTGTTCGCGTGTTGCTGGCACTTGTGGTTTGCGTAGTCGAGGATCTTATCGACATAATCTAATCGCTCCGGGTAAATATTTAGAGCTAGGTTGGCCAAGGAGACCAGCAATGCCGTTGTGTCTTGTATTGGGAGGTGTTGAGCCGTGACCAAGTTCATGACCTGATCGAAGAATATCTCGTATAACTTGATGTTATCCAGGATGCCTCTACCCTTCTTTGCCGGGGCAGCCTCATCTTCGCCATTAGCAGGCTCATCCTCTGGGTCTGGTGCAGCGGGCTCTTCTTTCTTGTCCTCTTTCTTGTCTTCTGAGGCCTCGGCGCCTTCTTCATATTTCGGAAGCTCGTCAGTGCTTTCCTCCGGCTCGCCCTTTTTATCGTCTCCACCCTCAGCAGCTGCAGAAGCAGCCTCCTCTTCTTTCTTCTTCTTCTCGCTACTTAGGCGTACATCTTCCAAAAGCTTAACGAGGGCATCCTCCTCGGTCTTTTTCCGCTCCTCCAATGGTTCCGGCTCTGTTTCCCTAGCCGCAAACGCAGACAGCCTATCCATGAGACCAATCACAATCGCCTTGACATTGACATGCGGGTTGAGTCGTGAAACAGCAGCTAAGAACTGGTCGAGGGTATGAAGGTGAAACTCGTCCGGGAAGACCTGCGTGATAACCTCGAGCAGGTACTCCTGAGCAAGCACATCGCGACACTGGACAACCTGCTCCAACAGAGGTTGCAAAATAACGTTTTTGTATGCTTCCAGATCGACCAGCTGGCTCAGCCGCACGAGATTGCTGCCAACCAGCAATTGGAGCTCCTGTCGCTCCTTCGTCCTTTGCTCCCGCTCCCTCGAATGGCCCTGGTGCTGCAGACGCACCCAGAGCTTGTTCATCTCCACGAAATTCGTCAGGATGAAGCTTATCGAGTCCTGCAGGTTCCCCTCCGGTCCGTCTCCGCTGCCCGTTGGCAGGTGGTCGCGGGCTTGTCCGGACAGGTAATAGCGCAGGAAGAGGCCGCGGATCGGGTGCTGGACTCCTCGGCTCATCTCCATCATATCCTTCATGATCTCTTTCACCGGGGCATCGTCAATGGCCATGTAGACGGTGCCCACGGTGATCATCAGGTAGAGCCGGGGCACGATGTTGCCAGCATATTGGACGAGCTCGTATAAGTCGGCCAGATGGTTGACAGGGTGCGATTCGCGAAGGTACACCGATAGATGCCGGAGAGCATCAAATACGGACATATATAGCTCATAGTATTGTTTGGGGCCGAGACTGCTCGTTCGAAGCTCTGATACCAAGGTCGAGCTACGCAATCTAAGTTAGCACTACGACACACAGACAAGACTCCAACCCGAGCATTCCGGAAAATCGATTCAATCAAAAAGAGCTACCCACCTGCACTTCAGCGCATCCATAAGCTTCCCGGGCGTCTCCAAGCACTTGCGCATCAAGTGCGTCTGCTGCCTCACCACCGTCAAGGCATCCTCAAGCAGCCGCGCCTGGTCCTCCACCGCCGGAGGTGTCGCCATGGTCGAGTTCAGCGATGTAGGATTCAGTTCTTGGTCGGGACAGGGTACAATGGCACGGGCATTGATTTTCAACTGGAATCGTTGGAGTTGTTGACTCAAAGGGTTGATTACTGGCTTGCGCGGCCCAGGACGTTGGCCTTGCAGGTCACGACGTCTGCGTCTTCGCTACAGCAGCGTCATCCGCTAGCGCGGGGACGGGCTGCCAGGGTCCACCTCGACCAAGGCAGTTAGAAACTGTACTGGAACTCCAATATGATCGTCACTCACTCACAACAGCAAACTCATTTATGATAGAGCATTGTTTATAACGACATTTTCAGTTTATGTTGTTTATTAATTATTTCTTGTAAGTCTAATATCACAGTTTATATATCCCCTGCTCGATCAACACGACACCCCTATTCCCTGTGCCCTGCGCCTTCCAGCTCTTGGTGCGCTCCTTGCCCCGTCGCTGCCTTCATCTTGATGCGATGTTCGTGCAAATCATCGACGCTGTATCGGTGGTGTCGTTGGCTTGTCTTTCCATCTATATGTGTCCTAATATACACATATCAAATCGGCGCTCTCTATCCTCGCCGGTGTTGATCTGGGCCTGTATTCCAACAGCTCGACCGTCTGATCCCTTTCCGAATAAGTTCCATGCAGCTCTTATGTAGCTCGGTATGAAGGTATGAAGGTATGAAAGCACTTCGTAGTGCCCTCCATCCAAAATCAACTACCTCCTCGCTGCTTGTGTCGGGGTCGTCGTTGAGTTTGACCACACTGGGTATGTCGTATGCCACATCCCATTGTCATAAACCTTGGCCGAGCTGGATGCACTGATGCTCGAGCTGAGCGTCACAGTCGACACTATTGCAACCGCCGTTGGAGCTGCGACGGACTGGTACACCGTCGTGGGGATATACACCGTCTGAAACTCCTTTACGGCCGACGGCGTCGCCACAGCTCCCATAACCGTCTCCGTGATCACTGCCGCAGAAGCCGTGACGGTGATGTACACCTCCGCTGCGGATGCGCTGGCAGCCACTGTCTGTGTAACCGTGACTGTGCCCCCCTGGGCGCCGCCGTCGACAGGAACGACGGAGTAGTTTGCGCGAGCTACAAGAACTGGTTCTGGCTGCGAGTTGTCCGGTCGCGATATGAGTGGTAGAGCGAGGGAGAGCGAGTACACCGACGAGAGAGCCAGAAGCGGCGTGAGTGGCAGCGGGGAGCGCATCGTGGATATTAATATGATAAAGAGCGTTTGCGAGTTGACTCTCTTCAGCGAAGCTTAGTCGTCTCCAACACAACGATTGACTTCGGTCTTTCTTCGTTTGCTTGCTTGTTAATAAAAATGTGATGAGCAGTAAAGCAGAAACATTCCAGACTCTTTAGTCTCCATTCTTTCCATCACATCAGAGATATATCTCACCTCGCCAAAAACTGAGGGTTTAGAAAATGGCTGGGGGACCACGAGCTTGTTGTCTCTGCTATTCGAGGAGGCTGGCTGGCGAGGCTGAGGATCGGCTGTGATTGGCTGCCAAGCCTCGCTTAGGGGCGGGATGGAAGCGCTTGTAGTACGTACCACTGATTACTAGCGCGCTTACCAGCCTTCTCATATTTAGACGACGGGCTTCATCTATATCGTCTTGGAGGTCATGTGAAGGTGAGATGTAGGGGGATCTATGTGATTACGGCGCCGGTGTGATTAATGTGCCTGTTTGTTTTCAATGTAGATCATGTGATTGCTGCGCAAAATGCATGTTTCAATTTCTTCAGGTACCACTGGGCGAAAACCCGCATAAAACTAAAGTCGAAACAAAAACATTGGGTATTTGTAAGGACCCTTTGGACTGAATAGTAATCACACGTTATCGGCAGTTACTGACTCTCCTTCGGAGGTCCGCATTCCTTTATATCTCCGCACGGGGTGTCGGCTTGTAGACTCTCCGCCCTGGCATTGCCGTCCTGTGCCTCGCACGTGACTTGCTTAGTAACAGTATTTGGTGGTGGAGACGAACCTCGGCTCATACGCCCCGCCGTGAAAAGTTCTCAAGAGGCAAAGATTCTAAAACGTCGTAGAAATCAAATCTTGGATATGCTCCACTAATGCCTAGTCTGGTTGTCCTCGGTGCAAATCGCCCCCGCCGGGTGCTAGAGTTTATCCGTTTGGACAATATGTAGAAACTTATGAAACGACCACTGTCCCAGTTCATGAGGAGCCCATTTCCAGCGCCCTTTCAATATCCTTCGTAATTGATATCCTTAGTAATTGAACTACGTGAAGATGCTTCTATCACAAGAGATTGTGCTGCCTTGCGGCCTCCGCTTCGCAAATCGCCTCTCTAAGGTACTGATGAAAGATCCAATGCACGTGGGTGGTTCACCATTAACAATATACAGGCTGCGATGGCTGAGAACCTAGCACCCAACCACATTCCCAACGACGAAATTATAAAAGCGTATGAGGAATGGTCGGACGGTGATTGGGGCATGGTGCTGACTGGTAAGAAATTTGAGCATAATCTGCCATATACGTACTAAGACCACATAGGGAATGTCATGGTATCAGATACTCATATGGGAAATGTGAAAGATGTCGCCATTTCGTCCAATGCGTCGGATCAAGCTTCCAAAGACCTCCAGGAAACGTGGAAACATTGGGCGGATACCTGCCAGCGTCACGGAACTCCAACAGTGGTCCAACTATGTCATCCAGGGCGGCAGTCACCCCCAGGAGCAGGCAGCCGAGGGTTTTTTGAGAAGACGGTCGCTCCATCTGCCGTGAAGTTGGACTTTGGACCTAGGATAGTCGATAAGCTTGCTGTTTCTCTTGCTTTTGGAACGCCAAGGGAGATGACAGTCGACGAAATCTCAGGGGATGGCGGACTAGTGGATCAGTTCGTGGCCGCTGCAAAGCAATGTTTGGATGCTGGGTTCAAAGGCGTACAGCTCCATGCAGCGTAAGCTTTATCTATTCTCTCCCATACTAGATACTGACGATTCTCACAGACACGGGTATTTACTTGCCCAATTCCTATCGCCCCAGACAAACCGGCGCACCGATGAGTTCGGCGGAAGTCCTGCGAAGAGAGCTGAGATTGTCCTCCGCATCATCCGCGCTGTTAGAAAAGCGACAAGTAAAGAGTTCTGTATTGGTATCAAGATGAACAGCGTCGATGCAGCCTCTTCGGCCTCACTGTCGGATACTATGGAGCAAATCAAGCTTGTGGCCGACTGCGGTATTGATTTCATCGAGATCTCCGGCGGCACGTACGAGAATCCTAAAATGATGGTCGATCCAGAGGCGGACTCTACCCCCAAAGCTCCCGCGAGTGCCGCTGCGGAGAAGACATTCCAGAGAGAGAGTTTCTTCCTAGAATTCGCCAAAACTGTCCGAGAAACATTCCCAGAGCTTGTCCTCATGGTCACTGGCGGCTTCAGGACTAGACTCGGCATGGAGCACGCTCTTAAATCGGGCGGCTGTGATATTGTCGGCATCGGACGACCAGCAGCTGTGATACCCAGACTACCAAAGGAGATCATACTGAACACCACGGACGTCTCGGACGAAGAGGCTAATGTCACTCTGGCCGCGTTACAGATGCCTCTCTTAGTCCGCACATTTGGATTGAAGCAAGTTGGTGCCGGGGTCCAAACTGCTTACTACGCGGAGCAGATTGGAAGGATGGGGCGAGGGTTGGCACCAGTTGATAATAGAATCCAGGCCAGTGCCTAAGACCATCATGTGCGTGGTTATTCCAGTAAATGTAGATTGGGCCCAATGGCCTATAGAACTACAGAGTACAATTGACTGCTCTAGTGACGGCATATTCTAAGTTAAAGTTGGGATGGTCGCTATCATATAATGGAGGGTCTAAATAAGGGGTAAGGGTTAAAAGCGGCGATGGTCGTCTAGTATGGTGGTTGGCGGCCGGTTTAACCGCTAATGCTTTCATATTTCATTAATGGTTAGTAAATTACTACTAAGACTCTAAATTATAGAAAAGATCTACTATATTAATTATTAAAGAGTAAAAACGGATAAAAATAGGATTTTATGAACAAAAGCAGTTAGATAGTGTATTTGTGCATAATGCCACTAGTATTAGTCATATCCTCGTATTTACAGCAACGAAATATGATCTTTAGTAAAGCTGTGGCGCAGATTCATGCATTAATTAGACTTCTATATATTGTTAGGGGGGTGGGGCAGCTAGGAGATTAGCTGCCAAGAAGCTATTATTATATCTTGGCGTCGCTTCTGAAGGTAACATCGTATAGCCCTATATATCGTCTTATTAGTATAGCTTTCCTCCCTGTCTGCCGCCCCGTTCTGTGACTTGAACACGAGCAAAACGGGCCCGCGTATAGCTTCTAGGGTCGACCGCATGGGCGACGACACTAGACTACTGCAACGGCTACTAGCAGTATTGTCTATTATGCCGACGACACCAGTGAGTGAGTGCCGTTGCGGTGTGCCCCATGAGTAGGTATCGTAATTCCGGAGGGGCCGTCTCGAAGTGGCCCATTCTAGAAGTAGGGCATTTTGCAAGACGACATATATAAAGAGGCGGACGTTTCCAAGATGTACAGTTCAGTCTTCACTGCCATTTTTGACCATTAGCTCTCGCACAGTCGCTTCATCACTCAACTCTCTCATCTTCACTCACCTCTTGGCTTGAGCTTTCCTTCGCCATAAACCAATCAGTACTCACTTCTCACAATGCTTCCCCGCTCAATCCTTACCATCTTCGCCCTCGCAGTAGGCACTGCCGCGAGCGCCATAACCCGTGCCAATGTCACCTGCACCAACCCGGTCATCCGCAAGGAATGGCGAGAGCTTACCAACGCCGAAAAGGCTGAGTACATCCGTGCCGCTGTGTGCCTGCGCGGGTTGCCTAAGGCGAAGTACGCCGACATCGACGCCGTCACCACGCGTATGGACGACTTGGTCTATTCCCACTTTGCCCTTAATACGCAAATCCACTTCGTGGCCAACTTCCTCCCGTGGCACCGCTGGTATGTGAAGCTGCACGAAGACCTGCTGCGTACCGAATGCGGTTTCACCGGTAGCCAGCCGTACTGGGACTGGAGCATTGACGCTGATGCCAAGGACATGCCCAACTCTCCTCTCTTTGACCCTGTCACCGGCTTTGGCGGCGACGGCAAGCGCACCGACAGTTATGAGCCGGGCTTCCAGCGTTGCGTAGTCGATGGCCCCTTTGCCAATACGAACCTAACGCTGGCTATGGGATGGCCTGACATGAACGAATCTGGCAACCGCCTCCACTGCTTCACGCGCGAGTTCAACGGTGGCGAGGGAAACGATGAAAATGGCGACATCATTATTGGCGAGATGCAAGTAGGAGCGTACAACTCTGCAGTCATGAACACCATCTACGCTTTCGATAAATTTCCCGACATGGTTAACATGCTCGAGGGATTGCCGCACGCACAGAGTTTGTCTTTACCTACCTTGCCTTACTTGGAATATACTAACACACCTGCAGTCCATAGCGTCATCTTTGGCGACATGGGGCCCGCCACATCGCCCAATGAGCCTCTATTTTTCCTGCATCATGCCAATGTTGACCGTGCCTGGGCTAAGGTACGACTACTCATCTCTTTGTTCTTTGCTAGCGAATGGTGCAATTGCTAACCCCAGTACAGTGGCAGGGCCGTAACGCTACCCGCTTGGCTGACTACGCCGGCTTTCAAGACTCCGACAGAACCATTCCAGCCTCGATCACCGATGCTATGCCCATCCTAGAGCTTGGCGATACTGAACCTATTGTTAAGGACTACATGGATATCCAGGCAGGCCCTCTGTGCTATACCTACTCGTCGATGTAAATGCTGTTAAAGGGCATGGGCCTGTAGTACGTTTAACTTAGGGAGCCTTACGGGCAAGATTTTCACCACCTTCACGACCAATATGCCACTTTTACTATGTGTTCGCAATCGTAACATTGTTACTTTTGTGTTGCAGCGGCTAGCCATTGAGTTAGAGGGCCTCGGCTGCCATATCCCTTTCACTGCTGAAAATCTTAATAAATGGAGCTTATATACAATAGATAGAACTAGCAATAGTAATGGTTGCTATATAGGCACTGAGCTTATTTCTACAGCTCCTGTCCGCTTCGCCAGCTATTTTTACATAGTTATGTAACATATTTGATAACTATGAGACCGTACAAGCAGTATAGGAAATGATATGCAACGTACTTATTAGTCATCAGTGTATCCCGTCAGATTTTAGTATAGTTGTGTAACGAACGTCTTTGACTGGGTGTGGCCCGTTCCGCTACAGTAGATATTTGTCCCCAGGTTGACATGAATGGAGCCAATCATGGCCAACTTCGCGCTATACACCTGCAGTCAAATTACGTGCCTACTGCAGCTGTCGAGTCTATGAATTATGGAGAATTGATGGCCAACGAGAAAAGCCTTTTCATATTGCGTTTGGATGATCAACGCTTTAACTGTCGAAGCATTCTCCTGCCTGGTAAGCCTTTTGGCAGACTGGACGGGATACCTAATTTTCTCGAGCCTATGGTCGTATGTGACTGTTATTTATTTACAGTGGGATGCCCTGGAATGCCTGTCATTATCAAATGTCAATGATTATGAGACTGGTGGACGGAAGTTGTAAGAATGTCACCAGTCTCATTTGTACTGGATTTATTCTGAATCCCTTTCTCTATCGCTCTCACTTATCTGCCTGCGTCTTCTTCCTCTGCGAAATCAGCCTCGCTCCCTATTTATAGCCCTGTGATATTTCTGGCTATTCATTTCAACCCCAGTCTCCGGCTGGAAAATCCTAATTCTCGGCCATTCCCAATCCTCCAATTCACCATATTGCACCGTCATATGATACAGAAAATGATTAATAGAGCCTTCCCATTGAGAAATCTCATCTGACACCAAGATATCTACTTCTTCTAAGTTTCTAAAGCCTCGAACTTCTCCAAAGCGATAATAATGGTAAAGTCCGGCGGATACCGACTCCACAACCAACCAACGGATGAGTTGTCTTTCTGCGAGCTTTATCTCAGGCAACGAGTAATCGTCGATTTTGATGGTGTCGACAGTGAAGTTTGCCCAGATATATCGTGTATCAGCAGAGAACGCCTTGGTATATAACGGAAGAGCTTCTAAACGGGATTCTTGGCAAGCAAGGAACATTGCCGGAGCAGGATCGGGGGAGTAAAAGTATTCAAGTCTCTTAGGCTGCAGGCTAAGATTCGAGAATACCGAACGCACTGTTAAAACTCGAGGTAGAACAGCAGCAAACTTCCATATCTGGAGACGAAGTTCGGTTGGAAGGCGAGGGAAAAGGTGAAAAGCATCAAGGGAACTAGATGCTGCCATTGCGAACGGAAAGTTAAATTTAGTGAACTAGGTATATTGGTATTGCAATATAGTAACGGCTGTTAGGGACGCCGGGATGAGGCTGCGTAGTGCGGCGTAGGTGTATGATTGATGTGAGCGACGCAAAGTAATTTAGGCAACCGAAACATGGTCGCTTCAGAGGTGCAAGTGCTCTGCTTGGCGGTGCAATCCGAACTCTGCTGCGTAGGCTCACTTCATCACTGACTTGTTCCTTGTTCCAAATTTCCTTAGTCCTAGTACATCAGCCCCCTAGATGCAGTTACAAGGCGATGATGGGGTGTTATATTTGAATCACTAAATAATTTATTTGGTGTTTTCCCCCTTCTCCCTTCCTTCCGTTCCCATTGATCTTTTCAAACCCAGCTCAACCCTCAAAATGGGCACTGGAGAGCAGACCCAGCATTCTTCTCACAAGAGTCCCGATATCCATAGGAGCAGCAAGACTTTGTGGCCCCATTAATCTGGTAGGCATAGTACCTGTGATTTCCGATCGCCCAATCGGTACCTTGAATCGCCGCACAGTAGCCACAGTAGATGCCGCCGCTTACACCACTGGAGCCGTGGCATTTGGCGGAGGAGAGGGAAGTGCAGGCACGCTTGTCAAGGTCGGCAGGGATCTCGACGTCGGCGTTGGCGTCAGGGGTTGGGTTGGCCATGGAGAGGCCGAGCAGGGCGGAAGTAGCGAGGAGCTGGAGGAACTTCATTGTGCTGGATGGGTTGGTTGTATGTCTATTGATATTAGCTTATCAGTGTGGTTTTGGAAATGGAATAGTATGTTTATTACTGCTTTGCTTGTATTGTTTGAGTATGAGACTTGAGAGCTTGGAGGGTGAGTCTAGTCGAAAGGGGGGGATCGAGAGGATTATATAGTGACCATTCTTCAAATCTCAGAACAAAGAAGCAATTCGACGATTGATTCCATTACGTCTTAAACTTCATAATCTTAGAATGATGTTTCTGGTTATTCAAATTACCCCCCAATTCTGCATCCTCTCACGGGCGAGACTAAGCTTAATGCTGCTCCCGAGACTCTGAAAAAGGGTTAAACGTAAGCATTAACGCTCCTGACAGCTACAAAATGTATATTTCAATTGCCTGCTTGTAGATCTTGCCCCTTGACTAGATTTGCTGCCTCATTTACGGCCGTATATACGGTATGTGCTCTGTCGCGCCAGTAGACGTCGCAGCCGAATTGCAGGCTATCAAGTGCCTTTTTCTGCGACATTGAACAGAGGAATAGCTCGTGGCATAAATTAAGATTACCATTGGGTAGGAATAGAAATCGTATTGAAAAGTGAAGCTGCTGGGATTTCTTGCCAAGCAAGCCCTGCGTTTTCATGATTGCTGAACTTTATAAGACGGGGCATATTTTGGCCGCGAAACGATGAACCAGGAAGGCTTCATCGACTTTAGGGATAGATTTACGACTTAAGAGACAACTTGCGTTGTAAGGACGGCTTAAACATCTACCCGATTATACTTCAGCGTAGACACGTGGGTGGACTTTCGAGATATATTGAAGGCTTGGGGCCCAACTCAAGTTGTAAAGGCGGCATAAACATCCACCCGAATATATTCCTTTTGTCGGTGGGAGGCTCACGTGATTTTATGAGAGTTGCTTCACCGTCCAGCGGATGAGATAGTATGACTGTTCTTCATATATAGTGGCATGCCTGGAGTGGAGTGGCGGGTGAGTGGTAGCCTCACGATTATGTTACAGGTTGAGTGGAATCAACGTTTCTGTCAAGTTCTGGCCATCATGGTTTGATTACCAACTAAATTTAGGCTGCTGTTAAACTTGGGGCAAGCAGGCTCTTTGCATTCCCAATCCTCATAGTCATGCAATCATACACAGCTAGCCAGAGTTCAGCTGATACAACCTGATTGGTATCTCACCAAAAATTCCAATCATACTGGAACCTTAACATCCTTGCTCGTATCGAGCTCCTCGTGACGGCGGAGGTCCATAGGCTTGGAGAGGAGGGGGATGACATAGGGGTCAAAAGTGAGCCAGTATGGGTTTTCAAGGTGGTATTTCTGGCTCTGTATATTTCAATTAGCCCTGGTCAAAAACGCCAAGATATGGCCTGGAAGCAATGAAACTTACGGCCTCGTTCTCGAATCGCTCAACGATGGTAAATGCCCGAGGGTCATGAACGTCTTGCATAACAAGCCAATCAATTGTCTCACGATCCTTGCGGTAGATCCGAGCAGCTTCGACAAGCTTGGCCTTGAGGCGGGGGATAGACTGGGGGTCCTCGTTGCAGTAGAGGTGGACGCTAAGAGTATAAACCATGGTTGCTATTCGTCGGCGAAATCGGCTTCAGTGACGATCAAGAGGATTGGATGGATTTATTGTATATAGTTGTAATAGTTTCCTCGAGAGCCATAACAAATGCGAGGAAGTGGTGGTGGGAGGTCACGTGAAGAGGGCAAGAAGTTCCATTTTATATGTACGTACCAATCGTCCCATCCCAAAATTCCCAAGATCATCGTTCACGAGGCAAGGGGCTTGATTCCAAGACTCTAACTTCGTGCCTTTATGCTATGAATTAAGTCAAAGTTACACAAGCTTACGTATGTCAGACCGAACATGATGCCCAAGTGCCCAATTCTCCTTGCGTTATAGTTGCTCTTGGGCCCACCACCACCACCATAACAGTCCCTTGCACTCACTGTTACCTCGCTTCCAGTTATCATTCCGCTTCTGTGTTCCCGCTCCAGGACTGTATATTTCTGCCTTTACCTACTCGTGAACCTCTGCCTCAAAAGCATAGTGCGGGGTTCCACAGATGTGAAAGAGCTCATAAAAGGGAGGCCTCGTCCGTCTCTTTTTTTTAATAAAAAAATCGTCCTTAACTACAAAGCAGAAATCGCCGACATCTAACATTCCATCGACCAACATGAAATTTGCTCTTAGCCTCTTCAGCCTGGCCTTTGGCCCTATCGTCATCCAAGCTGCCGCTACCCCAGTACCCAAATACAGTGTCACTGGGGGTTCTATCTCTGCGCCCAGGTCCCAGCCTATTGTGGTGGCAAGCAAGCAATTGTACGTATTTTGACATGTTTCTCTATCAATCATACTAGACTAGGACGTGGTTCAACCACCATGTGTCCTCTGCCAACTGATTAGCTATCAGCGTGCTAATCCCGTGCTATAGGTTATGTGCAACCGTGCTGGCAACGGCTTTGATCTTGTATCATGCTGTGCTAATGGCTGCAAGAATGTCGGGTTGCCGATGTGCAATTGAAGGTATATCTTTCAGTTTGCTAAGTTAACAATAACCATTGATATCTAACATCGAGGTGATAGAACGGCACACTCTGACTTGTGGATCGACAATTCACAAAATCTACGGTTTTGGAGGCTGCTAAGCGTTCTGCATGGGGCAGATAGCACAATATTTAAATGAACAAAATATACTTATTCAAATTTAATTCATTGGGGTCGTTTTCTAATATACTGCCAAAATGTTGTGGTGCGAACATGAATATGTGGTAGGTCGCCTCCATTAACAAGGGGAATAATTATCACTTCAACAGCATCTCAAAAGCTAGGAAAAGGGGCCACAAAAATTAATTTGACAACACCGCTCATCGCAGAGGCCTCCGCACAAGTGCGATGAGAATCATGGTGTACTGTACAAAGCCCCAAATGAGCCTTCTAATACAGACACCCCGTATCGAACGCCGCAGGAGTCACGGCAAACGTCCCAACCTTATTATCCTTCCCCAACTGAACCAGCGACTTCGCCTTCGGGTTATACTGCGGCCATCCGTAGGTCTTCAGCCCGGTTTTGGGGTTGCGTGCAAACGCCGCCACCGCACCACGCGCGTACTTTGCCAGCTTAAGCTCGTCGGCATCCTGCTTCACGCCCGGCACCAGCTCCGTGCCAAAAATCAGAAGCACGTCCGAGCCGTGGTAGGCCCGGCCGTGCGCCGCCGTCGTGAGACGGGCGTCTTTGAAGTCACCAAAGTAGCCATAGCGCCAGGTGGGGACGCCGAGGTCGGCGGTGTGTCTGGCGCGTTCAGATGCGGGGCAGGTGTAGTAGTTGCGGCGCTCGTTGTCGTAATTTGTCTGGCCGTATCCATATGATGGAGCGAAGACGTCGGCCATGATGCGGTGGTAGGCAGTCTCGTCATCAGTATTGCCGATGAGGAGAGGCACCTTGATGAACTTTCCGGTCCTGGCGAGCTCGTAGTAATCGGAGAAGACGGTCTTGCCGTCGTTATTTGGGAAGAAAGATTTGCTGCCGTAGGGGTTGGTTGTGATTGGAATAGCGGCGGTGATCTCGGCGGTGGTTTTGTTGCGCATACAGGCGATGACCTTGGCGAAATCAGTCTCGGTCCCCATGCGGCAGATGTCGCAGGTTACACTGTTCCAGTCCCTTTCGGCTTTTGGCAACGAGTCGGGATCCCATCCGCTGAGTGAGGTGGTTCCGGATAGGAGGCCCATGCTGGAGATGATGGGGTCGTCAACGTACGCGAAGCTGTACAAATCGACTAAGCCTGCGCCAGCAGAATCTCCAATGAGGGTGATACGGGCTGGGTCACCGCCAAAACCGGCAATGTTGTCGCGGACCCATTCCACGGCGAGACGCTGGTCGAGGAGTCCGATATTTCTGGTGTTGAGGTAACTTCCTGGGAAGCCAAAGATATTCATGCGGTAGCTGCGGTGCTGTTAGGCTATGCCCATTGAAATTGCATGAACGAGACGTACTTGAAAGTCACAAGAATGATGTCCTGCTCGTTCACTATGAACTGCCCATCATATACTGGATCAGATGAAGATCCGGTCGTATACCCCTTGCCGTGCACCCAAATCACCACGGCTTTCTTCTCCTCTCCAGTCTGTGGCTTCGTCCACACATTAAGGGTCAGGCAGTCTTCACTGGTGTCGTTATTGCCTTTAGTCAATTGGGCAAGCGTCGCCAGCCCCGCGGCACTTAGGCCCTTCCCTTTCGTAACCGGCTTCCCAGCGAAATAGCTTGATACGGGACAGGATGCACCCTATGTGGAGGATAATGAGCAACAGTCAATACATTTGAGACAATGGGGCAACGCACGAATTTAGTGCCGTCAATAGACGGACTATCGGAGAAGGGCAAATGCGTGTTGCCAGAGAAGGGCAGTGGCGCTGCAAAGCGAAGCTCACCGATGGGCGGCTGAGCGTACGGGATACCGCGATAGACGGAAACGCTGGGTAACTTAGATGCTGCCGACCCTAAGACAAGACCGCTTGGGGTGTAGACTCCTTGGCCGACAGTCCATTCTCCTCTCACTGGAGCGGAAATGCACAGAATGGCACCGAACAAAACATCGCTCAGCTTCATCGAGGCGACTTAGAGTAAAGACTGACTAAAAAAGAGAAAAACGAGTGTGATGGTAAAATAGCAAGGCCAACCCGGATGCTAGAATGCAGCCATCTTTGAATACATAATTCCTATATATCGCTTGATAGATGCTCGTTTAGAGTTTGACGCGGCCATGCTTACCCGATTCCCCCTTATGCTCGCGTGAATCCGCCGATCTGGCGTGTCGGTTCCAGAATCATTGGTTGCGCTATGGGGTTAGTTATGAAGCTATTCGCTGTGCCTGGCAATGTGGCTTTAGTGGCGCCAAAGGTTTTAGAGCATCCGCATTGTTCTGATAGGTTCCCTCATAGCTGGAGGAGCGGATACTTGGAACTAAAGGCGAATGGTGCCAGGAGCGTGGTGGGTACGGACAAGGTAATTTCCACAGCGGCTGGGTAAGGCCGTAAGACTTATTTTGCGGGACTAAGAAGTTGACTGTAGGAGCGAGGCGTTCCATAAGGCTGTAAATACACTAATGGTCTCCGCATGGCAGACTCAGGGGGTTTTCCGAAGCACTCATGTCGCTAGAAAGTCTGAAGAGTGATGATACCAGCAATTTAAGCTGATAGGATTTCTCTTTGGTTTTGTTTCCAAATAGCCAATATGGCACTTATAACCTCAAGTTATTAGTAGCTTTTGTTTCAATTGTAAATACTGTAAACTCTTGTCTTCGGGCTTTTGGCGGCGTGGCTGTTGTGCCAGTGATGAGTGCTGTAACAATCGTAAGCATGGAGTAAACTCGGACCGTGCCGATATTGCTACCCGCCCTATGTATAGAGGGTCGTCCCTCTAACCCACCTTGGATGGGAAGAGGAAACTCTGGGGAGTAATAACACAAAGCTTCAAATCAGGCCCTATTTACCTGGATCTACAAGAAAAATCCTGTATGCATCATTCTCACATCGACGTAGTTCTCCAACGCGTGGGTTCTAGGTAGGGTGTGGGCAGCGGCGTTTCTTTAAGCATGTCGAGCTTCATCGGCCACGTAGGAATTGTATTTTTGTCTCACAGCTGACAATTGCTCATCCCACCGTCGCAGATCTCCGGTTGAGAAGTGGGCCTTGGCAGGTACGAGTAATCCGCGCGTTGGTACACGACCTGTACTCCTCCTACCTTATCTAGATGTGATCTGCGTGCAACCCACAGCCTTGCCAGATGCGTTTCTCACGAGAACAGCGATCCGAACCGGAAATCCGGTTCGGATTACCTTTTTGTTTAGGTCTTATTTCCACTCCTCGTCAGTATCATTAGATATTGTCTCTCTCTCTTCAGTTATTCTCTTGAGCAAGTATGAGGTCGCAGTTTCACGTCATCGTCGCGCTTCTCTACAGCGTTGTTGCAGTCGCGACGACATCCCCCAGGGTGGTCGATATAAAACGAGACGTGACGTATGCGGGGTTAGAGCGTAACGGCATCGAGGTCTTTCTCGACATCCCCTATGGCCAGGACACGGGTGGCGCCAACAGGTTCAAGCCGCCGAAGCCGTATGTTGCTGCCGCTGGGAGCACAATCGAAGCAAAGTCATATGGCCCTTCTTGCCCGCAGCAGCTTGGAAACTGGACCCCTCCAATCTCGCTGGGCAACATTACGAATATCTCTGAAGACTGTCTGAACCTCAATATAGCTAGGCCGAAGGGAGCATGTGCAGGCGACAAGCTGCCCGTTATGGTGTACATCCACGGTGGCAGTTTCTGGGCAGGGGACAACCACGACCCTACTATCTTGCCAGATGGAATGATTTTGGAGTCGGAGAAAAATGGGCTGCCAATCATCCATGTTGCATTGAACTATCGGCTGGGATGTAAGCAAGCCAAATATTCCCCGATTATGTTGGGTTCCTGAGAGTGGCTGACATGCTGTTTGGGTAGTCTTCGGGTTTGCACAATCCGATGCCCTCGAGTCTGAGGGCTCTGAGAATGCCGGGCTTCGTGACCAGCGACTCGCTATTGAGTGGGTTCGAGATAATATTGGGCATTTTGGCGGTGACGGAAATAAGATCACCATCTTCGGACAGTCTTCTGGTGGTGAGTTTAGCTCAAACTTTCTTCCCATGACCTGGCCCATTTCTAACTAAAGCTACAACGTAGGCTTGTCGATTGGAATGCAAATAATGGCCTATGGGGGAAGCAAGCCCGTGCCATTCCAGCAAGGGATATGCCAAAGCCAAGCGCTGGAGCCCGGAATCACCGGCAACTTCACCATTGACGCCATGCGCCTTTTAGTTGACTACGTAGGATGCAACACGACAGACCTGCACTCCGCCGAGACGGTTGCATGCCTCCGTGATTTCGACACACAGACGCTCCTCTCTGCGTCGCTGAACACATATGTCGCGGACATCGCCCACAACATCGGCGACATCTGGCTGCCCGTTGTGGACGGCGATTTCCTCCCGGCAGCGCCATCGCAGCTCATCCGCGAGCACCGTTTCGCCAAAGTGACCACCATGATCGGGTGGTGCGATGACGATGTCACTTTCTTCACCGACACTGCCATCACCACCCCGGCCGACACTAGCGCCTTCATTTCGTCCTACGTTCCAGGTGTGACACCCGCGAATATCGACCGCCTCCTCTCTCTCTACCCTGTCTCCGACTTCACCGCAGACCCAGCCATCACGGATCTCTCGAGCGAATTCTTCCGCGCCGCGCGCATCTTTCGCGATATCCTCATGACTTGCCAGCCGATGTGGTACGGAGAGCACATTGCCGCTGCTGGAAACGACGTCTACCTGTACAACTGGAACCAAACGATCCTGGACCCGATCCTGGAGTCTATTACAAACGAGACTGGGTTCGGGCCGATCCACACTTCGGAGTTTGCGTATATTTTTGGAAACTTGTCGCATTATGACATCAATGGGTACCCGTTCAACCCAGCCCCCGAGGACTATGAGCTGCGAGACAGGGGGTCGAGGTCTTGGTCGACGTTTGCAAGTGTTGGGAAGCCTGGAGTGAAGGGGCGGGATACGTTCCAGGGCGTTGGAAAGGCGTTTCCCAGTGGTGGAGATGAGGTGTATGTCTTTGTTGCTGGGGGCCCGCATGAAGGGCTGTCGGCGATCGATGGCCCGGACTCGACGGAGGTCCTACGAGAGCAGAAGTTGAGAGAGAGGTGCGAGTTTATCAACTCACCCGAGCTAATTGAACAGCTAGGGTACTAGAAGTTGTAGCTATAGATGAGAGTGAGGATTATTAGACAGGTTTACATATTTGTGCAAGACATCGGATTATTCAACCCAGACAATATATATCTTTAATTTCTCGCACTACCTCTCTAATGTTCTGATTATATTACCATGAACCCTAACAAGAACCTTCCGATCAAATGTTCGCAGCATGCATTAGAGGATAATCGTCTTTGAACTGCTGGTCCATCTCATCCATCTCATATGGTGTATTATAGACATTCCGCTTTAAAGGAAGGGTCTTCGTCCCCGTTCGTTCACGTTCGCGTTTGCCTAGAAAGATAAATACCTCGCGCGCCGCCGTTATGCAGATCGAGGATCCAAAGAATAATCTGTTTAATAGTCTTAGCAGGCTTATAAAGAGTATCGTTCCGTGTAAAACCTTACATAGTGATAATGCTAAATCCGAACGAAGCTTGTGCTACACGGCAGGCAGTCTGGTTCGCTTTCTCCGCTATACCACATGTGTGCGTCAAATACCATGGAAGGCGACTTGGGTATTGCCCATCGGAATAGTCCGGCGATTGTTGACCAGCAAGACACAGGATCCAAAAAAAGATGAGACAGCATTGCAAGAAGAATTCAGTGCACTTGTTCGTAGCACCCATATATTTAAGGCTCATCCGTGTCATGAAAAGCAATAGGGTGAGAATTGAAACACCAAGGTTGGAGTCGGTGAATCTGCGATTTTATTAGACTAACTCGTCGACTCTAAACCCACCACAAACCCCTTTTAAAGGGCAGAACTACTCCATCACTCACGCTTGTGACCATATAAAAGGGATCGTGGGAGGTTTCGAATAGTTTGCGTAGTAATATATCCGAAGCTTCGGGTCTGAATTGAATCCTTTGCTCCCGCCCTCCTCCCACAGGGCTGTTCGTAATGAGTCAGGATATCCATACAAAAACAAGACAAGGTTTATAAATATAAGTGCTGCCTCGACGATGGTACTAATTTCAAATGCAGAGGAAGCCATGATGTAGACTACGGAGCTTGCACAGCGGAATGGCGAGGTTAAGCCATCAGTTTTTTTTGGTTCCACACCATTCGCTGCGGCTGGCCTTATTAAAGGTAATGTAGGACGGGGACTGAGTAATTACCAGAGAGTTGCCTGATATTGTAAATCAATGATGACAATTCTTGCCTTTGTGAGCTTTTAGTTGGTGGAAAGGAGTTAGAGAACGTTTGAGCAAGTTTAGTGGGCTGATAAGGTGTGATAACAGGCTACGTATGTAGTTGCGCGACGTTACTGCATAATCAATACTCATCGCATAATAGTCAATTTCTTTAAAGAAGTCCAGCTGGTTGCCAAATGGAGATGCTAATAGTTGTTGGTGGCATGCCTATAAATTCGCCGCCAGAGTGCCAACAACACTGAAGACGGTGTCAATATCGCTCCCCAGCCGCCTCTCCACCACAGTCCAGTTAATTACATTCCAAATGCCAGAGACGTATTCCTTCTTGTTGTTTAAGTACTGGAGATAGTACGCATGCTCCCACATATCCACTCCAAGCAGCGGCTTCTTGCCCTTTGGCACAATATCTTGATCTTTGCTAGTTATGATTTCGAGCAGATTGGTCTCGACGTCCTGCACCAACCAGCCCCAGCCACTGCCCTGAAGACCTAGCAACGTTTCCTCAAACTTTCCCTTGAAGGCATCGACGCTCCCCCATTGCGATGTGAGGGCAGCAATTAGACGTGGAGCCCCGGCCACGGAAGGGCTGGCAGCGGTCCCAGCGGCCGGAGTGAGATTCTCCCAAAACAGTGTGTGGTTGATATGGCCCCCGGCGTTGAAACGGATCGCCGCTTGGAGATGTACTTGTTGGACAATGCTATTTGTGGCCGAGGCAGCTGCTTGCGAGACCAAGGCAGTGTTGAGGTTGGTCACATAGGCCTGGTGGTGCTTGGAATGATGGAGGGTCATGATCTGTTCGGAAATGTAGGGTTCGAGTGCCTGCCGACTTTTTTTAGCTGAATGTCATATCCCGTTCATTAGGGTTTATTACATCGTAAGCATAGGGGAGCTTGGGAACGGCGAATTTCGTAGAACTCATCTTGAATTTTGTGTTTCTAGACTGGTAATGGGGAGGGCAGTGAAGACAAAAGGCACTGATGCAGTGAATAAATTCGGAAGCAGAGGTACTCGAGCTTGAAAAAGCTTACACGAGAAGGAAAGGAGGGTAGAACATATTTGTTCTCATCATTAGCCAGCATCATGATCATGTGTAGACGACCGATGGCTGAACGTCATATGGGTTCCCCATCCCGCTCAAACTTGCTCAAACCTCCGCTACTAGTTCCAAGACACAACATACAACATATGTAGTAAACCATATAATAAGACAAACATTGAGCATTACCATTGACCGTTAAGAAAGAACTCAATGGGCTGATCTTCTTTTGTTCTATACTCCGATAAGTGCTCACCGGAACCCGCTCAACCTTTCGCGCCCTGAGGAGTCGAGAACGTTTTTTATATCTATACCCCCTTCAGTACGTTCGAATATATCTGTTTAAACCAAAAAAAAAAAAAAAAAAAAAGACACCAACACTCTCTCATACTTGCATTGAGCGATGTGCGGCGATAGTCATCTTCCACCAGCGCCCTCTGTTGGAGATGCGGTGGCCATTATCCATATGCGACCAGAAAATGGAGACATGGCTCTGATTTCTGGACAAAGTTGGAGGTGTCAGCTATCAAACTATTTTGCCACAGCGGAGGAAGCAAATACCCAGCTCATGTACGAGACTAAGCCAGAATGGTGGCGCGGGGATATGAAGGTGCGGATATAGTAGGTGCTTCTGAACCATCGCATCTGTATTGATAAACCTTGAGATGGATCTGACATTCTTGGAAGCGCATACGGAACCCCTTCGGATTCCGGAGAGGGAGAGCAGAATAATCCCATTCTTCAGCAGATGCTTATTCAATACAATGAGGCGAATTCAAGCTCTGTCGGCCGCAAGCTGGAGCTTCATGCTGGCGGCGAAGGGATTATCGGCCGTACAATGTCAGTCGAGGTCCAAGGGCGGGTTATCGGTGAAGGAATCATAGGACGATTATGACGGAAATTATTATGCAGCGGTAGTGGGTGTACATTTTGCTACTGGGATTCCTGTATGTATGTAAGGCTACTGTGCCTAGAATAAGTATAAGACGGTAGACGCAGGCGTCGATGGCTTTGTACACAATCATATAAGAATACACAATTGGACATCTTAATATAGAGCAAGACAATTTCGCAGTGTTTTCCATGCAAGCAGTGGGGTGGTAACAGAGTAATTTGTTTCCTAGACAGTCAGCCCGGGGGGATCACACTGTGACCATACCTAACAATACGGTTGAGAATGTTCGAGCACATTTTAGCACGTTATGAGAAACATGCTCCTCAGTATGTATTGGCTAGCAACAAGCGTACAAGACACGTCTGGGCTGATTGCTGGGCGTCAGGTACAAAAGCATTATATCACAGAGCATAGTGTTCACCTCCCCTCAAAATAAAGCTCTGGCGATAGAGACGACATATCTCACGTCAAAGGCCGCTATTACACCTGTTTCTAATAGACATGGACATAGAATCGATGGACCACGATACGATGGCCTCGCCCAAGCCACCCGCAATGTCTGATAAAATGGAAATGGGAGCAATGAGCATGTCGACCATCTTCTCTACTGGCACCCACGTCACCCTCTTCTTCAAGGAATGGGCCACAACCACAGTATCCTCATATATTGCAACAATAATTTGCGTCTTCCTCCTAGCTGTCCTAAATCGATTTCTTGGAGCTGTGAAATTCCAGACTGAACGAGCTTGGCTGGAACAGGCCCGACAAACAAATATGTTACCTCCACTGCGCACCGTACGCAATAGCCGTCTGTTATTCAAGGCCAAGTTAAGCCCTCTCCCTACCTCCATGGCTCGGGATGATGATTTGGAATGCGACCCGTTGACCTCTCCGACGGATGGAGAGCTTGGTGATGAATGGTGCACCCCGAAAGAACACAATTCACAGCGTCAGTGTGCCCCCTTTCGCCGGATACTTGGCGACTGGCAACCGAGTGCACGCTGGAGTGTAAAGAAGGATGGGCTACGAGCTGTTATGGAGTTTATCAGGGCCTTTATTGGGTATATCTTGTATGTTTCCATCATTCTATATATTTGAAGAGCGATGTTGGCTAATCTTCCCTCTTAGAATGTTGGCTGTGATGGCCCTGAACCTAGGGATACTCTTTGCGGTCCTTGGGGGCATCTTAGTTGGGGAACTGATATTTGGCCGTTACATTCAGGGGTATGGAGGGTGGCAAGAAGGAGCCTGTCATGACGGATAATGCTTAATGTGTCATTTCTTACGATTGCACGTGCCGAATATTGCAATGTTATACTGCAAGATGCCGCTGAAGGTTGTAGAGCAGCTAGATTCCCCGCTGCTATACTGCAAGGCGGTTCTAGAAGCTGCAATCGTATTCAGAGATTTTATCTCTCTATATATGCAGATGCAGATGCAAAGGCACCATAACCCGTGCCATATTTTGATAAAAACGCCAACCTATACCCAAAAAGTAAAGACACGAAAGAACAGACGAGCGGCCAGCTGCCGAGCAACCAGCAACAAATCAATACCTACCACACATCCCCAGCCTCTAAATCGGCGTCCCAGCCACCGTCGACGCCTGGCTTGACACACTCCCGTTCACCCTTCCCTCTCCCACCTCCCTCATGGGCCACTCAATCCACTGCATCCAGCCCTCCCCACTCGCCTCTAAAATACGCTTTATCTTCCCCAACAGCTCCTCCGCCTTCCCCTCAATCCACCACCTCTCCCCCGACCGCTTCAGCAAAATACAGTAATGTGCGAGCAGCACCAGCGCCATAGGGCTACGCTGCTGCACCGCCGCGATATACGCGTCAGACACGATAATCGACCACGACAGCGTCGCGGCCTGCGCCTCGATGCCGTTATCCGCCACGCTGATGACGAAGATGCGACGCAGCAAGAACAGCACCTCGAAGAGCACTTGCCGCGCTTCCGGCGTCAGGGGTGCAGGACCCGACGGCGCGCCTCCGTGTGAAGCGGGCGGGGAGGGGAAATCAGATGATGGGGCGGACCAGAGGGCAGCGAGGCGCTCGAGGCGGGCGTCATCTTCGTGGGGAAGGATGGGAGAGTCATCGGTGCGAGAGAGAAGGGATTGCACACTGGGCAGACGGCTGATATTGGGGTCCTTGTCCCAGTTGACCCAAGGGAGGTAGATGGCCGAGAGCGGACCTACGACGACCCAGTGCCGCGCAACGGACATGACGGCGTTGCCACCACGGAGGATGGTGATGAGCTCCACTTTGTTGGGCGAGGATTCGCTGTCTAGGTCGGGCAGGAAGAAGCTGCCAGAGCCGTGGAAGGAGGTCCATGCGTAGACGTTGAGCATGAGCGTGTACGCGGCGCAGGCGTGGCAGTTTGCTGGCGTGATCTCGGTCAGGGCTTCGCGGTAGCCGGTAAGTCCGAGGTGGTGGTGCTTGTCGGAAGCAGCGACATAGCGGTCGCGCTGGGCGGGGCGCAGGTAGGCAAGGTGGCGTGCGGCGGTGGCGAGGATGCCGCGCATGAGAAAAGGGTAATCGACTGCGATGGAGGGGACGGCGGTTTGCCAGCAGCGCAGATCGGAAATGGTAAAGCAGGTTGAGATTGTGTCTAGGAATGGTTAGATTGTGTTAAGGGGAAAAGGAAGGGGTGGGGCTTACAGTGGTGGAGAAGCTCGAGGTCCATTAATGTGAAGGACTCGGGAGCACCAGAAAGGAGAGAGAAATTTGAAGGGCCCTGAGAGACTGATGGAGAAGGATAGGGCGTTGTATGGGATGTGCCATTATTAGCCTTGGGGCGCTGAGCGAGCTGCGGGGACGAGTTGGCCTGGACCTCCAGGGCCGGCTTGGACGGCTGAAGTCCTACAAATGAACATGGTGTATTGTACCTCGTACATTTGTCACAGCTTGGTTTATTTTCATCACACTAAAAAAAGGGATGTTAGCTGGGAAGTTCAGTGATAATGATGAGGACAAGTTGAACGGAAAACTTCACGTGAACAACTATCACGTGAATCACCATATAAAAAGAGATACACGTGATCCAGAAGACCCCGGATGTTGTGGAGGGGAAGGAGCGATGAGGGGAAACAGGGTCGCCCCTTCCTAAAACGGACTTTTATTTTCCTTTGCTTGCATTGGACACATCCCAGACGCGACTTGTGATGCGGCCGACGAAAGGCCTGGGGTCGTGATACCGGCGCTGAGGACGCCTGGCCCTGGTCCTGGTCCATAGGGGAGGAGGAATGAGACTCTGTTGCACTCGATCGATCTCCCGGATCTTCAAACGCCATCACTTGCAGGGCTCAGGACCATTCAGAACCTGTGACCACCGCATGGGAGTGGACCGGACCGAGATTAGCTGCTGACCCAATGGCAGATAAGCCTTGTGCTCCGAAGCTACTGTATAGTAGTGTAGTAGTAACGGTAGGGGGACGAAGCTGGGCTGGGGCGGCAAATTTGTTGGAGCAGGGCGGTGGAGGAGCGGCGGTGGTAGTGGTGGACGTTGGTGGGCGTGGCGGGTGTGTGTGTGGTGTTTCAGTGGAATGGCGATGGGGGATGAGGGGGGATTGGGATGGTGGATGGATGCAGCTCGTAACTCGTAACTCGTATACCGGTCCGGGTTACGATGGACAGCTGCTATTCGGTGGAATATGCGGATTTTTCGCATTGAGGCCCTTCTCATTGGCACATTTTTGGCGTACAGACGAAGCGAGAACGGGATAGCCGTCTGGGTAGCAGTGCCTGTGCTGTGCCTGTACGCACGTGCTTCTTACTATAACTTATGGAGAGCAGTGGATACTCACTTATTCACCTCCACTGTTACCAGTCAAGTCATTCTCATATGATACTTCGGTACTCTAGTACGGCGGGCACATGAGGGGACGAACTGAGCGCCGTCATGCTTGCTGATAACTGAACGGTTCGGCTAATGTGTCTTCTAGACAAAGAAGATAACATCATCATTGTAAACGCTGTGGGCATATTTCAGAACCATAGTCTCATATACGGACCACGAATTCAGGGATGAGATGGCTCTGTCAAGCATCCCGTATCAAGCTGTGGTAGAATACCACTCTACAGGGGCATCTATTCCTTGATTATTGCGGATGGAAACGTCGAGATCAACCTTTCCGGTGACAGTGGGCGGCGGCGACGAGAAATCCCCTTCCACCGTTGGTATATATCATACCACCGTTCGCGCTGTCACCGCCGCCTACAACTGCTGTCGCCGCTGTTTCTTCGAGACTGTGACGATCTTTGCTTCAGAAAAGGTACCTTTTTCAACTTTTGGGCAAATTTACTTTCGAGTACTAGATTTTGCGCAATCTGGCAAAAAGGTACCTTTTTCGACTTCTACGCATTTTTACTTTCTAGTACTAGATTTTGCGCACTTCAGGTTACCTTTTACAAACTACGTTTAAGGGAAATTTGCTTTTGAGTGCCTAAGATCGGGCTTCTGCACTTAGATCTCGATCGGCACTGATCACTGGTGTTAGATGCTGTAGCAGTGGAAACATGGGGCTCCTAGAAAACAGACACACTGCCACTAAACGTTGTGTTTTAGGTTCTTGAAAAATCTGACTCTTAGTCATATATTCCCATAGTATCATGGTATAAGTTGCCTTAATCATGCACGTCTTGGGTTGCGGTAGCAGTTTGAGCATTATATATAGCCTACGTTTTCGCACCTTGAACTGCTAAGACCTCTGTTACTCTACCTTGTCCTTGACCAAACCTTCTAGGAGCATCCATGCGTCCTTGTAAAGACTTAGCGGCCATCTGAATGGTTACATTCCGCTTCTGATTCGCAAGATCACGAGCTGCTTGTTGTGCTTCTTCTATGGCAGGGATGTTCCAGCTTGTTGCTGTTGCTAGATCTGTTGCAACTGCTGATACTGCGGCGGTAGTGCATATTGTTGCTGTTGAGGCGGTCGTGGTTGGCTGGTGATTTTCTGTTAGAGAGAGGTGGTGAGAACCTAGGCTAAAGACTGTAATGAGTCCAACTCATTAGATATCGAGTTTGAGCTCCCAGTGAAGGATTTTGCACAGAAGGGGGTAGGAGTTCCGTAATATACTTAGCAATGCTGAAATTGGGTATATATATTGGCGCCAAATCTCACGAGCGTACTCGAGAATAACACAGTGGAATACGAGTGTGTCCTGTGGCTACGGATATTCGAGAGAGAAGTGCTAAAAGGAAAGGCCGTGGAATAGTGTATTAATTGTGGTTATTTAATTGTGGTTATAGAAATTCGAGAGAGCAGCTGCAACACAAATGGCAGCGACAAGAATGCCAACAGTGACGACAGAGTCATGATGACACCAGCATTTAAACGATGATGTGAGGTTGCTATCAGAGTGGCAGCATGGCTTTCCAAGTTCCACAGAGCTGCGCTTGATCACTGGACGTAAAGTGGTGGCCAGACCACATATCCCAGAGTTCGTCCTCAGCTTGCTGTGTGATCCATAAGAAATTATAATATTATCCCTATTTATACACCCCCAAAAAGAACATCTGAACAGCCAACCCGCTCCCAGCAACCCTACCCACCCAAACGCCATCCCTCTAAAAAGTCCCGCCAAAATGACCAAACAATTGCCACCCACCCATCACCTCGCCTCTCTCTCCCTCTCTACAACCCTCTCATAAGCCTCCTCACTCACTACCTCTCCCCCCTCTCCCCCAACCTTCCTCACCGCCCTCATCATCCCCTTCAACCTCTCCCTCTCCACCACCACCATCCCCTCCACCAGCTCCCTGACCGCCCTCCTCAACGTTTTCGCGCGCCACTCCTGCCACCCCGCTAGCTCCCCCGCAACAACCTGCTGGGTATACCGTAGCTCCCTACCGAGCCCATCGCGCTCCCCTTCTTCCCTACGAATAACATCTTGCTTCTCCCGATCGAGCCGCTGACGGGTGTCATCCAGCAGACCGAGCGGCCATCGCGTCGAGCGGGATAGAGACGCGTAGTTACGCTGGAGGCTGCGTGAGGAGGCGGTGATGCTGGAGATGAGACTGGTGGGGCGGGAGAGCGAGAGTAGAATCGCGATGACGGTGCTGTGGAGGGAGGCGAGGGTGGAGTGGAGGGCGCCGATGGGGTGGATTGTTGGGGGGGTGAGGGTGTCGAGGTAGGCTTCTAGAGCTTGTCTGTGCGTGGCTGGGATGAAGACGAGGGGTTGGAGATTCTTGGATGCGATTTGTCCGGCATCTGCGAGGTCTGTTGTGGCTGTTAGCGCTTTTGTTCTTGGGGAGATGTGCTAGATAGACAGGGGACCGTAAGACTTACCAAGCATTGCTGTGCGCAGCGCGTTCGTCCGTCTGACTACGCTCTTTGTGGCGTAGTTAACGCTGCGCACCATATCCCTCGCGTGGTCAACAAACTGCTCCACATCCTTCACATCCTGAATCGGCTCGTACTCCTCCTTCAATCGATCAACCCGCGCTTCAGCCTTCAGCTTACTCCTTTTCTCCATCATGTCCGCCTGGATATCCGGCACGAGGAAGAACTCCCACAGCATCTCATGAGTGGAGAAGGTAGAGTGCGACAACAGGATCTTCAGGAATCCGTCAAGCCGTATCTGGATATCCCTCAGGACAGCTCGTGACGGTTTGCTCGGGATCTGGAAGGGGCTTCGCATCCCGCTTATAATCGGGAGCCAGGATGCTGGGTTCTCTATAGCGAGAAGTTTTGCCAGGTGCTCGAAATCCGCTAACGAGCGGCGGCAGGTCGTGACTGTGAAGCTGGTGTCGTGAGACGGGGCGCCGGATTTGAGGACGAGTCGGATCGTGGCGTCTTCGACGAAGAACGATCGCACGACGGTTGTAATTCGGCCGTCTTCCCCAGGCTGGCCGGAAAAGAGTACTAAATCGTCTATGCGATTCCTGACCTCGTCGTCCTTAGCAAGCTCTACTGCGGTAAGACCCCTCAGTTCTCGAGCATATATGTCTACTCTAGGATCCCCAAAGAGAACTCGGACCATGTCCAGCCGACCATATTTACTAGCTACCATAAGAGGGGTGAACTTCTTCTCGTTGGTTGCGTTGACGTTTGCGTCGCTTCTTAACAGTATCCGCAAAGCGATATGGGGACCATTGACGATATGGAGCAAGGTATTGCCTTTTGAATCAACGTGATCATCCACATGAAGTGCCAGGCCGTCTCCTTGGGCGGCGGTCGCTGCGATGAGACCAGACTCTACCATTTCACTATACTCGTTATGATCGTATGAACGACACAGCGCGAATAGTGGGGTTTGGCCGTTATTATCCTTTTGCCTCCACGGTATTAATCTCCCGAGGTGTGGTATGAGCCAATGAGTGTTGAAGAGATAATGTCCTACGCTTCTCCCACGGATGTCCTGCTTTGCCAAGTACGATATTCTGGTAGGCTCATCAACACGACTCATAGTCTCCAAAAGAATGTCTATGATCTCCTTATTTCCGAGCTGCACGGCAGCGCTAAATAATGTGGTGCCTTCGTTATTCGCATCCGCTAGGACAGCTAGGACAGAGTAATACTCTTCGAGTGAGAGTAGATATCTCAATGACTCTGGGCGTGTGTTGTTGACGGCCATCATAAGCACCGACTCTCCCTGTAAATCTTCGGTCTGAGATAACCTTTCGATTGAAGTATCGCCTTCAATGCCACTGCCCATAGAATCGATCGTTGTGGCTCTGGAGCGGAACGAAATCTCCGAGCTAGATGACATACTCCGCATGTCCATTGTTACCATCTTAGGCCGTCTGGGCGGCGGGGCCGGGGGTAGTTCTTCATTCTTTGGCGGCGTGTTCTCGTTATTCTCGTTATTCTGCTGGATTTGGAAAGGAAAGACATGGGCCAAAGGTGAAATTTGAGATAACCGCCTCGATTGGAAAGTGGGAGACTGAGGCACGCCATTCCTAATCCCATTTGTGAAGTTCCATGGCTCCAGCGTGTCTTGTTGATCGGCCTCGTACTCGCCCGGAGACTCGCAGCGTTCCGGTTCCATTATCTTCTGGAGTTCGTGTAAGTCACCATTTGCGGCTGACTGCCATAGCTTTTTGTTCCGCCTACTCGCTTTCCGCAGACTTCCTGAATCTCGCAGTAGGTATAATAGTACCGCCTCAAGGGTACTTAGCGCATAACCCATCTCTCCGTTTTCGACGTCGTCTATGTAGATGAAATGGCGCATATACAATAATCTTGCCTGAAGATTTCTGACTTGCGATCTAATAACCACGACGAGGAGCAACGACACCAGAGTATCGGCATTTATAGTCAGGATCGGACTGACTTTCTCTGAATTTGGATTGTCTGGCGATGCACCGTTGGGCACATCCGAGAATTGAGTGACAGTTCTTAAGGTCAGGAGCAGGATATCCATCATCTGTTGAGGACTTCCGGCAACTCCGAGCTTCCGAAATTCCTCGACCGCTCGCCCGAGCCGCAGTGTAAGTTCGTGCTTTCCTGCGTTGCCCCCTTGGATCGGTATGCCGACCTGTGATATATCGATAAACTCCATCTGCTTAATCTTTGACTCAAGCTCCAGATCTTCGGGTCGTTTAATAGCACAGATCCTCGGATATAAGATCTCGCCATGTAGTTGCTCTGCAACATACCGTTCGATAAGCCTCTCGACTATAGGCCCGGTTAGATCAGTTGTGGCGCCGAGAAGTGACAATTGCTGCTTGTCAACCATTTGGAAAATATCAATGGCCGCCGTCACCGCAGTTTCCAGCGCTCCTCTCATAATCTGTTCTTCGTCGTCGAGAAAGGATGACCCAGTTAAGACTCGCTCAAGATGACCATTCTCCTGTTGTGAACCAAGGGCTATGCTGCCTGACCGCACATTCTTCACAGCGGTCGAAATTGGTCCTTCTGGATCTGGGTCTGGTATGTGGTTCGCGGATGGAGGCGGCGGAAGAGGCTTATCGAATACATGGTTGAACTCCTTAAATAATCGCTCCAATCCAGGTTGCATCTGCCGTGCTATCATAGGAAAATTGCCTAGCAGGTCATTGAAAGACTTGATGAGCCTTTTGCGAGGAACTGCTGTATTTACTGGCCCAGACTGAGGGTCCATGGTAGAAGGGACTGTTTTTGGATTGCCGTTCGAGTCGGGTTTCGATATCGTGCTTTCGTCTTTCAAATCCTCCACGGTGCCTATCAGAGGCTTGGATATGTAGTATACAAGCCATGATCTTGGTTCCAACGAATCGGGGTACCACAGGGAGTCGTAAAGAAGTTGTGCCTGGCTGAGTGTCTTGAAGCCTGTTCGTAAACCGTCAGCGACCACCGTAAGCTTTGACAAACACAGTTTCTATGATGCACCTTTATTTGCATACACAAATGCGTCCTTAATTATCACCGTCCTGCCATTAATGGTTGTGTATTGTTTGGCCTTCCCCCTATGCTCGCGCATGCTCTCCTTCCCTCCCGGCGTCGCGCCATTGCCATTCGGTATCCGCAGCACATGGCTTCCTAGAAAGTCCTCTGTCTGAGCGAGATCTGAGAAGAGGGCGCCGGATTCGCGATCGCGGGAGGTGAGGAGGACCTCAGTGGTCGGGACGAGGAGGATCTGGGGCACAGTCAGCTATCCGCTACTTATCCGGAGCGTCATCGCATCTCGAAGCCGATAAAAGAATAACTAACGTGATGATGGGCAGGTGTACATTGAGCTGGAAATGTACCCTTGAAGAAGGCGCTGAGAAAAGGGTTTAAAGGTTGCATTCACTCGACATTCGCCTCAAGTTTGCCAACTCAGTGTGCCTGTCCTACGACAGAGCTTGGATTGCGGAAGGGTAGCTCGAGTCTGGGAGCTTCGCGCCGCACGATCGACATGCCAAAAAAGCTCCGGAGAAACTATAAGAGACGCTGCAAAAATCGATTTTCAAACTGGGTATTATATCAAGCCGACATGCGACATGTCGATGTTGCGATTGCTCGTGTTGTTCAAATGGCCGTTGAAGCTACCAAGCCATATGGCACTCTATCACTACGCGCAATCACAAGCCGCGCTAACACTTTTATTGGTTGTGGTATTCTTAGCCGATAGTCGTCTGGGGAAAGTGGCTGCGTTGACCTGAAGGAGAAACTCTAACCGGGTCAAACTCCCCTCCAAATGTAAGCATTTCGCGGGTAAACATCATATAATGTGCCATATGGCGATCTTCACAAGCATTTCACTTATTGTTTATGAGTTGTATGTATTGGAAACCAAAAAAAACCTGTCTTGCCCCCCAAGTTTTGGTCCTTGGCAAGAGTAACATAGTGTACTAAAGGGAGTGTATGTGAGTTGGCTGGCTGAATTGGGGTTTACGAGCGCAGGAGCTTATCGACGAACGGCAAACGCGAGCCAGCGCGAAACTAATCATTCTCAAAGGACATTAAGTTTGAGCCGGCGAGATATATATTTTAGGAGCCACCTCAACGCTCGCTCTGCTATCGCTATCTGAAGTGGAACTCAATGATCCACTGCGTCGCATGCATTGTTGCCCCGCGGTTTCAGATCCCCATATAAGCCTTCGTGCCTTGGCCATTGGAAATAGCTTAGGTCTTGACATCAGGAGTATCGCGTCCAATGTACTCGGTGAACTTCAGCAGCTCAGTTGCAAGCTTGATGTCAGGCTTGAGGAAGTCCTGTGCATCCTGGCCATAGGCCTTGGTGTCGCTGGTGTGCTTCTCAACGTAGAGGCGGATAGTGGCACCACCGCTGCCAGTGCCTGAGAGGCGGACAACAATGCGGCTTCCATCGTCGAACTGGACGAAAAGACCCTGGTTCTTGCTGACGCTGCCATCAAGATCCGTGTACTCGAAGTCGCCAGCATTCTTGACAGTTCGGTCTAAGCAAGGGAGTTAGTTGGGACCAGTGAACAAAGGGTTATGATTTGGTTACCTTCAATCTTTGATCCGATGAAAGACTTGTCCGCGACCTTTGCCGCCAAATCCTTTACGACCTTATCTGCGCCATTGCTATCCACATTTTCGTAGTCGTATCTTGTGAAGAATGTACGGCCATAAATGTTCCAGAAGTCATGTTGAATCTGGGAAATGCTTGGGGTGACACCTGGGTTCGCCTCACCAACGCCAGCGATGATGTTCAACCATGCGACAACAGCCCAGAGGCCATCCTTTTCGCGGATGTGGTTGCTACCGGTTCCGAAACTCTCCTCTCCGCAAATGGACAGCTTGTCTGCGTCAAACAGAGCACAGAAGAACTTCCATCCCGTTGGCACCTCGTAGCTGTTCAGGCCCTGAGCCTTGGCAACGAGATCCACGGCGCCAGATGTAGGCATGCTGCGGGCCAGGCCGTAAACTCCCTGCTTCTTGAAGTATGGGATAAGCTTGGCATGGTGAGCAATAATAGCCAAGCTGTCACCAGGCGACACAAAAGCATTGGCACCGTAGATCATATTGCGGTCTCCGTCACCATCACTTGCAGCACCAAAGTGGATTCCATCCTTATCCACCTTCTCAACAAGCGAGTGAGCATATGTCAAGTTGGGATCTGGGTGTCCGCCATTGAAATCTGGCGAAGGAATGCAGTTCTGGGTGCTGTTTTTGAGGCCAAGCTCTTCCTCAAAGATGGCCTTTCCGTATGGACCTGTGACACCGGAAAGGGCGTCGAAGAGGACCTTGAACTCTGTGTTCTTGGAGAAGAACTTCTTGATCAGGTCAAAGTCGAAGATATCCTTCAACATCTCCATGTAGTCAGCGACAGGGTCGATGATCTCGACCTCGAGGGAGCCGTATGTCTTAGTGCCAATAGTGGCAATGTCAATTTCTGGAATGTCGGCGATTTTGTATGAGGTGAGAGTTTTTGAGACCTCGAAGATCTTGTTTGTGACGCTCTCTGGAGCTGGGCCACCATTGGACAAGTTATACTTGATACCAAAGTCGTTCGTTGGGCCTTAGATTTCTGTCAGTAATGAACCTATTGGGCGACGTGGGTTACCAACCTCCAGCATTGTGACTAGCAGTCAACAGAATTCCACCTGTCGCCTTACGCTTGCGAATGACATGACTGGCAGCTGGGGTACTCAAGATGCCATTCTGACCGACCAGCAGTTTCTTAACACCATACGCAGCTCCAATCTTTGCGATTATCTGGACGACCTCGGGGTTCCAGTATCTGCCATCACCACCAATAACCAGGAAAGAATCCTTGGCTCCCTCGGGGATGGCAAGAAGAATACTGGTAACGAACGACTCGCTGTAATGTGGCTGTTGGAACGTAACGACCTTCTTTCTCAAGCCACTGGTTCCAGGCTTCTGATCCGTAAACGGCTTCAGCTCTACCGTGTTAATGCTCATGGTGGTGGGTGTATCTGTGTCGACGTTTTGAAGAACAGAAGATAAATTGGTTGTGTTGAGGAGCTGTTGGAACGTGGGCGTCAACAAGGTAAATAACCCCACCAGCCAGCTGACAACGTCACTTTGGAGCTATGTGAGGGGTTGAGGGAAAGAGCGCGAAGCCATCATATGGCACGTGCGTCAATTGACAGGATAAGTTCTAAAAGAAGACCAACGAAAATGAATAAGCTGACTTTGACGTGGGAATCTATATTCAGCTCTTCTGTTGGCCCGATTTATTTATTTTATGGGTGCTTTTATTTCTTCCTTTCTTGTCTCGCAGTCGGTTGTTGAAAAATAGCCGCCCTATAATATCTAGCCTCTTCAATGCTCTCCAGGATGTCTTCCTTTGCCTGATGGAGGGTCTTCTTCGCAGGAACTCCCTTGAGGATTTGCTGATTGCTCCATCGCTTCACAGCCTCTTTGATAGTGCTCACGTCAAGAATCCTGTAGCTGAGGTGATCATGCACCTTTGCCCAGGGCGCGCACCTGAGAAACGCCTTGTCTGCGTGCACACTGTTCCCTGCCAGCAAGGCGATTCTAGGCTCTGGGACATACTTCTTGACATATGCTAGGAGCTCAGCCGCAGCGGCTTCTGCTGTCGTTGTTGAAGCTATCACCGCTGACGTGAGACCTGTCTCTCCATGTGTTTTGGTACACCATTCATCCATCTCGTCCATCCGCTCTTTGCTTTGGTGAACTGTACAGCCCCAGCCGTCTTCATCGACAATCCCGAGGTCTCCGTTCGTAATGATACAAAAAACTTCTATAATAACATCATTGTCGGGGTCAAGACCTGTCATCTGTGTAATCATCAGTTGATGGTCTCGGAGGAGCTCATCTGCGGCTTATACCTCACAGTCAATCCACACCAATGGTTGGCTGACAGCAGGATTCGCCATGGCTGATATTGGCAAACTCAAGTTTGATGTGTATAATAAGGTTGGCGTCTTAAGTTGACATCGAATGTCTTATTTATCTTTGGGCGAAATATAATATCTCAAATCACGTGTAGATTGGTTTTATCAACCCGTTTTGGGTCAAGGTGCAGCAACTTGCGGGGTCGTCGGGGTCGAAGCGATCAACCTCAAGTCAAGGGAACTAGAAATTTAGTGCCGATACTACTCTGTGAAGATGTTTATGTAACTAACCGAATGTGTTGTGAACTAATATTTGCTTACAACGTTCCATATCGATTTACGCCTCATTGACTTGACCCATATGTGATTGCCTTCAGACTAGGCTACAGCGTTATATATCAAGAAATACCCCAACTGGATTGCAGCGATTATTTGTTATTTCGTTTCTCACATTTACCGGCATTTCTCCTTTCTGATATCAATCCATATTCATGATGGCAACTCACTCGGAAGTTGAGAATGAAGAAAATATCGTTCGGCTCCCTGCTCCAGAGAAGCCCCAGATGTCAGTGTCTCCTCCACGGTTGGTTATCATCGGCGCGGGGTCGAGGGGAAACGCATATGCACAAGCATTAGGCGAAGCTACGAATGGGATATGTGCTGCTGTGGTTGAACCGATTGCATATAAGAGGCAAGCTCTTGGCCGAGCCTACATATGGGGAGATGATGGAAAACCTGCCGATGGACAAGAATTCGAGGACTGGCAAGACTTCGTGGTATGGGAAGAGGCTAGAAGGGCAAAGCAAGCGGCGGGGGAGGAGGTCCCAGAAGGTGTGGATGGAGCCTTTATATGCGTTCAGGACGAACTCCATAAATCCGTTATTCTCGGACTGGAGAAGTTGAACATCCATATCATGTGCGAGAAGCCACTGGCAACGACTTTGAATGATTGTATTGATATATACAAATCATTGCTGCCTTCTGATCCATCTAAGCCCCCCGAGATGCTCTTCTCTATTGGCCATGTCCTTCGGTACAGTCCCCATAACATGCTTCTGAGAAAGCTACTCTTAGAGGACAAAATCATTGGAGACGTTCTCTCCGTCAACCATACAGAACCAGTCGGTTGGTGGCACTTCGCTCACAGTTATGTTAGGTAAGCCACGAGCTATCCAGTATGCAATCACATGGGCAGGAATTTAACATCAAATTCAGGGGCAACTGGCGCAAAGAATCCACATCAGCCCCTTCACTCCTCACCAAGTCTTGTCACGATATAGACGTCCTCCTCTGGCTCCTCTCTTCTCCACCACCCAACTCGCCCCTCCCACGACACCTGCCAAGCAGCATAACCTCGTCAGGAGCCCGCCAATTCTTCAACAAGCACCGCAAACCAGCCGCAGCAGGGTCAGCTACAAACTGCCTCTCATGCCCACATGAGCCCGACTGTATGTTCTCAGCCAAAAAGATTTACACCGGCAATGACCTCCGTGGCCTCGGAAGCGGCAACACCGGATGGCCTGTAAAAATCGTCGTCCCCGACATTGAAGACTACCTCACCACCGGTGGCCAAGCGGCCGGCGAAGCAGCAATACTAAAAGAGCTATCCGCCGACTACAACGCCGACACCCCAGCAGACGAGATTAGCAAGAAAAACTGGTTCGGTCGCTGCGTCTGGGAATCCGACAACGACGTCTGCGACGACCAAGTCGTCACCATGACATGGGACAACGATGACGCCGCCAGCCCCAGCGACGGCCGCGGCCCAAAGATCGCACAATTCCACATGGTAGCTTTCACGGCCAAGATCTGCGAGCGGTACACACACATCTACGGCACGACGGGCGAGATCTACGCAGACAGCGATTGCATCACCGTCACTGATTTCACGAAGCCGACGCGCCCACTCGATGCGAGGAAGGAGGCAGCGTTTGAGAGTAAGAAGTTTTATCCGCATTTGGCGGGCGGTGGGCATGGAGGGGGGGATGCGGGGCTGGCGAGGCAGTTTGTGTTGGCGATTGACAGGGTGAAGAGGGGGGATGATTTGGTGACGGCGCAGAGGGAGGAGTTGGGGTGTTCGATTGAGGAGGTTGTTACGAGTCATGCTATGGTGTTTGCGGCGGAGGAGGCGAGGAGGAAGAAGGTTGTGCTGGATTTCCCGGAGTGGTGGAAGAGGGAGGTGGTGTTGAAGTGAATATTGCTGTTAGTTTCATACGTGGGAATGATTGTTGGGAACTTTGCTTAAGCTCGTCAAGGAATATGTGGTACTGTAGTAATGATATGCTTATGATGCGATGGTATTGTTCTATATACTCTACAATATATGCATCTCTAGTCCTTCCGCTAGGCTCTGTCTGCACCCATCCATTAACCCTCAGCTTCGATACCATCATAGCTGTTTGACTTATGCTTCGGCTGGAACTGGAAATCTTTATGCGCTGGGCCCAAAAACATCTCACTATTGCATGGTTAGCGACCAATTCCCTATAGTTAAAGTTTTAGCTTGCGAGAATAACATACCTGATCTTGATCCAGTCCTTATAATTAGCACTCGCCAGCAGGCCCTCCATGTCATCTCTCGACCTATATGCCGGCGGCCTATCCTGCAGGCTGGGCGGCAGATGCTCCAGAATGCCAACTGGCACATATCTATGGGCAAAGCTGAGCCACTCCAGCAAGAATCGTCTAGTCTGGCCCACACCCATCTCGTCACTGCCCCAGGCGTCGAGTCCATATCTCGCGAATTTCTCAATATACGCAAGACGCTCAGTAGACGACTTATCGATATACTGTCCCGCTTGGATCTCTTCAAACAACCAAGGCTTGATGAGTGCTCCACGTGCAAGCATGACGGAGTCCACGCCACCGTTTTGGACATGGTCGAAGTAATCAACATGCGAGTAACAATCACCGTTGCCGATGAAGTACAGCTTCTCCCCATTCGGCAGGTCTCTCGCATCGGGCTCGTTAATCGTATCGGTTAACTCGTCCTTCTTCTTGTGGTAGCTCTTTATCTGAGCGGCACACTCGGCGATATAGCTCCAATCAGCGCTCTTTGTATACCTCTGCTGCCTACTGCGTCCATGCAGAGTTATTGCAGCACAGCCAGGAGGACCCAGACGATCGCGCGACTCCAAACCACCGAAAGCAAGACGCTCAATGGTCTTAGTGGCCGTGGGTTTGTTGTCACGAGTGCCCATGCGGATCTTAGCTGTAATAGGGATATCCAAAGAGACAGCATTCATACCGCGGATCATTTTCTCGAGCTTTGATGGAGCGTCAAGGAGTCCTGAACCAGCACCAGTCTTGTATACGAGCTCGATAGGGCAACCGCAGTTGAGATCTATGCTGCGAAGGTTGGGAACAAGGGTCACCAGTGCCTCCGTCGCCTTGAAAGCCATCCACGGCTTACTCGACGAAATCTGGACACCGAATTTCAGATCCTTAACGTTATCATAATTTTGAACAGTTGATGTAGGCGTGTACTTCGGAGGTGTGAGCTCGGACTCGTGAGCCTTCATTAAAGCCCATTCTCCCTTTCCACCCTTGATGATCGACTCGGACATTGCCATCTCGGAATACGTGATTTCGGCCCCTAGTTCAACACATAAGCGTCTGAATGGCAGGTTGCCTTGTGTTGTTAATGGAGCCAAAACTGGTGTCTCAGGGCCGTAGTAGAGCCGACGCTTCTCAGATGCGCGGAATGGCGGATCTACAAACTGGGCGCGGTGGTCCTCAGTTTCCCCCTTCTTTTGGTTGTGAAAGATCTCCGACGCCTTCGTCTCTTTCTCGAGCCATGCATTATATTGATCAGACCTTACGGTCTTGAATCTCCTCCTAGCCAGGTCAAGTTTATCTGCGGTTGACACAATGTTGGCCACTCCAGCCCTGTTTTCCTCGTCTTCAAGCTCAGCGGCGGTTGCTCTGACTGGGTCGATTGTGAGAACAAGCTCTTTTCTGCCATCTTCTCTTTCAATCTCCTCCATATGGCTCGAGACAAACCGACATTTCCAGCCGGCATAGCACCTGCCATTAACCTCCCATACCGGGCACTTTCCATCAAATGTAGTAAGGTCTTCCCGTTTGCCTTCTTTCAGGTATTTGCGGAGGTCGTGGCTAAGGTTGCATCTCTCTCCAAACGAGCATGTCTTTGGCGAGAACTCGGACGAATTGGCGACGCTATTGCACAGCTTGATGAAATCGTTTGACGACCCAAAGTTGCGGGAAGTATTCTGGCCCCTCTCCTTCTTTTTCTTCTTGTCGCCGCCATCTCTATTATCCCGATCATCCACTGCGTATTTTTTGCCTTCAGCTTCGTCGTCCTGGGCAGCGGCTGGCTCTAATGCGGTCGCTTCCTTTGCAGGTCTATGTATGAGATATCTAAAGTCTAGGTTAGTATCTGGGCAGTGTAGGCGCATGTAGGATCAAAATTGAGGTGGTTGCCACTTACTCTGCCTTGATCATAGCGACCCCCCGGCCACCGTCTCTAGAATCCGATTTGACGGGCGTAGATGATACGTCCCCCTCAAGCTTCGGTCTCTTGGCAGCAGATTCCAAAGCTTCTTCGCCATTGTGTGCGCCGCCGAGGCCATTGCTTGGAACGGTCTCAGCCGTGCCTCCAGTGGCGTCGGCTGGTACCTGTTCTGCAACTGCGACCTCGTCCAATGGCCTTTTTGAGGGCACTGAGGCCAATGGAATCCCTGTATCACCCATCTTTCTGCACTGGCTGTACAAGTCAAGCTAGAGCGCAAGACTTTTCGAGTGCGTTGGTTGAAGAAGGAAGTTGTGTTTGTTCAATTATTGTCATGGTCAATATTTTTCAGTGGATTGATTCGTACATGGAGTGTTATCTTAGCGCAAGGCTGAAAGGACCCCTCCTCTCATTGGCTTTCATGTAATTAATGTTCCTGTTTCCTTTTCCCATAAATTCCTTTTGCTGGTTTATAGAAACTTGTTAGTAGTGACATATATTATCTCGGTTTTTTTTATGATATTTAGCCTTCCGGAATGATTATTTACTAATATCGAGGTTCCTCCAGCGCCAGGCGCATTAGCATTGACGTATTTCCTATATTGCGACTAGCATTTGGCTTATGGACAGGGGTACCTACCCCCAACCCAATCTTACGCGCCTATCCCTTGGGAACCGACTTGGATATTAACAGCCTCCTTCACAATTTCATATGAGAGCCTCTTGACGAAACGAACGGCAACTTTCAACAGAGGACAATGCGAGGGGGGGATTATAGGGTTGGGAGAAATGATGGCTGACCAGCGAAAGTCCCTGGACAAGACGCGATCACCGCTCAAGACGAAGTTCATACGATCCCAGAAGATCATGCAGCCATCTCCGACGGACACTCGGTCAGACGATATCCCAGAAGACTCAGAACCAGTTCAGGCCAAGGGCCCCTCACGCAGCCATACTCCTGGCCATCTATCAACCAAAAGTACCGACAAGCGGAAAGGAAGCAGCAGCAAAGACCCCCGCTCTCGCTCACAATCTCAATCACAAGCATCCACAAGAAGCCCCGTAGCCGGTGCCTCAGTGCCCAAGCTCCCTGCCTCAATCCATGAGAGCAACGGGCCTGTTATAAGTCCGATTGTCCGGGAAGGATCCCCAGCAGTTGCAGCCGGCTTGGTTGTCAGCGAACGTCGGCCGTTGGTGTTGCGGTCCACGTCTGCTATTGCGGGAAAGCCAACAAGCAGCTCAACCACACCAGTCACCACCCCCAAACCACCGTCTCAGTCTAAGAAGACTGGGAAGCACGCATACTTTCCTCCTCCGCCGGATACGAAGGAAGAGCATGATGTGTTACCCGCACCAGCATCTGGCATGTACTGGTCCCGCGCTCCCACCTCTGGCGCCCCTCACACCGCACTCCGCGCACATACGACAACCGCCATAGGTTCTAATATCTACATTTTCGGCGGCTGCGACTCACGGTCTTGCTTCGACGAAGTCTACGTCTTTGACGCGGACGCCTTCTACTGGTCCTCGCCCCTTGTCACAGGCGATATCCCAGTACCCCTGCGTGCCATGACATGCACCGCCGTGGGCAAGAAACTCGTGGTCTTCGGAGGAGGCGACGGGCCCATATACTACAACGACGTCTATGTCCTAGATACCGTCAACTTCCGCTGGTCGAAGCCGGTCATTAGCGGAACCCCTCCTAGCAAGCGGAGAGCACACACTGCGTGTCTCTACCGCAACGGAATCTACGTCTTTGGGGGCGGCGATGGCGTGCGCGCCCTGAACGACGTGTGGCGCCTAGACGTATCGGACGTGACCAAAATGTCATGGAAGCTCATCTCCGCGCCCTCAAGCAGCACATCCTCTTCCCCAACCGGCGACCGACACGACCTCAAATTCCGCGCCGACCGTGACATCAAGCCCAAAGCGCGCGGCTACCACACCGCCAACATGGTCGGCGCGAAACTAATCATCTTCGGCGGCTCCGACGGTGGTGAGTGCTTCCGCGACGTCTGGGTTTTCGACGTGGACACGCTCTACTGGAAGCCCGTCAACATCCCTGTGTCGTACCCGCGCCTCTCCCACACCGCCACGATCGTCGGCTCCTACCTCTTCGTCATTGGCGGCCACGACGGCGTTGAATATAGCAACGAGGTCATGCTGCTCAACCTCGTCAACATGCAGTGGGACAAGCGCATCATCTACGGGGAGCCGCCGAGCGGGCGCGGATACCACGGCACCGTGCTACATGATAGTCGGCTTTTTGTGATCGGTGGCTTTGACGGCGTAACGGTGTTCGAGGATGTGTATATCCTCGAGCTGGCGGTGCATGCTTATTACTCTCAGATCTCGCATTATACTATTGATGTCTAGGATGCCGTGGCGGCGGGTCGGGGTGGGGTCGAGCGCAGCGGGAGAGCGGGCGTTGGGGATATGACTTATGAGGGAGGCTATCTTGGAGGTTGACTGGATGGAGCATTTTACGTATAATGATGGTGGTAATCTGAAGATATATTTCACCACATGTTTCTAAGTTTCGCATCGGGCGCCGGCGGGGTTTATGACGACGACGATCAGCCACCGTCAACCCCTCCTCTCATGGTTTTTCCTCACGCGGCTGGCACGTGCCACTGAATATAATGCTACCCCTCCATAAGACGGTCTGGAGCTTTTTTCCAAGCCTGGCCCAGAACTGGTGTTCGTAAGGAGAGCCCGTTGCGTTGTAAGCAAGCCATGGCGGGAACGGCCGGATGCCTGGGAGTACTCGTATTCGCACCCGGTTGGTGTGAAAGTCTTTGCGCTTGGCGACTCGGGAGGTCCCGGATGAAGGCACTGAGCCGCTCGGTGGAACGGGGTTTTGTGGGGTGCATGATTACTGATAGACATGCGATGCGTCAGAGCATCATCATGCTGCGATTCGGGATTTGCAGCTTTTGTTTATCATTTGGGGATTGAATTTTTATGATGAGGCGAGGTGAGGCTGAACCGGTGAAGGTTTACTTGGGGCGAAGATTTCTTGGGTATGGGGGTCATTTAGCATTTGAGGTGGAATTGGAGTGGCACGGATGGCGGGGGAGCATTTATGGACAGTAAGAGAGGAAAAGGTGTCTTTGAATAAATGAACGAATTAATCTATCCACTGATAAAAGCCCAGTCTCATCGCGTTTCGCGAGAGTATCAATCGCCGCCTTTGCCCATATGCCGGCGCGAGAGTAGTAGTACAGATTTAACAATGCTTGAGCACAAAATTGCTCCAACCGAAAATGCTCCAAAGAGAGAAGATGCTGCCCTATTTACATTCCAGACGTCCCTGCCCCGATTCCCAACGCCTTCGTGTTCGTTAAAATGTTCACGCTTGAAAGGAAGATATGCGGTATCGCCGTGGGTTTCCCGTATTTTCCGTATATTCCAACTTCGATATCTTTAGTTCTTAGTGGAAGCCTGCTTGGTTGCCGCTGCCGCTGCCGCTCCATCTTGTAGTTTGCGGGCTGCGATCTTCTGCTCCTCAGCCTCGACCATATCTATAGCTTGTCAGCTTGGTTCAAACACACGAATCCGCCGCTCCGGCATAGTAGGATTAGCTTACCTTTCCACAAATCCTCTCCAGGGTACATCTCGTGGTGAATCTTCTTCTCGATCATGTGCTTGTGCTCAGGGTCATTGGGGTCAAGGACCATAACCGTCTCCCATCTGCCCCTGCCCTTATTCGCGTCTCCCACCTCAAAGAGGGCGGTCACGACCAGCACAGCCAGGGTCAGACCCTGAGCGTAAACTCTCGCCTGGACCAATTTCTGGGCCTTCGACAGATACGGGTTGTTGCGCACCAACTGCAGAGCAACACCCATACTGGCAATCCATGACGCTGTCACAATGGGGTATCTGTTGTCACGACCCCACTGCTTGAACTTGTCGAAGGTGCTGTCGTTCTCCCGTGCAATCGCCATGTCACGCGACGCCTGGTCCTTGTACAGGTTCTTCGGCATGCTCTCGAATTCGTATCCGCGCGAGGCGCGGTCCGCGGCGATAATGGCGCAGAAGGTCGAGGACGAGGTGACGAGGAAGGACTTCATTGGGAGGGTGAGGCCGCGGATGATGGCATAGCGGCGGCTTGCGAGACCGAGGCCGGTGAGGCCAACTGCTGTGCCAAGGGCGAGACCTTTCATGCCACCTTTGAGGGTGACTCTGTAGTGAGCCTCCTCCTGTTCTTTGGTGAGGACCTTCATGGTTGATGTGTGGTGGTGATTATCTTATCGGTGTTCGATTGGTGGATGGGGAATGTCGCCCTAGAACGTTGATGTTTGTTTGTTATTGCCCAGATTGATGAGTTGTCTTGGGATTTGCTGGGCAGTGGGGGGGAAGCTGGTATTTATTTGTCGGAGTTCTGGCGGAGATGCTGGAAAAAAGACTGGATGTTGATGAATAAAGGTGTTGACTGTAGTGTGACGTAAGAATTCATATCTACTAAATAGGTTTAGCGGGCACGGACACCTCCCGTTCCACCGAAGCCACCGGTTAGGTAATCCGAAGGCAGATGTGGCCGGCAACAACTTCCAGAAATCATATTTCATTGGCTTATTTAATTATTTTCGATGTGGCTGTATTTCATCCATCGTACTTCCTATGATGTTAAAGAGTTCCAAGAGCCAGCTGATAGGGAACCTGTTTGTCTGTGAGCGAAGGAATGGGCTGGTATAGAGCTGGATTAACTGCTCTTAAGGTACGGATTCCAGACACGACTACAATATAAGAATATAGGCTGGGCCTCGGAAAGAAACAGTAATGTTACGAACATGCACACTCGTATAGAGTTCTGGACACAAGATCAAGCTGCAGTGATATAAAAATGGGTATCTTCCTGAAGCTGTGGAATTAAGCTCAACGATGGCCTTTGAAGCGTTATCTGATGGAAATACAGAAGAAAACAATCGTCTGTGCGTACATGCGGAAGAAAGGCTTCGGGATGGGACCTCAAGATCGCCAGATCTATGATGCCAACCTCGAATCCAGGCCCCGTTAAAATGTTGAACGTCGTCCCAGGTGAAATTTTGAGGGTCCAGGATATGTGGGGTCTCCTGAATCTTGGGGATCTTCAGACCGCTCTAGCGTTGACGTTTCTCTTCATCCCTTTACCTTATGTCACGAGATATATCGTTGTTGGGTTCCAAAGAAGGGGAGCACGCGTGTCAAGCTAGAGTATCAGCTGACACAGAATGTCAGATGTTGCGGTCTGACTCTTGGCCGTCAACATAGTTTGTCTCATGAGAAATGAGCGGCCGGAATAATTCCTCAACTTTCAAATCACAGAAAGCAACTAGACGCATATGCTCTAGCTCAGGTTGATCTAGCTCCCGTTCGCGTGTTTTATTGTCATTGCCGTGCATCATAGCTTACGACCAATTTCACGGAGTCTTGGGAGATCAAGTGTCCACTTCCTCAATATCTTCATGTGGTGGTGGAAGAAGCTGTATACGGCGCATATCATCCATTGTTTTGAGGAGACGCGCAACCTTTGGTCTAGGCTCAAAAGAAACTCAACCAATTCATGGCTCTGTTCACTAACTAACTTTACTGAATGTATGGTACCGCCGTCGGCATGGGCCATGACTCGGCTTTCTTGTGTCTACTACACCTCTAGTAGCCTTGTGGAACTTTGGGTTACCCGTGGAACTAGGACTTGGAGCCATGATTGGGCTCTTAACTTCGGTAAGACACTCCGGGACAAGCGGTTGTAAGGGGCAAACACTTGGCTGCTCAACACGGCATATCGAGTTCTGCCGTCACTGAGGGATGGTCAACTTCGATATCTGAGGTCATCGCCACCAGGGGTCATTCAAAGTCAATGTCTGAGCTCAAGTGAACGTCACTCGCTGGCGACAGCGGTGACAGAAGTGACAGAAGCAACAGGGCCGAATCGGACTTCAAGCCGCGGCAACATGGGATTCGTCCGGGGACCCCAGAAGCTGTTGTGTGGTGTTGGTTGTGCAGACGCAGCCGAAGGGAGTCATACATACATAATTGCACGGGCTTATTATAGATGCGCGTTTGACATGAGAGGAGAAGGAATCGACCAGGACCTGCCGTTAACCAGGAACTGTACCACGGACTATTTACCTTGTAGTGCAGTCCACCACCCAGCATCCAGCGCCCAGAAATCCACAGTGTCCATCCACCGTCAATCTATCCAGCATCCAGCATCCAGCATCCAGCATCCAGCATCCAGGAGCCAGCATATCCATCATACAGAGAAAGTACATGTGCAGTCTGTACCACACATCCGTCTGCATGTGCATGCAGTACCCAACACGTACAGTAAGTACTATTACTAGCGGACTAGAGTGAGGACCAGTGCAGTGGAGAGTGGAGATGCCTTTACTCTACATCCAGGAGTCCAGTAGGGAGTGGCCCACTCTCCTCTGGTCTCCTCTGGTCTACGGTAACTATCCCCTACTCTACTATAGTGCTATACTGTGCTGTACTCTGCCACTCTTTCGGTCTACGGAGAATACTCCGTCCAAGAAAGCCAAGCTCTTCTCACAAGGAGTTAAGTGGTTGTACTGGTACTAGGAGTGGTACGGTCGTAATTAGTTCCCTTAAGTACCAAATGCAAAGGCCGGGAAACCAGTTAACTGGCTCTAACTTGGAGGGTAACTCTAACGCTAAGTCAGCTAACACAAGAGGTGCTTACGGGATGCTGGTAAACGATGCTGGAAGACGATGGTGGTAAACGTCGACTTGGGATTCTTCTTGGGACTGATTTGCATACTCTGTAGTACTAGAGAACTGTGACTAAGTAGGTGACTAAGTAGGTGAGTAAATAGGTAGAGTAGTTAGTAAAATAAAGCTATTAGTATACTCGACTAAGAATACTCGACTATACTCGACTATCCTCAACTATACACTACTCTGCTCGAACTATACTAGAACTATACTAGAACTATACTCGACTAACCGTATAACTCCTAACTCAGACCTACTAAAACTACTAAAATGTATACTCCAAACTACTAAAACTAATACTCGACTAATTCTCTTGGGTCTACTTGCCACTACTTGCCACTACTTTGAGCCTACTTTGGGACTACGACTAGAACTGACTTGGTCGCTCGCTCTACGGCTGTTTCATCCCATGGCCCGCCGCTGTACCGTACTGTACTCTACTCTACTCTACTACTACTCTACCCAACCCAAAAAGCCCACACCCACCATCCGCCTCCTACCTACTACTAACTAACTACTCTGCGCCTGTGTACTTAATCCTATAACCACTAAAGTACCACCCTGCCCGCTCCGACTTGTTTATCCAGATTGCATAGTCGAATGCACCTGGTGGGTTTCCAACAAAAGTGTTGCTGCCGGTCGCTGTCGAATTTATTATCTTTCCAACCTCACCTCACCTCTACTCTGGCGACGACGAAGTAGATATATTCTATCTTCACCCGAATCTGTTTTGAATCGCCGTGAGCCCCGTTCTTCGCACTACTGACGATGACGACAACATCACCTATCGATATTGCCACACCATCACGAAACGCCTCATCGTCACCATCATCCCAAGGCACCAAGTCTGGGACTGCAAGATTTAACACCGGCGTCGACGACTCGAGAACATCAGCAATCATGAGCGCCTCAGCATACGATCAGAATGGCGGTCGCCCTCGCCAGGAGTCTTTCGTCTCCGCGAAACCCATTTCCATGAACAACCCAAGAAACCTCGACCCACGACCCCGACGAGAGAGTCTGGCAGGCAGCCTTGTTGGCGGCATGAGCTGGGGTGGCGTCTCCGTGGGATCTTGGATTCGTGATGAGTGAGTTTACCCCTTCTTTCTTGAGACAAAATGTTATAATGGCTCTTTATCACCGAGTCCGTGTCTCACCTTTCGTCCGATACCAATCATGCATGCGCCGCGGCCGGGGACGACTCTGACATTCCACAGTATTATCATGGCAGGCACCTCGCCGTTCCCTTACCAGTCACCGTCATATCACTCGTCATCATACCTACCAAAGCTCGAGGCGAATTTCATGCGCGATTTCTCCTGCTGTGGCCACACACTACCAACTCTCCACGATCTCCTCCAACATTACGAAGAATGTCACGCCCAACAGACCCCACAATCACTGCGAACTGCAGCGCAGCAGCAGCAAGTGAGGGATCAGCAGCAACCCAACAGCAAAGCCGCCATCGCCTCACAAGCGGCCAACTCGGTCCAGCAACAAGCACAGCAACAGAGACAGCAACAGCAGCAACGGTCTCAGAATGGCGGATTCAATACCAATAAGCCAGCCGGCGGAATCTCGACACTTACCGGTGGAATCCAGCAAATGCGTCGCCAACAGTCTAATCCTGCTACGCCCACACAGAAATCCGCCCAGCCCTCTGGGGGAGATGATATGGACGGAGTGGAAGACATGGAGATGGACGACCCGGTTGGCCCTATGGATCCAGTGGATGGTTCTGTTAATCGGCCGGTTGCACCGCAGTCGATGTTTGGACAGCAACAACGACAGAATAACATGACCAATACTGGTGGAATGTTACATCAAGGCCTTCGTACGTCCCAGCCAAGCACCCCCTCCGCCGCAGGTTTTGGTTTCCAGAACAACCCGACAGTCTCATCTGTCAACACGCCAACCCTGAACGCACAGCTTTCCCAGCAAAATAATCCCAAATTCTCTCCTGACATTTCCATACCAGGCACCCCAGCAGAACTGGACGATGACTTCAACACGATGAATATGGACATGAACAACATCGGGAACATGAACATGAATACGAACAATATGAACTTCCCTTACGGGTTCGGTAACGACTTGGGCCTGGAGCTCTGCATCGACGAGCCTGCGAAGAGGCTGTTTAGCCCGAATGGCGGATTTGGCAACCAGAAGGCTCTCCAGCAGCAGTTTGCGCAGTTCGGACTCGGAAACGGCCAGTTTGCGAATAACGACGACCTCGTGCGGAGACTCCGCCAGCAGCAGATGATGCAAATGCAAGGATTTGGAAATGCTTCGGCAGCGATGATGATGGGTGGAGAAGAGCACAAGCCTTTCCGCTGTCCTGTTATTGGATGCGAGAAGGCGTACAAGAACCAGAACGGTCTCAAGTAAGTTCAAGTGCCCACCCGATGCGTGATGTGATATTAATATGATTTTAGATACCACAAGACCCACGGCCATCAAACCCAACAATTACATGAGAACGGCGACGGAACATTCTCCATCGTCAACCCCGAAACCTCCGCTCCTTATCCTGGAACTCTTGGCATGGAGAAGGAGAAGCCTTACAAGTGCGACGTCTGCGGCAAGCGATACAAGAACCTGAACGGTCTCAAATACCACAAACAACACTCCCCGCCCTGCAACCCCGAGATGAAGCTCAACGGCCACCTCCAAGCAGCAGGCCTCAG